TTTGAGCTCACTTTGTAGCCCAGGCTGGTCTTGAACTTACAATGATCCTCCTGCCTCAGCCTCCCGACTGCTGGAATTACAGGCATGAGCCACCACGCCTGGCTCAAATTTACTAGTTTAAAACAGCATACTTGTGGGCATCCTGGAGAGTTGGAGGAAAAGGTAAAACCTAGGAATTTGGCCCCAGTCTAGATAACACAGGGAGAACCTGTCCTCCTTGTGATACTGAGGATTGAACCCAGGGTATGTATGTATGTATGTATGTATGTATGTATTTATTTATTTATTTATTTATTTTTGTCTTTATCATTTGTATCGGTACCAGGGATTGAACTCACGACCGCCTGCTTGCAAGACAGATGCTTTATTTTTGTCTTTTTGAGACAGTCTCATTCTGCAGTTCAGGCTGGCCTTGAGCTCACTTTGTAGCCCCGGCTGAGCCCAATTTGTAGCCCACTTTGTAGATCAGGCTGATCTTGAATTTGCAGTGATCCTCCTGCCTCAGCCTCCCCCAGTGCTAGGATTACAGGTGGTACCACCACATCCAGGCAGGGTCTTTATACTAAACTACGTCCCTAGCCTTTTTTTGGACTGGAATTGAACTCAGGACTTTGTGCTTGCCAGGCAAGTGCTAATGTCGCTGAGCTGTATGTCTGGCCCCATCCCTAGCCTTTTAAAAATTTGTTTAAATACATCTCAAGGCAGAATATGCTAATTTGCTCTGCTACTGATGAAGATCCTGGGTGCAGCCCTTGGTACTGGTGGATAAAGTGTCCTGGTTTCCAAGGTGTGTCCATGTATCGGAGTGACTCGACTGTGGCTACATAAGCTGGGTATTGGCCCAGTGTCACCCCAGGACCCTCATCCCACTTGGTTTTATATTTTGTCTTTTTTTTTTTTTTGGTACCAGGGATCAAATTCCACGACTTTGTGTTTGCCAGGCAGGTGTTTATGCCGCTCAGCTAAATCCCTGGCCTTTATGTCTTTTTGAGACAGGTTTAACTGCAGTTCAGGCTGGGCTAGAACTCACTGTGATCCTCTTGCCTCAGCCTCCCATGTCTAGCCACTTTATAGTCATTTAAGTACCTTCCAGTTATCTAAGGTGCAGGGGGGAGGGGCGCTTAAAGTGTACTTTATCATTTGTAAATCATTTCTAGCCAGGTGTGGTGGCACACACCTGTAATCCCAGCACTCAGGAGGCTGAGGCAGGAGGATTGTGAGTTCAGGATAAGCCTGGATTACAAAATGAGCTCAAGGCCTGCCTGAACTGCAAGAGTTAGGGTGAGACCCTGTCTCAAAAAGACCAAAAAAAAAAAAAAAAAAAAAAAATCATTTCCAATATTTACTTTTGAAAAATGTGTTTTGGGCTGGGAGCGGCAGTGCATATCTGTCATGCCAGCATAGTGAGTTTAAGGGGATCGTGGACTGCGTAGTGAGACCCTTTCTTAAAAATTCTAACTAGGGGGGCTGGGGATTTAGCTCAGCGGCATAAGTACCTGCCTTGCAAGCAGGCAGTTGTGAGTTCAATCCCTGGTACCAATAAAAAGGAAAAAGACCAAAAAAAAAAAAAAAAAATTCTAACTAGGTTCTAGTAATTTCTGGAGGTTTGTCAATCTAGGTAAAGGAGAGGAAAGACTCTTTTGCTACAGGTTGTTGTTTATAAAATGAAGTATTGGGCCAGGGATTTAGCTCAGGCATAAGCACCTTCCTGGCAAATATGCAGTTGTGAGTTTGATCCTCCATACCAAAACAAACAAAAAAAACCCCAATAAATAAAAATAAAGTATTCTGTGGGTTGAGAATTTTTTTTCTCTGAGAGAGGCTCTCACTATAACTCAGGCTGGCCTTGAACTTGTGATCCTCTTGCCTCAGGCTCTCAAGTGCTGGGATTACAGACATGTGCTACCATGCCTGGTTTTAGAGCTCTTAAGTCCTTACTTGTGCTACATGCTAGGATAATTTGTAAAATACGATCACATATGCCTGTTAGAAAAATAGATTGACTTTTAAGTTTGTGTGGGGGTATTTTTTCTATTTGTCTTCTCTCATCTTGTTCTGTTTTTGTTTGTTTGTTTATTTTAGTTTTTGGTTTTTTTGACACAGGGTCTTGCCATGTGGTTCAGGCTGACCTTGAGCTCACTGTAGTCCAGAGTGGCCTTGAACTGGGACAAGCCTCCTGTCTCAGCCTCCCAAGTACTGGGTCTGGGGTTTTTTCCCTTCCTCTTTTTTCTTCTTTTCTTCCCCTTCTCTCCTCTCTGTCTGTTGATACTAAGGATTGAACCCAGGGCCTTGTGTATTCTAGGCAAGCACTGTACCACTAAGCTATATCCCTGGCCTCTCATTTTAGTTTTAACTTCATTCTGGCATTTATTCCACCATAAGATTTTGTAGGCACTAATGTCCACTTACTGGAAAGGGACCCCGTGGGCTTTGGGAGGTTGGACTGTAGTGCAGTGGTGGCAAAACTATGGCACATGTTCCGAAGTGTGCTCTTGGTGTTAGTGAAGGCTCTAAAAGCTTTGTCATCACGGCTCTGGATCTGGTCTGCCACTCCCTGTGTGGGTAAACCTGGGGAGGCAAGTGATTCCCCCCACCCCTTGGTACCAGGAATTGAACTCATGACCTCATGCTTGCCAGGCAGGTGCTGTGCTGCTGAGCTATCTCCCCGGCCTCTTGTAATTTCTATCTAGATGATACAGAGACTTACATGGCAGACACAGTAAAGGGTTTCTCTGTTAAATATCTTGCTTTCATCTAAAATGCTTGGCTGTATATTAGAAGTCATGGTGATGGTCCTCTTGGCTAACACTCTTTACATAAGACATAAAAGATGGACATTTAATTTTTTTTTGCAAATTCTACTTAATTTTATTTTGAGGCAAGATCTTGCTTGTTTGCTCAGGTTGACTTCAAATTTGGAATCATCCTGCTTAAACCTTCTGAGTACTGGGATTATAAGTATCTGCTACTACACCCAACTCAAATAATTTTTTTTTTTTTTTTGGGGGGGGTCTTTTTTGAGACAAGATCGCTCTATGCAGTTCAGGCTGGCCTTGAGCTCACTTTGTAGCCTAGCCTGGTCTCAAACTCAAAGTGATCCTCCTGCCTCAGCCTCCCAAGTGCTGGGATTACAGGCCTGAGCCACCATGCCTGGATTCCAAAACAATTTTTAAGAGATTTTTCCTCTTAACAGATGAGGCAGACAGGTCATATCCAACCTCTGAAGGTCCCATTTCAATATTTGACTAGTTTATAAAAAATTTCTAACTTTTTCCATGTTTGGTCTGCAGTGGTACAGAAATAAATGAAGTTGGGATTATGGGTCACATGTTTCATTTCAGATGAAAGGTTGGCCACATGTGGCTTCTGACATTTAATTTTATCACAGACTGAGGACAAAAAAATGCATCAGTTGAAAAATTAGTGTTTTTTTAATAACCTGCGATTAGTTTTCAAAGCAGTGAGATCTTACATGTTTATATGTATAAATCAGTGATTTCAAAGAAATTAATAAGGAAAGTTAAAATGGAGAAAGCTCTCCTAAATATTGTTCCCTTCCCAATTGATTAAGAATTCATTTTGTTTGTTTGTTTTTTGTCTTTTTTCCTTTTTATTGGTACCAGGGATCGAACTCACGACTGCCTTGCTTGCAAGGCAGGCACTTATGCCGCTGAGCTAAATCCCCAGCCCCAGCCCCTGAAGTATTCTATCAAAATGAATTCTTGGGGCTGGGGATTTAGCTCAGCGGCATAATCACTTGCCTTGCAAGCAGGCAGTCGTGAGTTCGATCCCCGGTACCAATAAAAACGAAAAAGACAAAAAAATAAAAAAGAATACTTCGGTCTGTCTCCTGAGATATAGCTGGAAAACTGACCTGAAATGTGCTTGGCTCCTAAATTAGCATCCTCGCATAACTAATCACAAGTCGTTTTTTCTCTGGTATACTTTTATTTTTTTTCTGGAGATAGGGTCTTGCTATGCAGTTTAGGCTGGCCTTGAACTCACTCTGTACCCCTTGCTGGTCTCAAACTCATAGTGATCCTCTTGCCTCAGCCTCCTAAATGCTGGCATTACAGGTATGTGCCACCATGCCAGGTTTGGTACACTTTTCTTTTTTCTTTTTTTTTTTTTTTTTGTCTTTTTCCTTTTTATCGGTACCGGGGATCGAACTCACAACTGCCTGCTTGCAAGGCAGGCGCTTATGCTGCTGAGCTAAATCCCCAGTCCTGATACACTTTTCTTAAACTGTTTCCATCCCTGGTTCAAAAAAATTTTTTTAACTACATTGGATGAGTGTTTCCTAAATGTCTTGGAACCCATGCCCCCTCCTTTCTCTGCTCTCTGTGGTTCTGACACGGCTCTCTCTTGGAGAGCAGTAACAATTTGCTAAGATTTCTCCCTGCTTTTGATCTTACTCTGGACCCTCTCAGTTTATTGCCACACTTCCATGAGGAATCTTCCTAAGTGACAAATCTGTGTCAGGGCCACATGTGGAAAACCTTTAGTGATTATTATACACAGTATTACAGGCATTCTATAATGGATGGACAAGGCTTAGAAAGGTGTCTTTCTCCTCTGCTTAGCCTTTTTCTCCTGATCATCTGTGCCATGTTGATTTTTCTAGCTATAGTGAGTGTCACATTCTCATGCCTGCATGGGTTACACTGTTGAGAAGGTTCTTGTTTGGTGAGTTCTTGAGACGCAGCTGCATTGGCATCTTTGCTTTCTCTCAGTGAAGTTCACGTTTCCCTTTCCTAGTCACCTGCCTAGGGTTTCGGAAGAGGTGTCCTGCTGTGATTTACATGCTTCTGTCCTGGCTTTAGTAGAGCTTCCAGCGATCTAAGATGGATTTAATTCTCTTTTCCTGACATGCACCAAGTTCTTTGTAAGTGTTGCATGAATGAATCTAGTAGAAAAGGCTGAATTGTTTCTATTTAGAGGAGAGTTAATATTTTTCACTTAAAGTTTTTAATGTTAATATTTAATCTTTCATTCTAAAGATGGTGGAACCAGGGCAAGATTTACTGCTTGCTGCTTTGAGTGAGAGTGGGATTAGTCCAAATGACCTCTTTGATATTGATGGAGATATGGGGTTTGTGACTCCAACCCCAACTCCTGCAATTCAGCAGGTAAGAGTTTGCTAAATGTTTTGTGAAACACTAGGGCTTTTCCTTCACTTTTAATTTCTATGTATAGAAACAGATATTACATTCTAATTAATTAATTTTGTCTTTTTGAGACAGGCTGTTTTTTTTGGTTGTTGTTGTGTGTGTGTGTATGTGTGTTTTTTTTTTGAGACAGGCTGTTACGCAGTTCAGGCTGGCCTTGAGCTCACTTTTGAGCACAGGCTGGTCTCGAATTCAGTGATCCTCCTACCTCTGCCTCCCAAGTGCTGGGATTACAGGCGTGTGCCACTGATAATACATTTTAATTTTAAATGTAGAGGTAAATGTTATTCTAGTGTTGAATATTTGTCTTCATTCATGAGGTAGAACATACTTGGAATGAAAACCAAGACATTGTTTTCTGCTTTGGTAGGATTATATACATAAACGTAAGATAGTGATTGTTTATAGATGAGTGTCTGCCCTTTTGGCTTGCCTGGGCAGCATTGAGTGAAGAGAAATTGTCTTGGGTTGTATATAAGATATATGATATAGTTGATAAATGTAAGTAACAAATATTTCACTATACTGTTCATTTAATTTTTAGGGTACTGAGGGTTGAACTATATTCTTAGCCCTTTTTATTTTTTGTTTTGGTGCAAGGCATCACTAAGGTATCCAGGTTGAGCTTGAATTTGCAATTGTCCTGCCCTGTCACAACCTTCTAGAATCCTGAAATTTTGGGTGTATGCCACTATGCTCAGTTTTTTTTTTTTTTTGTCTTTTTCCTTTTTATCGGTACCAGGGATCAAACTCACGACTGCCTGCTTGCAAGGCAGGCGCTTATGCCGCTGAGCTAAATCCCCAGCCCCCTGTGCTCAGTTTTTAAAAAATTATTAAATTACTAAGTAGTACAAGCCCAAGTTTAGTGGGCTTGGGTTACTTTAATGAAACAAGAACGTTTAACATGTCTTAACAATAAAACACCTGTCAGCACAGGCGAAGGCACCTGTAGGCAGGTGGAAGTACTGTTATGTGTAACTGTTACATTTTATTTGAAAAGTCAAGTTGGGCAAGCTCATGAAATATCTGATACACCTGGGCTTCATTCAACTCTGGTGGGTACAGAAGGTGGAGCTGTCGGTACATTGTACCTGCTCTCCATAACACTCTGCACTCCAGCGCAGCACAAGTAGCTGGTTAATATCACTGGAGATCCCATGATAATGTTAAAAGCTTATGGTGTTGTCAGGCCAGTTGTACCTATCCAGAGCTACCTGTGGACTATAGTCCACAGGTTGGAGACACCTGATTGATGAGAGTTCTTGTGGGAGGATCATTCTCTCGTTTATAATGATGTCTTTATACATTATCAGTATTTTTCTGTCACTTCACTATACATATTCTCTGAAAGAGAAGATTGTGATCTTAGCATAGTTTTGCAAAGATTTTAGGCTTGCAAAGATTATACATTGGTACACAAAGTTATACAGTGGTACCTTAGTTCATAAACTTAAGTTGTCCCACAATTCTGAGAAAATGGGCTGTGTTCATGTTTGGGAATGACTGTGACTGTGTTTGTCACCCAGTGGAGTGTGCAAACAAAAAAAATTTTGGCAGCTTACATTGGCACTCACTTGTAGTCCCAGCACTCTGGAGGCTGAGGCAGGAGGATCACTGTGAGTTTGGGATCAGCCTGAGCTACATAGTGAGCTCAAGGCCAGCCTGGACAACATAGTGGGACCCTGTTTAAACAAAACAAAACGCCAAACAAAATTTTGCCAAATGAAGAAAATGTTTGTGAACTACGGTACCTCTGTATCTGTAATGGTGATTTTATATCTTAGTTTGAATGTAAAGTTAGCTTTTAGTTTTTTGTGGTACTGGGGATTTGAACTCAGGACCTTGCCCAAGCTAGGGGAAATGTTTTACCATTACCATTGAGCTACAGCCCTAGTCCCAATTTTTTTTTTTTTTTTTTTGAGATGAGGTCTCACTAGTTCTGCCTGCCCTTGAGCTCACTTTGTAGCCCAGGCAGGCCTTGAACTCACTATTTAACTCAGGCACAGTGATCCTCTTGCCTCAGCCTTGAGTGCTGGGATTACAGATGTTTGCTACTATGGGTGATTGTTTTTTTTAAATAAGATAAATGCAACTCTTGTTTGGGAAACGGAATTCACTGCTGTTTTCTCTTGTTTCTTGTTTTGATGATTTCTCTCCAGTCGGTGCCACTTGGTGCATTAGAACTAGGCTTGGAAGCAGAAGCTGCAGTTACTGTTAAACAAGAACCAGAGACGGTACCCAGTCCTACGCTGTTAAATGTGAGGGTAAGAATTATTCAGGTTTGGCATTGCTTCTAAAATAGTTTAGGATTGTAGCAAGAAAAGAGACTGTCAATATGAGATAGTTTTATTTTCCTAGGTCTGCTTTTTGCTACTTACCTAATATCCTACTCTTAGGATTTCTTTCATTCTTATGCCACTTAGATGGTAATTGGGACAGTAAAATTTTTTATAGTTTATTGCATATAATACAAAATTATCAAATAAACATGAAGTACTTATTATCCTATTTTTGCTTTTGCTTATTTCAGCTTTTGTACATGGTATACATAATTTTTTTTTTTTTTTTTTGTCTTTTTCCTTTTTATCGGTACCGGGGATCGAACTCACGACTGCCTGCTTGCAAGGCAGGTGCTTATGCCGCTGAGCTAAATCCCCAGCCCCGGTATGCATAATTTTTTAATGTGATTATAATTGCACTTTTCATATATAGGGTTCTCCTGACTCTACCTTAAACATAGCTGTTTACTGAAGCCAAGTGGTATAAAATTATTTGACAAACTGTTGGTTAAAATTTGTTAAAGAGCCAGATATGTGGGGCTGGGGATTTAGCTCAACGGCATAAGTGCCTGCCTTGCAAGCAGGCAGTCGTGAGTTCCATCCCTGGTACCAATAAAAATGGGAAAAAAAAAAAAGAGCCAGATATGTTGGTGCATGCCTGTCATCCCAGCACTTGGGAGGCTGAGACAGGAAAATTGTATAAGTTCAGCCAGCCTGGAATACATAGTTCAAGGTCAGTATGGATTGTATACCAAGATCTTATCTTAACCACACAAAACTTATTTTTAATAATTTGTGTTATTAAAAGATATTTTAAGGGCCAGGGATTTTTTTTTTTTGGTCTTTTTCCTTTTTATTGGTACCAGGGATCGAACTCACAACTGCCTGCTTGCAAGGCAGGCGCTTATGCCGCTGAGCTAAATCCCAGCCCCCCAAAAAGATATTTTAAAAAAATATTTAAAAGTGATACATAGAAAGCCAGAAGATTATTACAGGACTCATGGAAAAATAAACACTCTGAAGAAGAAACTAAGTAGAAATAGACTTAAGTCTTTTTTTGTCTTTGAGACAGGGTCTACCTATGCAGTTCAGGCTGACCTTTAGCTTACTTTGTAGCCCACGCTGATCTCGAATTTGTGACGATCCTCTTGCCTCAGCCTCCTGAGTGCTGGGGTTACAGGCGTGCACCACTATACCTGGCTTAGATTTAAATTTATAAAGTATCTCAGTTGTACTTACAGTTTATGTTGACTTTTTTTTTTTGTTCTTGTCACTTTTTTCCCATTCCTCCCCACTGATGAAAAAGAAAATGTGTAGATTTGTAGCATTCACATTATTAATAATTATAGCTTACCTGACTGGGTTGTTTTGTGGATTTTGTTTGTTTGAACATAGCTGGGTCTTGCTGTGTAGTGCAAGCAGGCCTTGAGCTTGCTTATGTAGCCCAGGCCTTGAACTCATGGCAATCCTCTTGCCTCAGCCTCCCTAGTTCTGGCATTACAGGTGTGTGCCTCCACACCTGGCTGTTTTGTCTTTTTACATTCTAAATTTGAAATAGCATGTATAGTAGCAAATAAAGCATTGAATAGGATGTAGACTTTTATTTTTTATTGGTACCGGGAATCGAACTCACGACTGCCTGCTTGCAAGGCAGGTGCTTATGCCACTGAGCTAAATCCCCAGCCCCGACTATTTTTTTAAAGACAAAGTTTTACTATGTAGTTCTGGCTGGTCTTGAACTCCCTATGTAGCTCAGGCTGGCCTCTAACTTGCATTGATCCTCCTGTCTCAGCCTTCCGAGTGCTGGGGTTAAGGTGTGTGCCACCATGCTGAGCCAGGAGTCATAGGATATTAAAACCAGAAGATACCTCAAGAGAATCTAGGCCTCCAGTTGCTTAAGTGTTTGGCTCAGCATTGTTTGGTTGGAGTGGTGCTGGCATTAGAAATTCTTTCCTTCACCGAGCATGGTGGTGCACACCTGTAATCCTAGCACTCAGGCTGAGGCAAATGGAAAACCATGAGTTTGAGGGCAGCCTGGATTGGAAGATCCTGTCTCAAAAAGCAAAAAAAGAAATTCTTCCTGTTACTAATCATTATTTAGGGTTGCTATACATCAGTTTGCTTGGGATGCCTTCCATTTATGCTTTTGATCTTAATAGTTGTGTGAAATGTCATACTACTACCCTACTTTGTTTTCCTTAAAGTGGAACTTTAACTTGGTGATTTACGGCTAGTCCTTCTGAATTGAGATAGCATTGTGGTACATGCCTGTAATCCTCGCTTCTTGGGATGCGGAGCTGGAGGATTGTGAGTTGTAGGTCATTTGGGCAATTTAGCAACACCCTGTCTCAAAATAAATAAAAATTATATAAACCCCAGACCATTAAATTAGAAATGAATTTCATAGGCAAGAATAAAATCAATTTTAGTTTTTTAATTTTTTCTATTATATTTATGGGGATAGACTGCATTGGAGAAGGAAGCATTTTTTGTGTGTAAAGAATTTTAATTTTTTTTCCTCCTAGCAGCAGCCTCCATCTACAACAACGTTTGTGCTAAATCAAATAAATCAGCTTCCAACCCTGGGATCTACAATCGTAATGACTAAAACACCACCTGTAACAACCAACAGGCAGACCATCACTTTAACAAAATTTATCCAGACTACTGCAAACACCCGCCCTTCAGTCTCAGCACCAGCAGTGCGGAACACCGTTACCTCTGCACCTTCAAAAGACCAGGTTCAGCTAAAGGATCTACTAAAAAATAATAGTCTTAATGAACTCATGAAGCTGAAGCCACCTGCTAATATTGCTCAGCCAGTTGCAACAGCAGCTAGTAAGTCTTTCTGTTTTCATAGCAACAACTTTTTGTCTTTGGTAAACTATGTCACAGCTTTTTGAGAGTTCCTTTGTGTGTTTAAAGAGTTGGGCATGAAAGAGGTGTTGCCTGCCTTGTTCTGTGTGTTTACTGTATGTACCTAGTTCAAGGGAAGCAGAGATCTAGAGGCGCTGGTAGAATTTTGCTTTGAAATGAAGTGTTGAAGATTACTGAGTAGCTACATTAATGCTGTGAGATCATCTCAGTTTTATGTATTACAACTAACCAGTTAATGTGTTTTTTTAAATCTTTAGAATCGGGGCTGGGGGTTTAGCTCAGCGGCGTAAGCGCCTGCCTTGCAAGCAGGCAGTCGTGAGTTCGATCCCCGGTACCGATAAAAAGGAAAAAGACAAAAAAAAAAAAAAAAAAAAAAAATCTTTAGAATCAGTTTTTATTTTTATACTTTCTATGCCTATGAATCACATGAGAATCTTGCTCAAAAGCAGAATCTGGGGCTGGGGATTTAGCTCAGTGGCATAAGTGCCTGCCTTGCAAGCGTGTGGTCATGAGTTCAATCCCTGGTACTGATTTAAAAAAAAAAAAAATACAAAAGCAGAATCTGATTTGGGATGGGGCTGAAACTTCTGCATTCATTAATTTGTAGTTCTGGAGATTGAGCCGAAGGGCTTTACCAGTAAGCTGCTAGTAAAGTGTTCTACTCCTGAGCCACATCCCTACCAAGCTTCTGCATTTCTGTTTTGTTTTGTTTTCCGGTGCCGGGAATCAAACCTGGCACTTGCCAGGTGGCATTACACTGCTGGCCCTTACATTGCTGGCACTTGTTGGCCAGGCACTTACACTGCTGCTCTAAACCCCTGCCCTTTGAAGTACTCTTTTTTTTTTTTTTTTTTTTTTTTGGTACTAGGAATTGAACTCTGGATCTTGCTCTTGCCAGGCAGGCATTTTGCCACTGAGCTATATCCCTGGCCCCCCAACTTCTGCATTTCTAAAAAACAAAAGCTCTCTAGAGGTACTCTTTTTTTTTTTTGTCTTTTTCTTTTTTATTGGTACCAGGGATCGAACTCACGGCTGCCTGCTTGCAAGGCAGGCGCTTATGCCGCTGAGCTAAATCCCCAGCCCCTTCCAGAGATACTCTTGCCAAGGGTCTTTGTTTTGCTTTTGGTTTTGGTTTTGGTTTTTCTAAGATAAAAGAATCTGGCAGTGTAGTCCACACTGGCTTTGAGCTCACTGTGTTGCCCAGGCTGGCCTTGAATTTATGATTATTCTTCCTGCCTCAGCCTCCCAGAGTGCTGAGCTTACAGATGTTTGCCACCATGCCCAGTTCATTAATTCTTTTTGAAGTGTACGGTTTGGTGTTTTGGTAGTCAAACCAGTAATCCCATCACTCTGGGTGGCTCAAACAGAAGGATTGATTGCAAGCTCAAGGCCTCCCTGTATGATTTAGGGACTCCTGTCTCAAAGCAGAAAATGAAGGGAGTGGGGATGTAGCTCAGTCTGGAGGCCCTAGGTTCAGTTCCCAGTGCACTGAGTTTCATCTTCATCCCTTCCCTCTTTATAGCTGTCTGCCTAGCTACCTATGTGCCTATTTATTGTTTATTTTTGGGAACGAGTTTCTGAGTTGTCTAGGCGAGGCTTGAACTTGTGGCCTTCCTGCATCAGCCCTCCAGAGTGCTGTGATTACACATGTGAACCATACCCCACAAGTAATTTTTAAGGGTAAAATAACTTTTTTTTTTTTTACTTTGCAGCTTCAGTAGCACAATTTTAGAAACTGAAGCATGAACCCATAAGAGGAAGAGTCTTCCCTTCCCTTCATTGAGTCAATGTACTCGAATCTTCCTTTCTAACTGTCCCCATGGTCAAGACTTTTGGAGATGACAGTTATTTTACAGTTTTAGCACACAGGTGGATATTGGTTGTTTTATATTTTTGGTCAGTTATATTGGGATTTTTTTTTGAAGGCACCAGAATGAGGGTGCAGTGGGCTGTAAAGGGCGTCCTGTTCCTGGCAGTTTAAATGAGTGTGTGTACTACCATCAGGCTGTGGGAATGAACTAATGGACTTTTTTTTTTTTTTGGTACTGGGGATTGAACTCTCAACCAAACAGGCACTTAAGTTGCTGAGCTGACACCACCCCCCCTCCCCGCCCTTTTAATGGACTTTGAACAGACAGTTTCTCCCCCAGCTTGCTTATTTCCCTATCTGTGTAAGATAGGTTTTAATACCACATAGGACAGTATATAAGTTCATGCTAGAATTGATTGCTTGGAAGTGGCAACGTTTGTTTATGGGGCGCTTGGGGCATTCTAATGGAATGAATGAAAAGTGACTATGTAGTAACATATAAAGTAATTACAAATTTCAGATAGTCTGATTTTTTTATGTTTAGGTGGGTAGGTCGTGCCTTGTGGATGTGCTTTTATTTCAGGGTCGTTTATCTCAGGGTCATTTGACTGTATCCTGGCAGCTAGGTGCTAGTTGGGAAATCAGAACTGCTTTTCCTTTCCTGCCTTGAAGTGTAGGATGTTGGCCTCATCTGGCAGAGGTAAAGGGCACCTTCTGGAGCAGTTCCAGGTGCTCAGAGGTGGTCAGCAGTTGGTGGAAAATGATTTACTTCTGGCTCTTTGGGTTTGATGAGCAAGCCTGAGAGGCTCTGAGCATTTCCACCCAGACTTCACCTGTGCCTTTGAAACCGACAGAGGTGTGAGCCGCAGTAAGGAGAGCCTGGAGGGCAGAGGGTGAAGCAGCACAGTGGTGTGGCTGATGGAGGGCTCTTTACTACAGTAAGTTCCCCCACAGTGGGTCTTGGAGGTTCAGATAACAGACTGCAAGCCAGGCATCCTTGTGGAATCCTGGAAACCATCAGATTAGACCAGTATTGAAAACAAAAGATTGTAAGTAAATGCTGAAAATAAATGAAGGTTTGCATTGCAGGGGAGCCTCATTTCTTTACTGAGAGATGATGAAGCCTGAACGTTGTAACTGCCCACCCCAAGATTTTGCGTGCTCCACCTCTTGCCTTGTGGGTTTGCCTCTTTGGAGTTCTTGGCCCTTTGGGTTTCTATTTGTATCATGATCTCTTAGTTGAGCTCCTCTTAAAATGCTGTAAACTGATCACTGGCTCTTCCACAGTTGGCTATCTGTGTTCTGGCCTTTGTGTTCAATAGTTTAACTGGTCCTCTAGCTTTTGGACTTGAGGTGAAAGGTTTTTCCCAGATAGTTATCTAGCCTGCTAAGCACTCCAGGTGTTCTCTGGAGAGGCACTTTTTGCCCATTGTGATCTCAGGCCTCCCAGGGACCAGGAGTGCTTCAGGGGTGCCCAGGCTTGCAGCATAGGCTTCAAGCACTCCTGTCTCCCCAGTGCAGTCAGGCAGTGCTAGTTTGATAGTTGGGAGTCTGAAGTTATATGTGTATTTAAGAAGTATTTGAAAATCATCAAAGAAGAAAAGTTCATTATTTGGATCTTCATTCTGAGGACAGGAAGGAAATGAAAAGTTCCCAAGTTGACTTTCTTCTACAAATAATTATTTTGCCTAGAAAAATGAGTAGTATCAAATCTGCAGAGTTTTTTTTTTTTTCTCTCAATGAGCCAACTGGAATGAGCTCTCCAGGTAATAGTGGCTTCTGTATCAGTGTTCAGCCATCACATAGTTCCAGTTAATGTGCTTTTCTCATAATTAAATTTTGTTGTCCCTGCATACTTTTTCTTTGTGAGTTACTTTCTAAAACTAATTATCCTGTAAATGTATATCCTTAATAGGCAGATTGATGTCTCTTGATTAGTTAAGTTGGTAAATATCACTGAATCTTTAGTACAGTAGGCAAAGAAATTGAGATTTTTTTTTCCCTAAAAACTATATATTAATTTTTCCTCTTCAGCTGATGTAAGCAATGGTACAGTGAAGAAAGAGTCATCTAATAAAGAAGTAGCAAGAATATGGATAAATGACATGAAAATGAGAAGTTTTTCACCAACTATGGTGAGTCTCAAATATCTTTGTCTATATTTTTGTGTAGTATGAAAATACAGTTGCAGCTGGGCCTGATGAGACACTCCTGTAATCCCAGCACTCTGGAGGCCGAGGCAGGAAGGGTTGGTGTAAGTTCAGGGCCAGACTGCATTACATAGCAATACCTTGTCTTAAAAAAAACCAGAAACAAAGCCAGGTTTATGAATGCCTCTAACCCCAGCACTTGAGGGACTCGGGCAGGAGGGTTGCTGCAAGCTTGAGGCCAGCCCGAATTCAAGGCCAGCCTGTACTGCGTAATGATACTTGTCTCAAAAAAAGAAAAAGAGAAGTATATTTAACTAAAAGTACTCTAGAACAACCCTCAAAAAACTTTTAAGTGGCAGTAGACTGCTCCATTACATGAACATATGGGGAAACTTAAACTTCTTTGAAAGAATTACACACCAAACAGGGTGATCAAAACATTTGGTGTTTGATAGAAAGTATACAAATACATGTAATACTGATCTTTTTATTAAGAATCTTACATGATCAGGAGAAAAGACATGGTGAGGTTAATTAGAAGTTTGTGACTTTTGGACATGGTAGCACTTGCTTGTAATTCCAGTGTTTGGGAAGCTGAGGCAGGAAGATCGCCGTGAGTTCAAGACCAGCCTACACTACATGGCGAGACTTTTTCTGAAAAAAAGGGAAGAAAAAAACCTTTGACAACTATATTTCAGGAGTGAACTTGAACTAGTTAAGACCTGTCAAAGTTTATAATCTAGTTATGTATTTTTTTTTTTCCTTAAATTTTGGACATGTATCCCTGGGAGGTTGAAGCAAGAGGAGCATGTTTAAGACCAGCCAGGGTTAAATAGTGGGTTCGAGGCCGGCTTGGCCTGCATAGCAAGACCTTGTCTGAAAAACAAAAACAAAAAACAAAAAAAGGGCGGGGGGACCAGGGGTTTAGCTAAGCGACGTAGGTGCCTGCTTGGCAGGTGCCAAGTCATGAATTCATGAGTTCAATCCCTAGCACACACACAAAGAATTAAAATTAGGAAATTTTTTTCTTAGAAATACAGTATGCTAGGGGCTGGGGATTTAGCTCAGCAGAATAACCGCCTGCCTTGCAAGCAGGCAGTCGTGAGTTCGATCCCCGGTACCGATTAAAAAAAAAAAAAGAAATACAGTATGCTTCAGTTTAATTGATTTTTGTGTGTTTATGAACATCTCTATGGATAACACTACGATAGTGGGTTTCCGTAAGAGTGTTGCAGGATTCCCCATTCAGTAAGCATGGGTTGTCATAGTCAGCAGGATTCGGCATCAGTGTGCAGTGTCAGCACAGGGTTGGCTCGGAGTTGGAGGGAGGTAGTACCCCCTAAGCATGGGTTTCCTTCCTTCTTAGGAAGGAAGTTGTGTGCAGCTGCAGTTTGTGGGAGCCTTGGACAAGGCTCTTTAAGGGGGGTGCCAGGGTAGTAACAGACACAGAGGACAGGGCAGTCTTGTGCTTGGGTGAGCCTAGCCGGGATGCTTGGTTCACTGGAAGAAGTGGCAGTGGAAGATGTGGGCTCTTGAGGTGAGCTTGAAGGACTTTGGGATGGTGTGGTCTCTGAAAGGAGCCTCTGCAGGTGTATGGGAGAGGCCCGCTCCTGACTCAGGCAGGTGAGTGGGAAGAGGCACCTTAGTAATCTATAGGGGGATAAGAGGGCCTCACCTGGGGGATTTACTTTTGGTAATACTGGGAATTAAACTCAGGGCCTTCACACTGAGCTATGTTCCCATTTCCCATGGTCCCAGTCACTAAGGTGCCCAGGCCAGACTCAAACTTGTGAGCCTTGTGGCTCAGCCTGCCAGGGTATTGGGGTTATAGGCATGCATCTGTACCCTACAATATTGGGGATTTTAAAAGTGTGAGGGAAAATGAAACAGGAGAGTGATGGCTGTCTGTATAATACCAAAAGACTACAAGGTCTTGGCCTCAGAAGGTGGCATTGGAGGTGGCCCAGTGACCAGTTCCTGAGATTTTCAGTGGGCGCCGGAAGAGTGAATGCAGGCAGCATCCCATTTCCTTAGTGGTTGTACGTCAGTAGCACTTTGGAGTTGATTTTCTTAGCCATACACGTATCTTTAAGAAATGTTTGATGCAGAGCTTTTGTCCCATTCCACTCCATAAACACTTTCACCATAGTGTGGGGGGAGTTCTGGGCCTCTCGAGATGCACGGTCCATTGGATTACCAGTGGTAGTCTGTGGAGCATCACGCAAACAGATGCACTTTCCTGGGCTCTGCAGTGTTTGGAGGAATTTTGAATACTTTGTGGGCCCAAGGAATTCTGATTTCTAGGTTCCATTAGAAAATGGGGAGGCCTGACAGCCCCAACCCCGCACACCTCAGCTTGTAAAACTCATGAGCTGCATCGTTCCCCAGGTGCCAGCTCTCTTGGCTGCTGCTTAGGCTGGGGCTTGATACCAGTTACCAGTTTACAACCACCTGGTTTAAAAGTACTCCCTGTCTGATCCCCATCTGGTCCTTGGATTTTGTGACCCTTCAATATCCCAGTTTACCCTTCAATTATACCCCTGGTGATTTTTCTAAAAATCTAAGTGGAAACTGGGTGTGTTGGCACATAGTTATTATCTCAGCTACTAGAGAGGCTGAGGTAGAAGGATGACGGGTTGGGATGTGAACCCTGCATAGTGGTTCAGGCCTGTAATGCCAGCACTCTGAGGGTCTGAGACAGGAGGATCACAAGTTGGAGTCCAGCTTAAGCAGTATGACCCTGCCTCAAAATTAAAAATAGAGGGGCTGGGGATTTAGCTCAGTGGCATAAGTGCCTGCCTTGCAAGCAGGTAGTCATGAGTTTGATCCCCGGTACCGATTAAAAAAATAGTAATAATAATTAAAAAAATTAAAAATAGAGACTGGCTGTGGTGGTGCATCCCTGTAATCCTAGCATGTGGGAGACTGAGGCAGGAAGAATGACTTGAGTTTGAGACCAGCTTAGTCTACATAGTTCAAGACCAGTTTGAACTATGCAAAGAGATCCTTTCTCAAAAATAAAACAAAAATTTAAAAACAGGAAAGGATTGGGGTTATAGCTCAATGTGAAGGTCCTGAGTTCAACCCCACTATCACACACACACACACACACACACACACACACACAAATTGGAGGCCAAGCCAGACGTAATTTGACCTGGGCAGTTTAGCAAGAGTCCGTTTTTAAAAAAATTTAGATGGAGGAAGAAAAGGGAGAAACAAGGAAGTTTGATAATTATAGCATAGATCCTCTTGTTTTATGGTTGGTGTAAAAGTGTAGAGGACTCAGAATTTTGGTAAGTTGCCCCAAGGATACAGAGTGAAATAATTGTGTGGGGTATCAGATGTATTTCTCTGTTGGTTCTGTTTTTCTCCAGTGTCTAACGATGAGTTTCATTTCTGTGACCATTGGGAGTTTGGGATTTTATCTCCGCACTTGCGGGGTGAGGCTCCTGAGATGTTTGCGGGGTGAGGCTCCTGAGATGCTTCGCCTGCTCCTTGTTTCCTTCATGCCAGTGTACTTGGTCCCCCAGACCGGGAGCTGGGGGCTTGGACTGCATCTTCCTCTTCCTCCTCCTCCTCCTTCCTCCATCTGTGAGGTTTCACAGCAGCCTTCTCTTCCTGTCCTCTGTACCAGCAGCTTCCCATGGCTTTATGGGGGTGACAGAGGTGCTGGTGACTAGTGTCTCCCTGCTCTCATTCTTCCCACTCCTGGTGTAAGGTCCGTGGAGAAAGATGGAAACACGCAATGGCTTGCCAACCACGGCCTGCGTTACCCTGTCACCTTAGAACCCTTGCCACCACTCGGTTTTCCTCGAGAGGTTGAGGGGAAATCCGTGGCTGCTTCTCTGTACTTGCTATGTGGGCACTTGGAAATGGACATGAATCTCTGCTCCAGAGGAGCCCTAAACTTTTCTCCTGGGCTGGACTAGCTTCCAGGGTCTGAGAGAAGGAAGCAGGTGGAGGTGAACTGAGGGGAGGGTGGCTGTGACCCAGAAGGGCCCTGCTAAGGGCACATGGACTGTGCGTGGGATGCTGTGACAGGAAGGCAATGCCCAGGGGAGATGGTGGCTGCAGGGCAGTGGCACCTTGTGCTGACCTTCTCATGTAATGGGCAGAGCAGATCACCACTGGAGAAGTGGGGAAGCCAGAGTTGAGAGAACATGCAGGTGGTCCCTGGTCGGTGGTTACAGGGTTCTGGTGTAAGATTATCCCGCGGGCTGCCTGGGCCTCCAGTCTCCGGACGCGTGGCTGAACGTACTTTCTCTGTTGTTACAGAAGGTTCCTGTTGTAAAAGAGGAGGATGAGCCAGAAGAAGAAGACGAAGAAGAAATGGGCCATGCTGAAACCTATGCAGAATATATGCCAATAAAATGTATGTCTTGGAGATTTGTCAAAAAAATTCTGGGTTCTTTATGAACTTACATAACTCACCCTTGTACATTTATCTGATGGGCCATTTCAGCTATGTATCCCAGCAGTTGATAAGTGGTTATTTAGGTATGGGGGATTGAACTCATGACCTGACACTTACCAGACAGAGATTTAGGCTGCTGAGCTAAATTCCCGACTCTTAAGCTCTGTTTTTTTTTTTTTTTTTAATGTCTTTTTCGTTTTTATCGGTACCAGGAATCAAATTCACGACTGCCTGTTTGCAAGGCAGGCGCTTATGCGGCTGAGCTAAATCCCCAGCCCCCTGTTTTTAAAATACGTGAACCTTTTACTGAGAATTTTTTCAGTATACACATTTAAAACATTTAGATAGAAGTGTTTGGGCCAAGGGTATAGCCCAGCTGCACAGTGCCTGCCTGGCAAACACAATGTCCTAAGTTCAATTCCTAGTACCATAAACAAAGATTGAAGTGTTTGAAACAAAGACTAAGGAGGATTTTTATTTTGTTTCAAGTTAGTGTTGCTTATATAGTGATAATAAAAGTATCTTAACTGCTAGGCGTGGTGGTTTATGCCTGTAATCCCAGCACTTGGGAGGCTTAGGCAGGAGGATTTTTGGGAGTTCAAGACCAGCCTGGGCTACAAAGTGAGCTCAAGGCCAGCCCAAACTGCATAGAGACCCTGTCTCAAAAAGACCAAAAACAACAACAACAACAAAACGTATTTTAATTCAATTGTAGCTATAAAAGATACATACTTTAGGGGCTGGGGTTTTAGCTCGGCAGCATAAGCGCCTGCCTTGCAAGCAGGCAGTCATGAGTTCGATCCCCGGTACTGATAAAAATGAAACAGACCAAAAAAAAAAAAAAACAAGATACATAGTTTACATCTGGCATAATGACACGCCTGTGATCCCAGCACTTGGGAGTCTGACAGGATGGTCCCTGTGATTTCAAGGCCAACCTGAATTACATAGATCCCATCTTAGAAAATGGAACAACAACAGAAAAGCACACCAAACTGTATTTTATTTTGTTGTTTATTTTTTGAAACTTTATTGTAATTTGCATTATATAATGTTCATCATAGGGATTTTATTTTGTTGTTTATTTTTTGAAACTTTATTGTAATTTGCATTATATAATGTTCATCATAGGGAGTTTGTGCTTGTATAGGCTTTATCTTCGTCCTTTTCTTCTTTCCTCCTCTTCCTTCTTTTTCCTCTTTCTTTTCCCGTTCCCCTACATTTCCCTCTATTTCCAAAAGCTTTGATTGCATTACAAATGTGTAGTTTAACTTTGTATGTATATATCCTGTTGAACATTATAAAACCATTGGAATTCTTGTTTTGTTTTTTGATGCTGGGGATTGAACCAGGGCAATAAGTTGCCCAAGCTGGGCTTGGAGTCCTCCTGCTGCAGCCTCCAAGCCTGCTGGGATTATCAACATGTGCTGCCACACCAGCTCACCATGAGTCTATTTTTTTTTTTTTTTTTTTTTGTCTTTTTCCTTTTTATCCGTACTGGGGATCAAACTCACGACTGCCTGTTTGCTTATGCCGCTGAGCTAAATCCACAACCCTACCATGAGTCTTTTGTTTTGAATTTTATTAATAAATAACTTGTGCTATTTGAATTTATTGATTTTCATTAATATCATTTTTTGCCTTTTGTGTAACATTCATGATTCATGTTTTAGTGGTCACTTTCTGAAAATGAAAGTAACATAGCTTTTGTACAGAAATTTTCATTCATTATTTATATAGAAATTGAATAAATGTAAGTCTAGATTGTGTTTTGTATGTTACTAATATGTATAAAAAATCATTAATAGTATTTAAACTAAAATATTTTAATAACTTTGTAAAGACCCCAAGATTCTGTAACTTTCTTGTCATTCAAAGTGAGGGTTTTTTTTTTTTTTTGTCTTTTTCCTTTTAATGGTACCGGGGATCGAACCAAAGTAAGTTTTAGAGGGGGTGGTAGTTTATTGGGTCAGTGGCAAAGTGCCTGCCTGGCAAATATGAGGTTAGAAGTTGAGTTGCTGTTAACAAAAAAAGATAAAAAAAAGTTTTAGAGCTGGATATGGTGATGCACTCCTGTAATCCAAACACTTGGAAGCTAAGCCAGGAGGTTTGCCTGAGTTCATGGCCAGCTTTCACTACATAATGAGTTTAAGGCCGGCCTGAACAGGCTCAATAACGTTTTAGTGCCAGAATGCCAACACATTCTTATAGTTATTCCGGAGGTGGGTGCAGGGGCATTTAAAGTTTGAGGTCAGCCTGGGCAAGACCTTTAGGAGAGCTGTCTGAAAAATTTAAAGGTGCTTAGGATGTACCTGGGCTTCCCCGCCCCCCTTCATATAATTTTTTACTGGGAGGAAAAAATTGAGTTTGCCTCTCTGACCCTTTTTTTTTTTTTTTTTTTTTTGTCTTTTTCATTTTTATTGGTACCAGGGATTGAACTCACAACCACCTGCTTGCAAGGCAGGTGCTTATGCTGCTGAGCTAAATCCCCAGCCCCTCTCTGATCCTTTAAACTAGAGAGAGGTCAGCCCACAGGGTCTGTATGTACTGCTTGTCTTAGCAAATAAAGTTTTATTGGAACATAGGCATGCTCGCTGGTTTAATTATTGTCAGTGATTGCCTTTATACTGTAATAACAGTGTTTACTAGTTATGAAACAGTCTGAATGACCTGTGAAGCTGAGAACACTTAACTGCTTAACCTTTATAGAAAAAGTTTGTCAGTCACTATTTAAAATTACTCATATTGTACATTTTGGGGAGTTAGTTGCCATTTAATTTTATGCTATAGTTTCCTTCCTAAGTGAAATTTCTTCCTAAGTGAAATTATACTGTGAACTTTTGCAAAATGAAATAAGTAACTTTTAAATAAAACCTCTCTAGTCTGGGGCAGTGGGTTATATTCATTTCTGGATAATCTTATGTATTAATTTAAGGTTTTTGTTTGTTTTTGGTTTTGGGTTTTTTTGTCTTTTTCGTTTTTATCAGTACCAGGGGTTGAACTCACGACTACACACTTGCAAGGCAGGTGCTTATGCTGCTGAGCTAAATCCCCAGCCCCTTGGTTTTGGTTTTTTTAGATAGGGTCTCAATGAGTAGCCCAGGCTGGCATTGAATTTGCTTATGTAGCCCCTCATGGCCTCAAACTCACAGCGATCCTCCTTCCTTACCCTCCCGAGTGCTGCAATTACAAGAATGCACCACCATGCCTGGCTCTGAACTTATTTTTTTATTTATTACTTTATTTTTGTTTTGAAATGCAGTCCGTTTGTTTTCCAGGCAAGGCTCCAATTTGTAGGCTCTTGGGATCCTCCCAAGATGCTTGGCTAGATCAATGATTTTAAACTAGATGTTTTTTATCAGCAAGTCTTCATATAAGTTGTCCATAATTGTTAGATCATTTTAGTCAAATTTAAGGAGTACTTTACAGTCTCAGAGACTTTTTTGTGATACTGCAGCTTGAACCCAAAGTTATGCGGATACAAGTTTGCTGAGTAACATCCGCAGGGCAACATGTCACTTTATGGAGGTTCAGAATAAATAGTGCCTCAGACATTTTCTGCATCATAGGGGAAATCTTGCAGTATCTTGTAATTAAATTGGGAATGTTAGTAGAATGAAATAATTGAAGTATTTTTCAATTTTTCATCCAGTAAAAATTGGCCTGCGCCATCCTGATGCTGTAGTAGAAACTAGCTCTTTATCCAGTGTCACTCCTCCCGACGTGTGGTACAAAACGTCCATCTCTGAAGAGACCGTCGACAGTGGCTGGTTATCAGCATTACAGCTCGAGGCAATTACATATGCAGCCCAGGTAAACATTGCACATAACATGTTGGTCCATACAGTGGAGTTTTAATTAAAGAAAAAATTACCTTGTATGGAAAAATTCCTGAATGTTTTTTTAATAGCTTTATGTGTTACAAAATGAGGCAGTATCTAAGAGATAAGCAGAATGTATTTTTAGTGGAAATAGTGAATACTGTAACATTTTGTATTTACATAGGTTTGTATTTATATATATATATACATATATATATATATATATATATATATATATATATTCTGTATAAAACTTAAAAATACAGTGATACCTGCCTACCCATGTTCAGAATCCCTAAATTATGCAAGTCAGTGTATCTGTCAACAGCTAAATGGATGAAGAAAATATTACATATATACTAAGGAGTACTGTTCATTTAAAGAAGAATAAAGTTGAGTTGTTTATAGGAAAATGTATAGGTCTTAAAATCAGAATGCTAAGTGAAAGAAATCAGTGAAACCCTGGAGAGGTTAAATATTGCATGGTTTTTCTTATATGAGAAACTTAAAATGTAAATAATTTAAAGAACAAAATCAAAGATGGTAAGAGAACAGAATTTAAAACATACGTGTCCTTTTTTGGGGGACGTCTTTTTTGAGACAGGGTCTTGCTATGCAGTTCAGGCTGGGCTTAAGCTCATGTTGTAATCGAGGCTGGTATTGAACTCACAATGATACTCCTGTCTCAGCCTCCCAAGTGCTGAGATACAGGCGTGCACCCCCATGCCTGACAATATATATCTTTTAACCTAACAATTCCATTATTAGGAATCTATTCCTCAGATAGGAATATGCCTATAGTGATCCCTCCTTCCCCCAGTCAGAACGATTTGACTACCTGCATTGTTGGAAGTGATTGAATAAACTGGTGTTACTATGCCATGTGAAGTATTGTAGAGGGCTTTAAAAAATCAAACTAGGATTAACACCAGTTTTCTTACATCGGATTTTAATCATGTTCCTTTTTTTTTTTTTTTTTTTTGGAGACAGAGTCTTGCTGTGCAGTTCAGGCTGGCCTTAGGCTCACTTTGTAGCCCAAGGCTGGTCTCAAACTTACAACGATCTTCGTGCCTCAGCCTCCTGAGTGCTGGGATTACAGGAGTGTGCCACTACGCTCTACTTCATGCTCCATTCTGTAAAATAAGTAATGACCCAAATAATCCAATATCTCCCATAATTATGCATGACATGCAGCGTAGTATTTGATTATGTAAGTGTTGAAAGGAGCATGGAAGGCTTCTCACCAGTTTGTAAATTCCTCAGATTTGCAGCACGAGGATTGCTGCAAGTTCAAGTTTGCAGCCAGCCTGGGCTACATAATGAATTCAAGACCAGCCTGTGCTACTTAGTGAGGGTGAGACCCTGTCTGAAAAGAATAAAAATGTCTTGGTGCAAGAGAGGGTAGCAAGAAAGAAAATGTAGTAAATCTGTGGACAGTACCCACATTAACTAAGGCCAGACCTTCTGGCATTGATGTAGCAAAAGGCAGGCATGTTCCTGAAACTGTGTGAAAGGTTCTGGAGATGATGGAGGCTTAGTTACTTGTCTTCTCTTTTTTTCAGCAACATGAAACATTCCTACCTAATGGTGATCGTGCTGGCTTCTTAATAGGTGATGGTGCTGGTGTAGGGAAAGGCAGGACGATAGCAGGAATCATCTATGAAAACTACTTGTTGAGTAGAAAGAGAGCACTGTGGTAAGTGTCGGGAACAGGCTGTGGGAGGCTCCATTTGTGGACAGCTTGGCATGCGGGAATGGGTTTAATGGAATGGGTATTTTTAAGTGTTCCAACTGGCATCATTCCTAAATTCTACTAGAGTAGTGTAACTTGGATTTAGTTTGTTTTTTTCTTTTTATGACAGGTTCAGTGTTTCAAATGACTTAAAGTATGATGCTGAAAGAGATTTGAGGGATATTGGAGCAAAAAACATTTTGGTCCACTCATTAAATAAGGTATGAAAACTTCTGTTTACCTGGTTATTGAGTAAATATTGAACCCACCTGTGAGGTGGGAATAACCATCTCTACTTTGTAGGATTGTTAGGATTCAGTGTGTTATTCCAAGCGCAGCCACTCCTGTTGGTACATATGTTACTGTGTGCCCGGTACCACGCCAAGGAGTGGCTGTGTAGTGAGCAAGGAAAACAGGCATTGTCCCTGCTGCCATGGAATTTGATTTCTCAGTCTTTAGTTATTTTGTCTTAGTTTCTTTTTTTTTTTTTTTTTTTTTTTTAAATTTTTTTTTTTTTTCTTTTTCCTTTTTATCGGTACGGGAATCGGACTCACAACCGCCTGCTTGCAAGGCAGGTGCTTATGCCACTGAGCTAAATCCCCAGCCCCTTTTGTCTTAGTTTCTTTTTTTCTTTTTTTTTTTTTTTTTTTTTTTTTTGTCTTTTTCATTTTCATCGGTACCAGGGATCGAACTCACGACTGCCTGCTTCCAAGGCAGGCGTTTATGCCGCTGAGCTAAATCCCCAGCCCCTTGTCTTAGTTTCTTAAGTACTTTTTTTTTTTGGTACCAGGGATCAAACTCATGACCTTGTACTTGCCAGGCAGGCGCTTAGTCTGCTGAGCTAAATCCTTGACACTCTCAAGTACGTTTATGTGGCTGTTTGTGTGGTGTGTGTAGAGAGGCTGTCCTTGTCACCGTAGGGCACCAAGTGCTGTGCAAGGGACCTTGTGGGTTAGAGATTTGGTTCGTATTCCTCTGGCTCATGAACTTGGTGCGTGTACCTGTGTTCATGGCAAAAGAGTTCATAAGAAAGTGGGTGATATGCCTAAAACGCAGTCTACTGTGACTAGAATCTTGATGTTCATTTAGGAAGTCTTCATTGATACACTGTGTTGGTTATCAAGGTAAAACACAGTTCCTGTAACTGCCTTTCTGCAAATAAGTAAATGCAAATCTGCTGTCCTGCTGCCCTGAGTTGGTTCATGGTCCAACAGAGTAGTTTGTTAGCTTAAAATTGTTTTAAATGGGGGCTGGGGATTTAGCTCAGCGGCATAAGCACCTGCCTTGCAAGCAGGCAGTCGTGGGTTCGATCCCCGGTACCGATAAAAAGGAAAAAGACAAAAAAAAAAAATTTGTTTTAAATGATCGTGTATGAATAGTTTAAAACTGAAAGCATACAGGTAAGACCTGTAAATATCTTAATCCTGAGCAGTGTAATCCAAAGGGGTTACATTAACTAATACTCTTTCAGAATTTAATCACAGTGCTTTGCTGTAGTAAATGGATAGTAAATATTTGTGGAGTAGATACTGTGACTTGTTTCTAAAGGGGTGTTTGATTATTATTTTTTGAATGATGGACTCCCTTGAGACTTTGAAAATTGCACCATTATACCATAATATGTGTGTGTGTGTGTGTTTGTGTGTGCGTGCGCGCATGCATGCATGCGTTTGTGTACAAGACATTTTGTGTTGTATCTTAGGAAGTGTTTGGACTTTTTTCAGCCTATTAGGAACCTATTCAGTTTAAGAGGTCCTGCTATAGAATTTTGGGTCAGATAAATGTTTCCCAGACTAATTATAGCCTTTTCTTTTCTGATTTTAGTTTAAATATGGAAAAATTTCTTCCAAACATAACGGGAGTGTGAAAAAGGGTGTTATTTTTGCTACATATTCTTCTCTTATTGGGGAAAGCCAGTCTGGTGGCAAATATAAAACTCGGTTGAAACAACTTCTGCATTGGTGCGGTGACGACTTCGATGGAGTGGTATCCTTTATGACAACTGTGATTCTATTTTTTAATGGCATAAAAGTATAATAAAACAGACTTTTGGCAAAGGAGAGTCCTAGGATTAGATGAATAGATTGTTGGGATGGCAGTTTTAATTATTAGATTCCCAGACGGCTGGAAAGTTGAGTCAGTTTGTCAGAGAAATAACTGATTTAGGAAAAGATGAGTAGGTGAGAGCGGTGCTGGGTGTGGTCACTTAGGTGGGTGTTCACATTAAATGGCAGGGCACCGAGACACCAAGTGAAAGGAACATTGTGTGATTTTAAAATGTATTGTTCACAGTTTATCATAAGTTATCCTGTGCGAAGCATCACATGTTGTGAAATGCTGGGTAATTTGGGTCCCTGTTACAGTGTGTACTGGTATACACAGTTCATTTTTTCCAGCATAATCTGTGGTGGACGCGTCTTGCTATAGAAAACCCATTGCTGCATCCTAGTTGGAAATTAAATGCCTGGCTAAGCTAAATACGGTAGCAGTCAGTGTGCGCCTGAAAGCTGGGCGGGAGAGTGGCTGGCTGTGTGGGAGAGGCACCTGGATGGCCTCCTTCATACCGGTAAAGAAGAGGCCCTCTGAATCTTTGGGGAGCTGAATGTTAACTCTTCCTAAAGAACTGATACATGTTAAGGAATGTAGCATATTCCTTAACTCAGTCCTTACAGATAGTGTTTGATGAGTGTCATAAAGCAAAAAACTTATGTCCTGTTGGTTCTTCAAAACCCACCAAGACAGGCTTAGCAGTTTTGGAGCTTCAGAACAAATTGCCAAAAGCCAGAGTTGTTTATGCAAGTGCCACTGGTGAGTATTATTTAATTTAAAAAATAGGTATAAATTCTATTTGCAGCTATAGTATATTTGGGGATTTTCCAGGTGCTTCGGAACCGCGTAACATGGCCTATATGAACCGCCTTGGAATCTGGGGTGAAGGAACTCCATTCAGAGAATTCAGTGATTTCATTCAAGCAGTGGAGCGCAGGTAATGCAGCTTGTGGTGCATGCTGTGTTCATTCGCACTGGGAAACACATTACTGCTAAGCCCTACACTGTAGATTAAAGTCCTGCTTTACTTGATAGTTACTGAGTGTTTTCATTTTCTTCAGAGGTGTTGGTGCCATGGAGATAGTTGCTATGGATATGAAGCTTAGAGGAATGTACATAGCCCGACAGCTGAGTTTTACTGGAGTGACCTTCAAAATTGAGGAAGTTCTGCTTTCTCAGAACTATGTTAAAATGTATAACAAAGCAGTCAAATTGGTGAGAAGTGTTTTTTTTTTTTTTTCTTTGTCTGAGAAGTGTTTCTTAATTCCTAATGTTTTCGGTGTACAAATAATATTGGTTGGTTTTGTCCATTGTAATGTCTGTCGGCTCATAGGAATGCATTTCTGCTATGAAATGACAGGAAAATTACCACAACAAGTCATTTAACCAATATCTTTATTTTCTAAAACTTCCAGTTTTCACTAAAGTGATCCATCAAAAAAATAGCCATTTACTTGAGTGATACAGTTCTCAAAAAATGGCATTATATGTAAGTGTATTCTAAACTGGCTGTCTTAGGGAGTAAGAATATTAAGACAGCTCAGAAGCTCTCCAGGTTACTATTATCTTTATTGAAGGTCATTGTAAAGTAACTGCTCAGAGATAAAGCATGTATACTGTTGGCTTTGTCTGTAGTGGGTCATCGCCAGAGAGCGGTTTCAGCAGGCCGCAGACCTGATTGATGCTGAGCAGCGGATGAAAAAGTCCATGTGGGGCCAGTTCTGGTCTGCACACCAGAGGTTCTTCAAGTACTTGTGCATAGCGTCCAAAGTGAAGAGGGTTGTGCAACTAGCACGGGAGGAAATCAAGAATGGAAAAGTAAGTTGTACAACTTACTCAGAGATTGAATACTTTTCGTTATATTCTTGTGGGACGGAGGTTTCTCTCTTAACGAAGTCAAGTCTTTGTAAAGGATAATTACAAAAAGACTAATATAGTAGGATTTTAAAATGTAGTTTTAAAAATTAAGAAAGCACTGACTATTTAGATAGTTCAAGGAGTGACAAAATAAGTACCAGTCCAGTTTGACCATTACCACTGATAACCACAGATCCACTAACAGATACTGCCTGAAGCCAACTCCCTGTCCAGAGACTGAACCTCGGGCCACTGTGCTGCACTCCCCAGCTCTTTTAAAATTGGAGATTGACTCCAGGGCTTTTTGTACTAAGCTACTTCCCCAGCCCTTTTTAATTATTTGCTGATTTATTTATTCAGGTTGGCCTTGAACTCATGGTGTAGCCCAGGCTGGCCTTGTGGCCATCCTTTTTCCTCAGCCTCCAGGTATCATAGTTATGTGCCACCATGCTTGGCTGCAAACTTGAGATCTTTTTGCTTCATTCTTCCAGAATACCAAAAGTGCAAGTGTGCACCCTCATGCCCAGTTGATTTTTTTCCTTTTTGAAGACTTTATCTGTTTAAAACACAAGAGGCTGTAAATCCGTAATGGCAGAGGTGTTAGTCATGCTATTATGATCTATTTTCTGTTTTAAGCATGTCTGAAATATATAATATAAATACATTTCAAAATAATAGTCTTTGAAATCTTTAGTTTTTGTTAAATATTTAAAATACATCTTAAGGTCATGATGCACAGTATGTTAACCATTGTTGCTCTAATTTTTATGAAAATTTTTTCATAGTTTTTATATTTATTAATAAAAAATGCATTTGATAAAGTCAAAAGTTAAAAGGCTGGGTGTGATAGAGCAGGCCTGTGATTCCCAGCATTTGTGAGGCTGAGGCAGGAGGATCTCTGTGAATTCATGGCCAGCTTGGGCTACATAATGAGACCCTGTCTTAAAAAAGATTTTAAAAAAAAGGCCAACAAGCATGTGTTATTTGTAACTACCTTACTTTCTTCTTACAGTGTGTTGTAATTGGTCTGCAGTCTACAGGAGAAGCTAGAACATTAGAAGCACTGGAAGAAGGTGGAGGAGAATTGAATGATTTTGTTTCAACTGCCAAGTAATGTGTTTGTTTATGTTACTTTTTGAGTTTCTTCCATTAGTTCAGATACTGGCACATCTTGACAAAGTTTTGCATCACCTATGTATCATCTTTAAAAGCTTTCCTAATTTGATTTTTTTGCCATTCTGTGCCAATCTGTATTACATTTTATCCATTAGAAAACAGTAAAAATATATCTGGGTACAGTGTTGTACACTTATAATCTCAGCATTCAGGGTTACAACCTGGACTATGTAGGGTGTTGAAGGCCCGCCTGCATCCTATAGTGAGACCCTGTCTCGAAGCAAAACAAAATAGTAACTTAGAAATGTCATAATCTTGACATAATGTTACATGTTCTATCAGTATTTATTACAATATATGGATTAACAGAAGTACTTTATTCTTTGTTTAAACACCTTGGAAATCTGGTTGAGTTTGAGTTTGACTTGTATGTATGTATAATTACCATTATTTTCTAGAGGTGCACCACCTAGTTTCCCCTGATACCATAAAATCTGTAAAATTGAAATTTAGGCAAGTGATCTTCAAAAGCTGTTAAAAATGTTATTTCTGACAATAAAATTAGTAACCTGGTTTCTGCCACTTTACATCTACTCTTAGAATACTTCTAAGTGCTACATTGAAGATAGATAAAATTGAAAATTACTTTTGTTTTTGTTCTGTTTGATTCCTTGAGAGAGGGTCTCTATGTAGCTAAGGCTGGCCTACTCATTGGGATCCTCCTGCCTCAGCCTCTCAAGGGCTGGGATTACAGGCATGCAGCACCACACCGGATGATGATAGGGAGTTCGAGGCCAACCTGGACTGCATAGCAAGACCTTGTCTCAAAAAAAAACAAAGTTTCTGTAGTTTCACCAGTTTTCCTTCTTTGTCGTCGTCTTCTTCTTCTTCTTTTTTTTAAATAATGAATTTTCTGATGGATCTTTTCAGGGAGGACCTCATTTTGTTTTATTGATAAGTCAGGGTGGTTTTGGCTGTTGCCCATGCTTAAACACCGACTCAAGTGATCCACTGATCTCAGGCTCTCAAGTAACTGGAAGTATAGATATATAGCACTGTACCTCACTCCCTGTTACACTCTTACGTTTGCTTTTTACTTTGTTACCGGCAATCAAACTCATAACGTCATGCTTGCCAGGCAGGCACTGTGCCACTGAGCTATGGCCCTGTTTATTTTTTAGCAGAGCCTCAGTATGCATTTCAGGCTAGCCTTGAACTCATGGTGCTCCTCCTCCCTCTGCCTTACTTGTTTTTTTGTACCGGGGATGGAACTCAAAACCTTATGCTTGCAGGCAGGCACTTAAACCACTGAGCTAAATCCTTGGCTTCCTAAGCCTCTCGAGTGCACGGATTATAACTATGTGCCACCGACCGTAGCCTCCTATTACATTTTTACATAGCTACATAGAAAACGTAAAATAATTTTTTAAAGTTTAAAAATTGCACGTATGACTTTGCTTCCTTTTTTTCTCCAGTGGGATGGGGTTTACCTTGAAAATTAAAATGCATTGAGGAGTATTATTTGTACTTCACAAGATTGAAAAAGTGTGTTTCTTTTAAAATGATATATTCAATATATTCATATGCCATAGTACGTGATTTTTTCAGGTGAAGCAGTAATTGTCACTGTCCCTCTCCTACAGAGGAGTGTTGCAGTCACTCATTGAAAAACACTTCCCTGCTCCAGACAGGAAAAAATTGTATAGTTTGCTGGGAATCGATCTGACAGCTCCGAGTAACAACAGTTCTCCCAGAGATAGCCCTTGTAAGGAAAGCAAAACGAAGAAGCGGAAAGGTGAGCCCTGGAGCTGCTGTTGGGAGTGCTGTGGATGGGCGTGCTTTGAAGCAGCAGGATTTGGGGAAGGAACTGCTTTTCTTAAACTAGCAAGTCGTTGTGTGTGTTCAGTGTTACCCTCGTACTCTGGAATGCACAGGTAACCGACCTGCTGTTTTTAATTAGAACATGAGCTGTTAACTGGTACTGGGCACTGGAGTTTTTAGACTTAGGTTTATTGTTTAACCCGTCAGGAGTCCTGAGGAAGTTATGTTTTATTTTTTGTTTTACAGATAGAAATTTAAACACAGTAAGATTGAGAGGTTAAATGTTTCCAGATTCACATAACTAATGACTGATGCACAACAACTAAAATACGGGTCTCTCTTTGTCAAAGCTGATTTTTAGGAAATACCTAACTAGGTGGGGAGGACTGTAAAGAGGCTTGGGCTAGGTTCCTGATTACTGGGAGAACACTCCCCATGTTGACAATTTTTTGGTAGTTTTTTTTTTTCCTTAATACAAGCGAATCAAACTCATGACTTTGCGCTTGCCAGGCAGGTGCTTATGCCATTGAGCTAAACCCCTGGCTCACCATGTAACAGTTTGTAACACACATTAGGGTTTGCTGTTTGTATGTTTACTGACATAATCAACTGATTGACTGTTGTGTCTTAGTAGTTTCAACGCCCTGGGTTCAGTGCCCAGTGTTGTGCAAAACAAATTGATCAATATAAAAACCTATGATAGCCATGCATGGTAGCACATGCCTGTAATTGTAGCACTTGGGAAGCTGAGGCAAGAGGATCATTGCAAATTCGAGACCAGCCTTGTGGGTTACAAAGTGAGCTCAAGGCCAGCCAGAACATTATAGTGAGACCCTGTCTCAAAAAGACAAAAAACAATGACAACAACAACAAAAAACATGTGATGTTGGGTATTCTAAATGTCCAACCCTTTAGTCTTATTTCATGCATTTTGGATACATGTTTCCACATACTTATTACACCTAAAAATGAGTTAGCGAATATAGTTCTGTTAAGGTTTGGTTTTTTGGACACGATCTCAGTGTATAGTTCAGACTGGCCTTGAGCTCAATGTGTAGCTCAGGTTGTCCAAAAACTCTTGATCGTCCTCTTGCCTCAGCCTCCTGAGTGCGAGGATGCCAGGATTGCTGGTGTTACAGGTTTTTTGGGGCATGAGGAATTGAACGTAAGACCTTAGCTTGCCAGGCAGGCCCTGCCCTGCTGAGGTATATCCCCAGTCCCTTCAGCGGCTGTTACTTTAAAGGGCAGTGTAAAAAAATGTTTTTAGTAGCACAAAAAGGAATGCTGTCTTACATTCAGCGATGTCTTGGGTTGACTAAATGTTCATGTTTTGCTTTCCTGAGTTAAGTTCTCACCATCTCACTAGCCCTAGAACCTTTTAATATTTTTAGTTCTGATTATTTTTAGATCTCTTTTCCAAATATTCAAGAACATAATTTGAATTAGCACCTTGTGTACTTTTAAAAAAAAGAAGGTTTGAAGTCCAAGGAGATGTAACTCAGTGGTAGAGTGCCTAGCATGTGTTGGGCCCCAGGTTAAATCCCAGACTTGGGAAAGAAAACAGTTTTCATGCATCAGTGTTTCCCTTGTTCCATGGGTATGAACCTGTAGGTATCCACGTTCTTCTTGCTGTCTCACACAGAATTCAGTGCCTGCCAGGTGCTGTTCTGACTGTTCTGATCAGTTTTCAGGCCTGTGAACTTGAAGGCTCTACTGTTTAAAGTTTGTAATTGGGTGTTTGATTTCTTCAGTCACTGAACAGAGCCTTTCTTTGTAAGGAATTCTAGAGTGCTTGCTTGAGTTTTTGCTTTTGCCTCCTTTTTGTCTGCACATCATTTGAAGCAGTTTTGAACTGAATATATGTCTGGGAGCTTTAGAAACACTGTTTCAGCCAATGATCTTATCTGGGTCTTGGGTAGGTGAAGAAGTAAGTCGAGAAGCTAAAAAGGCACGGAAAGTTGGTGGTCTCACGGGCAGCAGTTCTGACGACAGCGGGAGCGAGTCCGATGCCTCTGATGCTGAAGAAAGTGACTATGAGAGCTCAAAGAACATGAGCTCTGGGGAAGACGATGACTTCAACCCCTTTAGAGATGAGTCCAGTGAAGACGACGAGGACGGTGAGCGCAGCCTTAGGGGTGGCTGCTGGCCAGAAATGCCCCAGGGTTCTGGCCAGAGCCTGCTGGTTAGAGCCTTTTTCTCTGCAGTACAAAGGACCATGCAGGTTGTAACGTTTGTCGAGTGGTGAGCTCTAGACTGGTCTGTCTGGGTCTTATAAGTCAGATTCTGATCTGCTCATGCAGTGATTTATTTTTGTTAGTCCATGTCTCCTGTGCATGATGACATTCATCATGGGGAATAGCACATGTATATAACACATTGCAGTGTTTTTTATGTCCCCTTCTTCATCCCTCCTTCCTCTCAGCGTGTGGGTGGATATATTGGGCTACTATAGTTGGTAATGATTTATAAGTAAATCAGTTAACAGTACCAAAAAAATTCAATGTTGAGCCTCATACAGTAGTAGACATCTCTAATTCCAGCTGCTTGGGAGTGTGAGGCAGGAGGATCACAAGTTCTAGACCAGGGCTGCGAATTTAGCTCAATTAGCGAATTTAGCTTGTCAGGCAAGCACAAGGTCATGAATTTGATCCCCGGTAACCACCTCCACCAAAAAAAGAAAGAAAATCATAACAATCATAGCCTGACTGACTGAGACCCAGTCTCAAAATAAAATGATAAGTGCTCAGGGTTGTAGCTTAGTGGCAGAGCATTCAGCGGCCCTGTGTATCATCTCTGCTACCACCACACAAAAATCAAGGATTATGTCCTTTGAAGACACATGTTTATTTTAACCAATCCTTGGTACGCATTTTGCCTTATCTTTCAGATCCTTGGTTAATCAGAAAAGATCACAAGAAAAACAAAGATAAAAAAAAGAAGAAAAGTATAGATCCAGATTCTATTCAAAGTGCCTTATTAGCATCAGGTCTTGGATCAAAACGACCTAGTTTTTCATCCACACCAGTGATTACACCTGCTTCTAACAGCGCACCAGGTATCTGTAGAAACTTGCGCTATTTGTGAGATGCGCTTCTGCTTAATACACACTGTGCAGTGACTTGCATGAATGTTCTTTCCCTAGCGAACAGCAACTCCAGCAGTAATAGCAGCCTCATAACGAGTCAGGATGCTGTCGAGAGGGCCCAGCAAATGAAGAAAGACCTACTGGAAAAACTAGAGAAGTTAGCTGAAGACCTTCCTCCTAACACCCTGGACGAACTTATTGATGAGTTGGGAGGCCCTGAGAATGTTGCAGAGGTAAGCCTTACTTGATGAGGCCTGTGTTTCTTCTTGTTAATTTTTTGCCACTTTAAATCCTGTAAAATGAACGGTAGTCAAACCCTGTGGTATGAGTGGTATTTTGGGTGTCATCACAGTCACCTGTCTGGTTTCCTGTGGAAGCTCTGAGAATGGTAATTTCACTGCAGTTACTCCTCTAGTGCTGGTGAAGTCTTGTCCACAGTGTCTTGAGTGTGCTGAGCTGTTGGTCTCAATGGCCCCCCTTGAGGGCCATCTTGTGTGATGGTGGCCACTGTTAGCTCCTCCCAGGGACTGTAATGCAGTGTGTTGTGTCCTTGGGAGCTGGTACTAATGCCAGGATTTCCTCAGTGAAGGAGGTGGTCCGAGTTCCTTGTGCACAGTCAGGCACCAGGATTGTCATGACGCTGTTTGGCTTTTCAGATGACTGGTCGCAAGGGACGTGTTGTGAGCAACGATGACGGAAGTATATCTTATGAGTCAAGGTCAGAACTTGATGTGCCCGTGGAAATATTAAACATTACAGAAAAACAGAGGTTTATGGATGGAGATAAGGTATGTTTTGCTAGGGTGCTTTTTGGGGAGATGGCTTCCATATGTTTAGATTGAGCTTTAGTCAGGCATGCTGGCACAAGCCTATAATCCAAGCTATTCCAGTGGCTGAGTCAGGAGGATCTTGGGTCTGATGTCAGCCCGAACTACATTGTAAGACCCTATCACAAAAACAAGCAACCTCAAAACAAAGTGTGATGTATCTCTTGACATTCACTGTCATATATTACTCAGGAGATTATTTGAAAATTAGGTAACACCCCTTCCAAATAGCAAGCATCTCACCACTTTACCCATGTTTTTCTTTATATTTCATAGAACTTTTCTGCTTCTGCACCGAGAGAATTTAATAGGTCTCACTATTAACATTGGCTTTTAAAATATTCTATCATGGGCCGGGGATGTAGCTCAGTGGCATAAGTGCCTGCCTTGCAAGCATGTGGTCGTGAGTTCAAGCTCCAGTTCCCAAAAAAAATTCTATAAGGCTGGGTGTGGTGGCTCACACCTATAATCCCAGCATTTGGGAAACTGAGGCAGGAGGGTTGCTGCGGTTTAAGGCCAGCCTGGGTTACAAAATGAGTTTAAGGCTAGCCTGAACTGCTACTGTCTGAAAAAGACCCTCTGAAAAATAAATAAAATTTAGTAATAATAATGAAGTTATAAAACTATTATATATTTGAAAGAGTAGGAAGAAGCCAGATGGTAGTTGTATAATCTCAGCACTGTGGAGGCTAAGGCAGGAAGAGGATCATGATTTCTGAACCAGTTGAGTACATAGGAAAATCGTACATCAACAAACAACTGAAAACAAAAATTGACTTAAACAAGCTTGATGTTTCTGTTATGTGCATGTTTGAGTACATAGACTGGGGCCAGCATGGCTCCTTGAAAGCCAGACTTCTCCACCTAATTTTTTTTTTTCCCCCAAGAGAAACAGGCTTTTCTATGTTCCCAAGCTGGTCTCCAATTCCTGGGTACAGGTGATCCTCTGACCCCAGTGTGAGGACAGTGGGCTATAGGGTGGTGCCACTGCTGCCTACTTGCTGATTTAGTTATGGAGGCTCCATCTTTAAGTTGCTTCTGTGTTGCAGGATTGTGTGCTATGGTCAGGGGTGTGGCTCAGAGGCCTCAGTCCTCAGCACTGCAGAAACAAATGCAGCAGGGAGATGAGCTTGTCTGTTCCTTTTAAGGAAGTGTCCTGGACATTGTCCTTCTCAGGCAGACCCTGTGCATCTCCACACTTAGCAGGAAGGGAAGGCTGGGAGCGCTCCTCTTGGTTCCAGGTAGCTGTAGGCCAGCTGCAGCTGGGTCCGGGCACCAGCAAACGCCATGGGAGGACTCTGTGCATAGAGTACTGCTCTGCTTGTTCTCGTGCTGAGGTATTTTCTTTTTTTTTTTTTTTCTTAAATTCGATGTAGAATATTGCTATTATCTCAGAAGCCGCCAGTTCAGGTATTTCATTACAAGCAGATCGCAGAGCTAAAAATCAAAGGCGAAGAGTTCATATGACTCTGGAATTACCCTGGAGTGCAGATAGAGCAATTCAACAATTTGGTAAGTTTGTACACTGAATTTCACTCGGCAAATGGGTGCATATTAGTATCAGAAGTCTTAGAATGTGATGCCTTAGGTTTTGCATTTAACTTTGGGAAAGATTTTAAAATGTATAGTGCTCTATGAATTTCTTTCTTGCCTCCTGGCACTTCACTGAGAACGAGGCTCCTGGGAGCACCTTTGATGACCTGTGCACTTGGGTGCTACTTTTCAATCCTCAGGGCCCCATTGCTGTTCCTGTCTCATCTGTTTCACGTTTCTGTGGCCTGGTGATTTAAAAACAACTGTAGGATCATCAACTGTATCGTCAGCTTTCTTGTTAACCAAAGCTAGGGTAGTGATAGTAATTTATGTCATCTAAGTGGCTCGCAGGAAGTTCTAGTCCTTGTAAGGGCAGTAGTGCTCTGCAGAGGTCTGTCACTCAGATCGGTGTTTCTACTTTGTACTTGTGGGGAGCTGTGGGAAATGTCACATTATCGTTCATTTTAAGTAACTTAATGGTAAGTGTTAGAGATAGGTCTCAGAATATGAACAGTTTGTGATCTCTACCAAAATGTCATTACAGGAAGAACTCATAGATCAAATCAAGTCACTGCTCCCGAGTATGTCTTTCTGATTTCTGAACTGGCAGGAGAGCAGAGATTTGCCTCTATTGTTGCCAAAAGACTTGAGAGCCTGGTAAGGTTTTGAGTCATGTAGATGCTGAGTCAAAGATGACCTGTGCTGGCTGGCTCACAGTAGAGGCTTAACTCCCTTGATTGCAAATGTCGTTTTGCTAGGGGGCGCTTACACATGGCGATAGAAGAGCAACAGAATCTCGGGATCTGAGCAGATTCAACTTTGACAATAAGGTACATTTCAGCTTCAGCTTCTCTGAAAGCTTGGAAACGTGTGTGGTGTGCAATGATGGACAAGGAAGGTTGTTCCAAATGGTTTCAAGCCGGAGACCCCAGGCTGGCATGGAGAGTGCGTGAGTGCATGGCTGCCGGAGCCTCAGAAGTGAAGCCTGATGGGGAAGCGGCAGCTCTGCTTGCCATCGGGGTTAGCCTTGACATGCAGCTGTACCCTGACGCTGAGCTTGCGGAGCACACTGCAGTCAGCATCTTTTTCTTCCTTCCTTCCTTCCAAGAGGAGGAGGAGCATAATAAGCCCTGGGGAGGGGACCGGTGTGAGTTCCCAGAAGTCACGTTACTAATTGAATGCCGTTTGTAGGAGCAAGTAGTCGACAGTGTAAGAAACATACAAAGATAACCGGAACTGCTGTTTTTGAATTTCTAGTCAGTAATAGTTTTTATAGCATTCTGATGGTTTTGTGATTGAAGTGTCTGAATTCTAAGACTGGGTAATTTTTTTTTCAGTATGGAAGAAATGCTTTAGAAATTGTTATGAAATCCATTGTAAATTTGGACTCTCCTATGGTATCACCTCCACCTGACTATCCTGGAGAATTTTTCAAAGGTAACCTAGAGAAGCTGTCATAGCATGAAAAATGATTACTGATATGGGTACGATAAAAATCATTCTAGTGTTTATTGTTTCAGCTGGTTTTTTTGACATAAACTGTAAAATTTAGCAATTTTACTGGGTATGGTGATGCATGACTTGTAATCCCAGCCCTTGGGAGCTTGAGGCAGGAGGATGCTGCATCAAGGGCAGTCTGAACTACATAACAAGACCATGTCTCAGAAAACTATAAAACACAGGGCTGGGGATTTAGCTCAGTGCCATAAGCACCTGGCAAGGGTGAGGTCATAAGTTAGATCCCCAGTGGAAACCAAAAAAGAAAACTACAAAACAAAACAACTTTGAAAAAGTTAAGGTGATTAGAACACAAGTTGGTTTTCTTTTCTTTTCTTTTCTTTTCTTTTTTTTTTTTTTTTTGTCTTTTGTCTTTTTGTGACAGGGTCTTAATATGCAGTTCAAACAGGCTGGCTCTCAACTCACTTGGTAACCCGGGCTAGGCTGGTCTTGAACTCATAGCAGTGCTTCTGCCTCAGCCTCCCAAGGGCTGGAGTTACAGATGTGCACCACCACACCCAACTGTGTTTGGTTTTTATAATGGACAAGTTTGTTAAAACTGGTTTTATGATGTTGAGTGCGGTTTTGTTCATAATATCTAACAGGAAGGTGATTTTGGTACATTAATTAAAACTGCTTTGTCAGTAGCTTTTAAAACTTAATTTTAGTCTTGGATTTGAGATTAGCAGTGTGCTAGGCTAATGTGCTAGAGGCTGCTGGAGCTGGTGGGCTTTGGGCCTAGATTTTGTGTGTGTTTTGTTTCCGTGGCAGTGGGGTAGAGCTCATGCTGTGCCCCTGTTCTACCACTGCACCACTTCCCAGGGGCCCAGGTACTTTGTTACTTTTTATTTTACTTTGAGCCCTGTCTTACTGATTGGCCTAGGCTAGGCTTGAACTTTTGGTGTTCATCTGTACCCTCTAGGAGCTGGATAATGCAGTCATGTCGTACGTCATCCAGCTTAGTTAACGGAGAAAGTACTGAATGTTCTAAGGCATTGATATTGTACTATGTCCCTGGCCCCTTGTAAAATGTGAAGACAGGATCTTGCTAAGTTGCTCAGGTTTGACTGGCAGTCCTCCTATCTCAACCTCTCAGAATGCTGGAATTACAGGGAAGTTTATTTTCCTACAGATGTTCGACAAGGACTGATAGGTGTTGGCCTGATAAATGTAGAAGACCGCTCAGGAATCCTTACTCTTGATAAAGGTAACATTAACTAACTCTCTCTGCACATGGAACTGCTGCTGTATTTGGAAGCCTGTGTGGTTACGTGTGCTTTGCTGAGCTAAGAGGAAGCATCAGGTTGGTTCTTCATCTTTCAGGATTGAGCACCACAGGTAGTTTTAGCTGCGGTGGTTATTCAGAGAGATCACAGGACAGCAGTTCTCAACTTTGGCTGCACATGTGATCACCTGTCAGGCTTTTATAAAACATTGAGTCCAGCGATGACTCTCGAACATGGATAGTTCTCCACGTTTCCCAGGAATTCCAGTCAGGTCAGAGGTCACCGATTCTGCAGCTCCTCCACCCCAAGTTCAACTTTTATGCTGATGACTCTACATCCTCACATGCTAAATTGTGTTCATATGGGGCTGAAGTTAGGCTGAAGATGCACAGAGTCAATTCAGTGAATGTTCTGGAGTATGCTCTGCAGTGCTGATGTTCCTGCACTGCAAACAGCCGGTTATGGCCTTGACAGTGGCAAGAGAATTGGGAGGGAAGGCTGTAGAATGAAAGTAGTTTTGAAGTTAGCCAGGTTGAATTTTTAGAATGTTAATTACCATTTGAGTGCCTGAAATTACATAATTTTGTTGCAGATTATAACAACATAGGAAAGTTCTTAAATAGAATTCTGGGCATGGAAGTACATCAGCAGAACGCATTGTTTCAGTATTTTGCGGACACACTTACTGCGGTGGTTCAGAATGCCAAAAAGAATGGACGCTATGACATGGGGATCCTGGGTAAGTGGGGAAGTGAGATGCTGTCATGTGTGTCTTTGATAGAAGTGTCCTTGTTTCATCATGTGTTGCTTTTTCTTTTTCAAGATCTCGGCTCTGGAGATGAAAAGGTGAGGAAAAGTGACATGAAAAAGTTTCTGACTCCAGGGTATTCAACGTCTGGCCACGTAGAGTTATACACGGTGAGTTTGGCACGTGCTCCTCCCGCCTGAGGGCATTCACATGATAGGCATTCACAGCGAGGAGCGTGACCGTCACATCTCGTGATTTCTTTCGCAGATCAGTGTAGAGAGGGGAATGTCCTGGGAGGAAGCAACCAAGATCTGGGCTGAGCTGACAGGACCAGATGATGGCTTCTACTTGTCGCTGCAAGTACGACTTCCCTTAAGTGTTAATCCTTTAGATCGATAATGGTTTTCACTCTCAGCACTTGGACCTTACCTTCCTTCTGTACCAGAATGTCCAGTTGTGTTTGGTTTTCACTATTGTGATAATTTTTTCTTAGGATTGTGTGACCTTGTACATGCATTTCCACTTAAGCTATTTTGAGAGATATTAAAGAGTCCTTTTCAATGTTTTGTTTTCATTTTTGAGACAGGGCTTCATTATGCAATTCAGGCTAGCCTTGAGTTCACTTTGTAACCCTGCTTGCCCTCAAACTCAAAGCAGTCTTCCTGCCTCAGCCTCCCAAGTGTGGGGATTACAGGCCTGTGCCACCATATCTGGCTGTGATTTTGTGTGTTTTTGTTGTTGTGGTGGTGGTTTTTTTTTTGTTGTTGTTGTTGTTTTGTTTTGGGGTTTGTTTTTGTTTTTGTTTTTGTTTTTGTTTTGGTCTTTTTTTGGTCTTTTATTTTTATCGGTACCGGGGATTGAACTCACGACTGCCTGCTTGCAAGGCAGGTGCTTATGCCACTGAGCTAAATCCCCAGTCCCTGTGATTTTGTTTTTTAAGTCAGGGTTTTTCTATGTAGTTTCAGCTGGAGTTGAGCTCACTAGCTAGCTGGGGCTGGCCTTACTTGTGGTGATCTTCCTGCCTCTGCTTCCTGAGTGGTGTGATTACAGGCACGCATACCCCTGATCCGGCTTCAGTTATTAGTACAACTATTTTTGGTTGTGATTTGTTTGTGGACAGGCCCAAGGGGAAATGTGTGTGTATGTTTGTACATATAAACAATACATGTAAAAACATGTCCATAAGGGGCTGGGGAGTTAGCTCAGCAGCATAAGCGCCTGCCTTATGAGCAGGCAGTTGTGAGTTCAATCCCCAGTACCGATACAAAGGAAAAAGACAAAAAAAAAAAAAACAAAAAAATGTCTATATATGAACTCACAGAATTTTGAGTTCATGTTTACTTACCCTATTCATATTAAATACTATAGAATTTTTACTCTTCTCGGTAAGATTCTTGTTCTCCAAGCTGTAAGTAGCCTGTTTTTACATATATTTTATTCTAAAAGGTGGTTTTGGGTTTGTGTTGTTGGAACATATAGCAGTTATAAGGTGCTGGCAGCCCTTGTTTTGTCATAGTTTGCGGGGCAGTGCTCACCCCGCCTAACCTTCACCTGTTTCTCCATCCTTGTGTCAATTTTATAGTGGACTCTGCTACATGGGCTTATGGGGGCGCTGCCTGAGTCCTGCCTGCTGATGAGTCGGTGCTTCTTTGTTTTTTTTTTTTTTTTTCCTTTTTGTCTTTTTCCTTTTTATTGGTACCGGGGATTGAACTCACGACTGCCTGCTTCCAAGGCAGGCGCTTATGCCGCTGAGCTAAACCTCCAGCCCCCGAGTCGGTGCTTCTTACATGCCAGTTGCTGTGGATCAGGGTTCCTGAGCGTGTAATAGGCTGTTTCAAAACATTATTTCAGATCATTTTTTATTTACAAAACGTTCTTTTTGTTTTGTCTCACTTGGGGTGAAACTTAAGGGCTTTTAATGTTAGGCAAGCTGTCTATATCCCCAAGCTTTTTTCAAAATTTTGCGACAGATTCTTGCTTATGTTGCCTATGCTGACTCCCTAAATATGAAATCCTCCTGTGTCAGCCTCCTGAGTAGCTGGGACTGCAGGTGATCACCTTCAGTTATTTAGGAATATAGTTCCCTGAGTGTGATTGTACACAGCCAGAATCCTAGCCCCTCTGGAGGCTGAAGTAGGATGGTGGCCAAGCTTGTGGCCAGCGTGGACAGCTCGGTGAGAGTCGGGCTCAGATTCAGGACTGGTGATGTAGCGCAGGACAGCATTTGTCTGGCACTGGTTTGATCTTGTCTTGGAAGAGAGAGAAAGAGGTAACAGTTCTCTGAGATGCGTCACATTCACAGTGCTGCAGATGTCACCACTTCCTGTTTTTAAAACTGTCACCTCAAACTTCTGTAAAGGGCAAGGTAAGTAGTAAATTAGTGTTTCACGTTTTGTAGACTGTTCGCCTTTGGGCTGTTTTTCTCCCTTTCTTCCTTAGTGGATCATGGTGTCCGTCCATGTCTCTCCCCCTCCCCCTCCTTTTAACCCTCTTCCTTTTTTAAACGTTTTTGTTCATTTGGTTTGACTTGGTTTTTTGAGACAGGGTCTGTTGTGTGATCACCCTGATTTAGCTGGCCATAAACTCATTAACATAATAACCCTGGCCGGCCTTGAATTTGCCAACTTGCAGCAGTCCGTTTGCCTCAGCCTCCTGAGTGCTGGGACTTAGGTGTGTGCCGCCACACCTGGCTTTAAATTATGCTTAAACTTTTTTTTTTTTTTTTTTCGTCTTTTTTGTTTTTATCGGTACAGGGATCGAACTCATGACTGCCTGCTTGCAAAGCAGGCGCTTATGCCACTGAGCTAAATCCCCAGCCCCAAATTATGCTTAAACTTAAGAGCTTCAGAGGAGGTTTGTTTCACAGGCCTAATTCACTACTGGTCCCTGATCTGAAGCCTTCAAATCATCTAATTCCTAGTTGGATTGTAGTTGAATTTTTCTTTCTTGTCTCGTCATCTTCCTCCTTTTCCTCTAGTTCACCTGTTTTATTCAGCTATTCTCGTAGATGCTGTTTTGATTGTCATGTTGGATTTGGTAGTTACTAGTCTGAAACCATTGTCAGAATGCAACCATTGGTGTCTTACGATCACAGTCCTGCTTTCCTGCTTCTCTTGAATAGAAGGCTGTGGCCACACTGGGCTGTTGTTTCCCTGCATGGCAACAATGGGTAGGGGCAGGAGCAGTGGCTGAAGGGGACACCCTTCCAGGAGTGACTAAAAGTACACTTTTTCAATTCACATTTGGTTTGATGACTTAATAATGGCTCTTATTATTTGAGCAAGTAAAAAAACGAAAGGATCTTTAATACTCATGAAGAAAAAATTTAAATGTACTTCTATCATCCTAAACGTTATTCTTACTGAACCTAGGATCTCACACACGTACTTTACCTCTGAGCCACACACCTCTGCCTTCTTAAATTTTGAGGCAGAATTTTCTTGAGTTGCCCAGATGTACTTGGAACTTGCAATCCTTTTGCCTCAGATAGCTGTGATTATAACAATTGACCACAGCACACCACAGTTATCTTAAAGTTAATGGCCAGGCATGGTAGTATGTGTCTGAAACTGAGGCAGAAGGGTCATAAATTCAAGGCCAGCCCAGGTAGCTTAGTGAGACCCGAGCCAGAATAAAAAATTTTAAAAAGGCTGAGAATGTAGCTTAGTGTAAAGGCCCTGGCTTTAATCTCTAGTTCCACTGAAAGAAAAAATAAAAGTAAATAGCTCAGTACACAGTACACTGTTTTTATAGGAGAGGTGAGGACACACCAGTACAGCAGTACCCAGGTTTATAAATGCTTTGGTTTGCAAACTGATTCACAAACAGAGATGGCTACCAGAATTTTGTGTTCATTTACAAACTATACTGGCTGACAAATACAGCTGAGGCTGTATTTCCCACACAAACAGTGGCCATCTTTTCCAAAGTCATAGAACAAGATTGTGAATCAAGTCCTTCCAGTTACGTACTAGAGGCCAGGTACACTGGTGGTTTGTGTACATGTGTATATGTGTTTGAGAAAGGATCTCACTGTGTAGTTCAGGCTGGCCTTGAACTTACTTTGGAAACCCAGGCTGGCCTCAAAACTCAGGCAGTCCTTCTGCCTCAGTCTCCCAAGTGCTGGGATTACAGATGTGTGTCACCATGCCTGCCAGCTGTCCTGGTTTGCATCTGTAATCCCACTGGGCAACATAGCAAGATCCCATCTCGCAAAAAAAAAAAAAAAAAGCAAGCTGGGCATGGCAGTACGTACCTGTCATCCTGGCAGTGTTAAGAGGCTGAAGCAGGAGTGTAACAAGTTCAGGCCCAACCTGGACAGCCTCTAGAGAACCTGCCTCAAAATGTAAATTGATTACAGTTTCATAAAATAATATTTGAGACAGAGTGGGACCTGTAGCTAGCTCAGTGGGGAGAGCTCTGGGCTCAGTCCCCAGCACTCAGGGGCGGATATCTACATAGACACACCTGAGTGTCATGTCTCCTCTCAGGCTTCCACTGCTGCACACCCATTTTTAGGTGATTGGTTCAGTGTTTTGGTCTTATGCTGTCTGGGCTTTATTCTTTTCATTTTATCCTTACAATGACACAAAGGTAAGACCGTAGGACAGGCAGAAGGAGAGGTCCAGGGCTACCTGGGCATCTCAGAAAGGGTTAAATTTTATTGTTATTTGAAGGAGAATAACTTTCTTTTAAAAAGATTTATTTTTTTGTACTGGGGATTGATCTCATGACCTTGCACTACCCAGGCAGTTACTGAGCTATATCCCTGGCCCTAAACTTTTGATTTTTCTGCCTATTTGAGGCTGCCTAACTGTGATTCCATGTACAGTGTACAGAAGGTAAAAATTTTGTAAAGAATACTGTGACCCAGAGCCAGGTATGGTGGCACATGCCTGTAATCCTAGCACTTGGGAGGCTGAGGCAAAGAATCGCCATGAGTTTGAGACCAGCCTTAGCTGCATAGTAAGTGTACGGCCAGCATGAGCTGCATAGCAAGATTGTGTCTCAAAACAACTTCAAAGAAGAACACTGTGACCCTCAGTCTGTATCATTAACTAGGATTAAACAGCTGCCTTCTGGGTGGGGACCTCAGTACAGCGCAGCAGCAGTGGCGGTCCTCCTTCCTGTGTTGAAGTTACGTATTTAAGCACTTACTAATCTGATGTTACAGTTATGTAATAGCTACATTTGCTGACCTGTGCTACACAGACATGTTTTAAAGTATGCACTGTCAATTCATTATGTTTTGCTAATTTTTTTCTCTGCAGATAAGAAACAACAAGAAAACTGCCATCTTAGTTAAGGAAGTAAACCCTAAAAAGAAACTCTTCTTAGTTTATCGACCAAATACCGGGAAGCAGCTCAAATTAGAAATTTATGCTGATCTCAAAAAGAAATATAAGAAGGTATATTTGTTTGTTTGTTTATTTATTTTTGAGACAGAGTTTCGCTGTAGAATTCAAGCTGGCCTTGAACTCATTGTATAGCTCAGGCTGGCCTTAAACTCAGTGATCTTCTTACCTCAGTCTCCCAGGTGCTAGGATTGCAGACCTGTGCCATCATGCCCAGCCAAGAAAGAATAGTCTTAACTGTGTATTACACTGCTTATAAATACTTGTCTTACCATATTGAAACAGCCTGGAACAATAATGTATACCTGTCCTGTCAGCTGCTTGGGAGGCTGAGGCAGTTTGAGCCCATCTTAGTCAACTTAATGAGACAGTGTCTCAAGAAGAGGACTGAAGCTGTAGCTTAGTGGTGGAACCCTTGATTGGTTCAGTCACCAGTGCAGCCAGAATGCGTGTGTGTGTGTGTGTGGAGGAACTATGATACATGCTAAAATAAATTTTTAAAAATCATTATAATAAAAGTTGCCATTATTCCTCTCCTAATACCTTCACTTCGAATACACTTATCCTGTTGTTTTGACAATGTGTCTATTATCAAAAATTTTTATTAAATTCAGACATTCAATGTATTTTGTGATTGCTCCTTGTATATAGAAATCGTGTCAAGGATCGTTGTAGTTAGATATAAAATAATTGTGTCAATCTTATTTGGCTACTGTTTAAAAGATAATTTTCAGAACAATACCAGGCTTTATTCTAATATCCTAGTCTTATGTGAGACACTGAAATTCCTTCCCACTTTGGTGTTTTATTGTGTACATGATACAATGTTTGTATCTTTCAGTCACTTCTAGAAAATAGTAAGCAGTTTTCCAAATATTATCTGTAGTTTTTATTCTTAATGGTTCCTTACTTTTCCTAGCTATTCTCATTTGCAAACAGTTACAGTTCACCACGCCATTTGAAGAACTTGGTACATCGGAGGAAAGAGCAGAACTTTTTGAATGGCATTTAAATAGAGCTGGGTGCAAGAATTGGGTTTTGAGTAGGGATGATTTGAAGTTGGCTGTCTCTAGACTTGCTTATTTAAAGTGGTATTGTTTCAATGAAATTTTGTTTTTATTTCCACAGGTAGTCTCGGACGATGCCCTTGTGCATTGGTTAGACCAGTATAATTCATCTGCAGATACTTGTACTCATGCTTATTGGTTAGTATTCCCATGCTTCTCACCGTTTTCCAGAATGCAGTCTGGATGTGAGTGCTCTTTCCCTCTTTACTGATAGGCCCTCGCGAGGGAGTAAGCCAACTGGCTGCCATCCCTGCGCTTCCTTGTGGTAGCAGGGCTCGGCCTGCTCCGTGGAGCAGTGCTGCTCAGGCCCCACTGCTCTTGGCTGATACTTTTGGTGCTTTGTCCCTTAGTTGGCCTTCTTGGTGCTAGGAGTTGCTTTTCCTGTCTCGTCCTCTTCTCATTTTCTTTGTTGCATCCTTTCTTTCTGGCTTTTTAAGTCTTACTGTCCCAAATTTTTGGGACTTCTAAGACACTAGGAGCCTGAATGGCTGCGCAGCACAAGAAAACTCATTCTGCCCTGTTGAGATGCTGCTGTGACCCCAGCTCAGCCCTCAGGAACTTGTGCAGACTGTTGGGATGCTCTGCAGAGTTTAACTCATCAGATAGTTCATGCTCTGGCATTGTCTGGGCCACTGTGTAAAAAAGGACAATGAATTTTAGCTCAGTTTGTTGAATCAGAGATTACATTTTCTTTGATGTGAATAATACTTTGTTTTCATTTTGGATGCAGATTAGTGCTATTGAAAACTGAAATTTACAGCTCGACATGGTGGTACATGCCTATAATCCTAGCACTCACGAGGCTGAGGCAGGAGGGTCACTGTGAGTTGAATGCCAGGCTGGACTACATAGTTCAAGGCTAGCCTGAACTACACAGTGAGATAGACAAAAAAGTTTAAAATTGAGAAGTCTAGCTCGGTATGGTGGTGCACACTTATAATCCCAGCCGTTGGGAGGCCAAGGCACGAGGCTTGCTTGAGTTCGAGGCCAGTCTGGGCTTTATGTTCAAGGTCTCCCTGAACTGCATAGTGAGACCTGCCTCAAAAAGACAAAAGATAAAAATGTAAAAGTTTTCAAGATAAAGCATTTCAAAAGTTAAAGTCTGAACATCCTCTGAGACACTTTGTGTCAAAGCATGAAGCATGCTCCTATGTATGCAGTGAACACTGCCTATGTTCCTCTTGAATCAGTGCTGCCCAGAAAGAGATCTCCATTGGTGGATAATAATTGAGGCCACAAAATAGTAGTTCTGGGTTTTTTTTAATCAGCTCTTTTTAATTCCACCTGAGGTTTTTCTCTCTCTCTTTTTTTTGGTCCGTGAAGTCTTTCCCACGCACCTGATTTAGAACAGAATGATCAGTGGCTTAATCATATAGGAGTAACTGACAGGTTGATTTAAGAGGCTGGCATTGCTAGAGTAAAATCATGAATGCCAAAGTGGCTAGATTTTCCATTTGAAATTTGTATAAACTGGAAAACTTTTATGGAGGTATAGGTGTGTGTGTGCGTGTAAACACGAGGGTATTTTGCTCCTGTTCCTCCTAGGCGTGGCAACTGCAAAAAAGCAAGCTTGGGATTAGTCTGTGAAATAGGTCTTCGCTGTCGCACATACTACGTCTTATGTGGCTCAGTCCTGAGTGTTTGGACAAAAGTGGAGGGTGTCCTTGCATCTGTCAGTGGCACGAATGTGAAAATGCAGATAGTTCGGCTAAGGACAGAAGATGGACAGCGGATTGTAGGTGAGTCTCATTTTTGTTCTGTTTAATTTATGGGAGAAAGTCAAATCCAGCCCTTGTCCCTTAGTTCCCTTCCCCAGGCATTTCACATCCATGCCGGCAGTGGTGTGCACAGCTCGCTCTTCATGTCCTAAAAGGCAGTGGAGTGTTGGTATCTGGCTGCAGTGACCAAGGGTTGACCCTGAGGTGCTGTGCTCATGTCCTATGGGCTCTGCACTGAGCCAGCTCCAGGGCATGGAGTGCAGAAGTTGCCCTGAGTCTCCTGGAGAACAGCATGTCCACCAGTCATGGTCCTGCAGTGTCCTGCCAAGTGGTACAGCCTGGGGCCAGAGTCTATCCAGGACTGGGCTTTTGTGTTTTTTTTTTTTTTTTTTTTGGTCTTTTTCCTTTTTATCGGTACTGGGATGTTCTTTATTTTTAACTCAAAATATTTTTAATTGTGGTAAGTTTTTATTTGAATTAGAGCCACATCTTTTGAAAAAACCAAAGACATTTCATGCCAGAGTCTGGCACTTTATAGAAAGCTGCCCTGGAGTACTGTCTTTGCATCCCTCCATGTAGAGCGGACACTCCGGTGGCTGGGGCTGTGTGTCCCGGCTCATGCCTCAGCTCCATGCCCACTGCCAGGTTCCCCACTGGTGCGAGGCCTTGAGTTGGCAGCTCCCATGCTGGAGTCACTTGGTGCCTGGCCGGCCGGAAGGTGACACCTGCACTCATGGAACTGGAGAAGGTGGTGGGTGGAAAAGAGCTGCGCTTGACCCCTCCCTTCATTGAGAAGATGGTGTCACTCAAGTCCCATACATGTGCATGGGGCTTGGGGGAAACACAGCTGAGGAGCCAGGTTGCATCTTAATGCACTGTTGCAGTTTCTTAGCACTCATTAAATTGATGCGTGAAATTCTTGTTTGTTAAAATTACTCCTTGTTTGGAAAGGTGCAGAATGGTTTCTACTGAATGCAGCTTTGTAAGTTCTTGTTGCTAATTACAGGCTTGATCATTCCGGCAAATTGTGTGTCTCCTCTCGTAAATCTCCTGTCAACTTCAGACCAGTCTCAGCAGCTTGCAGTCCAGCAGAAACAGCTGTGGCAGCAGCATCATCCACAGAGCATCGCCAACCTGAGCAACGCGTGAAGGACAGACAGGCTGCAGCACGGTGCGTCTGCGGTGCTGTGGGGCAGACCATTCGCATAAAATCAGGGACAGTTTCCAAAGAATTATATATTTTTTTCGGTTGTGCTCTCTAGGTAATTTTTTTTTGGGAATAAGGACAAACCTGGAATAGGTAGCAAAACTGAAAATCAGCAGTGCCGATGGTAGTACATGTGTCTTTCCTTTTGCCTCCCCTGGGGCTTCCTGTATGCTTCTATTTGGGTAAGCAGAGGGGTACACGCATGTGCGTGCACATCGGTCTGTTAGTGCGTTTGCTAAAAACAACAAACCGCAGTCGGTTTAAGATGCGTGGAACTTCCCAAACTGGCTTTATTCTCTGTTACACAGTGCTCAGGGTTAATGCAGTACATTCATGGCATTGCTGGGGCAGCTGTCCCCAGGTGCATGTGTGTTGAGTAATATAGAAAATATGTATTGATTTCTTTTTCCAACTTAAAAACAATAGGTTTACTAAAGCATGAAATGAAAGGCTGCATATCATGCATTCAGGTTTTTTTGTAGTTTTTGTTCTGACAGTGCATGTCTTTGAAAGCATGCGTAAACAAGATTAACACAAAAGTCAAGTGTTGGAGAGAGGATTTGTAGATGTACAGCATTGGTTATTGCATTTTTATAGTGTTTATACCTGGGTGTTGCTTCCAGCCCTGCAGACTCTTCTCCCTCTTTCCCCGCCCCAGGTTTCTGTCAATGTAATGAGTACATACTTCTTGTAATAAAGCTCTTCAAAGTTAATTTTAATGTATTAATAGTATTCCTAACGTGTGCTGCAAAAATGGCTGTAAGCCTGTTTTTCTTAAAAGTTACATTTTCCTTAACTTAAAGATAGTTTTAGAAGTACAGTTGGCTTCTGTCTTGCAGACATTCTTGTTTTACTTCATTTCGTTATCTGAAGTTTTTGTCACTCAAAAACAGAAAACCGTACTTGAGTTGTAAACTAGAAATGAGGAAACACTTGAGGCTTCTGCTGTATGTTTTTTGTTGTTATTGTTACCCAGTAACTTGAATATTGTTTCATGTGTTGTAAGACATTGTAGAGTTTATCTCAAGCTGTTAAAAATGGTAATGTACAAATGTGAATAGACACTTATCTATAACATGGGTAAGTTTTGTTTCGCCTATAATAGATGTTTATAAAAACAAGTGAGGGACAGTTGGTCTTTTTTCTTTCTTTTCTTTTTTGTTTTTTGTTTTTTTTGCTTGCACAGGTTGCACTATAAAAATTGAGATTGTATAAACCTGGTCAAAAACTGCAAGGTACCAAAATCTTGTAGATGTTAAATAAAAAGTTATCACCCTAACGAAGTGGACTCATGCTTAGGCCCTCCCTGGGGACAGTAGTTGGAGTCCGGAGGGGATTCTGCAGGACTTGATTGGCCTCAGTTCCAGGGAGTGCTAACGCCTGGCTGCAGACCTGCTCCCAGATTCTAAATTCCGAGGCAGCGTTGATGAAGGGAACATAAGCTTCAGAACGTTTTTCAGATCCAGTTGTTCCCTTGTAACTTGTTAAACTTCTCAAAGAATTGGGGGGAAGGTGTATTAAGGGATAGAAACCTGATCAAAATTTAGATCTTTCATCCTCTTATGTTTCTTTAACCCTGACTTTATTTATGGTTGTTTTCTTTGGATGTATTTATTCTTCGTGCCTAAAGAACAAACTGAGAATAATCTCTGTTCGTGGGTGTACTTTGCCCCATGGATGCAGCTTTTATCCTCAGTCTGGTCCATGCATCTCAGGCAGTGACTCTCAGGAGGTCCACCAGTGTCCCCAGACAGGACCTCTAACCAGTGACAGCTGCAGCTAGAGCCTCCCAGCTTTTGCTTCTGTTTGTAAACTGCTGATCCTGCTGGTGGCTTTTGTTAAGGTGAATCTGAATCAGGCAAGAGAGGCCTAAAAAGCTGGCCACCAGTGAGCCCCAGCTGAGGACAGGACAGAGGCTCCTCCGTCTCCCACTCCCCGTCCCGTGCATGAGGGTCTTCATTAGCAGGTTCCAGCTTCCCCCAGCCTAGACCAAGCTATAACACTTGCCTGCGGTGTGAAAGGCCAGAGTGTGTTGTGGTCTTTGTAGAAATGAGGCCCCTGACAGCCCTTCCAAGGCAGGCTTTTTGGAAAGGTGAGCAGTGTGGAGGATGGAATGGGTACCACACACCCGAACCCATTGTGCCACATGTGTGGTGCCACGGCCAGTGCTTGTCCTGAGGAGTGAGTATCGGGTGTCTACACTGTGCCCATACGAAAGCACATCTGGGATACACCGAGGAAGCCTCAGAGTTCAGGGGCCACTTTGTTGCAAGCCCAGGTCTTAGCAACAGCTGGCTTGTGCAGAACAGGGCTGGCCTCTGCAGGATCTTCATGCCACCTCTCCACCCAGAGGCCTTATTTAGCCTACGGGGAGTCCCCGTGGCCTCTGCAGTAATGCCTTTCCTCCTGCGTTAGCAATATGGCTCTGAGCGTGCATGTTTGATTGTAAATCGTGTCCGTGTGTTCAGGGTTTACGGTGCCAGTTGGGCTGCACACCATTCATGGGTGCTCAGACTTCCCACCATTGGGGCGGCAGCATCCCCTTGGCTACAGCCTTCCTGCCCAGGGTCTGCGGCAGGGGCTGGGTGGTGGGAGTCTGTGAAAGCACTGAGGATGTCTTCCTTTAAATACAATTTGATGAGAAGTAGGTAGGTTAGGCTGTTTTCTCTTTTGGCTACTAAATTGTGCTAAACTCTTCAGTATCTTCTCTTTTCCTGTATGTGAATTAGCAAGAATCTGCATCCAAAGCCCTGTAGTAGGCTGTATTTGTGTGTGTGTGTGTATTTTATATTTATTCTCAGTTAATTAGTGCTTCACAAACCATTTTGAGTTACAACAAAAAATCTTAGTTTGCTCTGTCCATAGAGGCAACAATTAAAAGTTCCCAAACTCCTTGGGAATATGTTTTAGAGTCATAATTTTTGGCCTTAGCCCATGGAGCATTCATTTGTCAGTCACCATCTGATGCTGTTTGAACAAGAGAGGGGTCCCCAGGCCAGGCGTCTTGTGTAACCAGAGCCTCCTCCACTCTTTCCACTTTGCAGTTTAGCGTAAGACAAAAAGCAGGAGCTGAGCAGTTATTGCTGTGTCTCATTTTAGGAAAGCAGGAGCAGAAATCCTCTCTCGGTCCTCTTCTTGGTAAGTCATTAAAAGGCAGGGTTTTACCCAGTTACTCCCCCATTTAAAACGTCCCTGCGTGGTACTGGGTAGTTCTAAGGCAGGTGCCAGGAAGAGCCACCGTGAGGCTGGGATCCGGACTATGGACGGTCAGCTCAGGCGTCCTCCTGCTGCACTGTTGACTGTTCCCCCTCGTGCCTGTGGTCTCCCGGGGTCACGCCACACCTGTGCACTCAGATGTAGCTTGCATTCGGCATCAGGGCCGCAGCTGAGAGCACAAACCATCCGTAGAAAACCTCACGTCAGGCCAGTAGTCTAACAGAAGTGTAGCGTGTCCTCAGTGACAAACCACACGTAGATACCTGCAGCTCAAACTAGCTAGCGATTTCTTTTCTGAGTATGTTGATGAAATCCGGAGCCCACTTTCTAATTGTGTGCTGTACCTATGATATGTACATTAATATGTATATAGAGAAATGGAAGCTCTTTTGAATTCTGAATGTAAATATTTCTTGTAAATTGGGGCCCCATCCACTTGTTTCGCCCCCTCCTTCACTTCTATTTATTCTTTCCTGGACTTCCCGAATGGGGCACTTTAGCCCTTCTCTTCCTTGCTTGGGAAAATGGGGAGACTTAGCTGACTTGCTTCTGACCTCTGAGTGCGCATCCCTGTGCATAGTTCCTGTCGCAGCACCCTTGCCTGCGCTTTGTGTTTTTATCACAGTCAGTCCCGCCTGTGGGGGACTGCACTGGAGTGCCCTGTCGCTCTGTCTGGAGATGACCGGGTCATGCTCCTGTGTTCTCTGGAAGCCACATGAGTCTGATGTGTTGTTTTCTCACTCTCTCACTGTCTCTCTCTCTCTCTCTTTTCTTTGCTTCTCAAAATTTCTTGAAGCTCCTGTAACTTCTTCAGTGCATTTGGGATCAAACCTGGCTCTTCAGGGAATGTGACAGCTCCTACCCTTGCAGTTTTTCAGGCCTGCACGAAATCTCAGTTTGGACTTTTCACCTAACAGGGACATTTTGCAGATTAGAGACTTTGAATCACTGTTCACGGCCTGCTGCTGCAAATCCCTCCAGTAATTAAGGCGTCGAGCCTGTACTTTAACCCACATGGCACAGTCACAGATGTATTTTGCAACAAGTGCAGGTCATCGACCTGCTTTGGCTGTAGCTGGTTAAGGATATTTGCAGTAAGCAGAGACGAGCCTGGTAGGTGACACACAGGTGACATTGGAGAACACATAATGCTGTGGGCCTGTGCTGTGGGTCACTCTCTGGAGGGTCCAGGGAAGGTAGTGCTACAGGCAGCCTCCTGCCTTGCTGCAGACCTGGTCTTGGAAGAAGTGGCTGGGAGTGGGGGCCCCTGGTTAGCAGCAGGAGGCAGACAGTGGGGTGTCGTGTGCAGACTTGGCACCTTTAAGAAAAGGCTTCTCTGTCATCCTTCAGAATGACCTGAGAGCATTTCTTGGGCTTTAAATTCATAAATAGTTCCATTCATTACCACTGGACCTAGGAGGCTCGTGAAGCATTCCTGGTCACCTGCCTTTGGGTGGGCTCATAGCTCCATGTACAGTGAGTCGGGCAGGCCCAGCTTTCTGACTGGTGCCCGCACAGTGGTTGATCTACCTGTGGCATTTGCAGCAGCAGTGGCAGGGCCAGTGATACTGAGATGTCCCATGAGTGCAGTCCAGCAAGGGAATAAGCCTGGACAAGTGGGTTCTTTCTGGTTCTGGCAGCTTGGGGCTGAAGGACAGCCTGCAGGTCCCTCGGGGGGAGTAGCCCTCAAACCACACCCCACTCTGGTGCCCGTTGGGGCCTGAGTGACAAGGCCAGTGTGCGCCAGGGTCTTGCAGGATGTAGTGATGCCTGGCACTGAAGAGGTTAAAGGGGCCTGTGCCTCCCCTGCCTTGGCTCCCTGGGACGAGGGATTCTCAGTGTAGCACATTGCAGTCACCACAACTGGGAAGGATCACCCTGTTGGGGGGGGTTCCTGTTCATGGTTTATACTAAATTTCAAACTACTGATACTGTTTTCCACAACCACTTGTGTCTACCATCAGCCATGAGCGGTGGGAAGAGGTACGCTGTATCTCTGCAATAAAACTTCTGCCAGGTTCTACCTCCTTGGGCAAAGGCGATTTTCTCCATAGGCGTAGACCTTCCTTCCTGACTGACGCGACACTATGCGGCTCCAGATGGCGTCCGCCGGCACCCAAAGACCACCCAAGGCGGAGTGGCTCGGACTCTCGGGACGTCCCTTGTGTTCCCTGCTCTTCAGCCTCCCCCTGCGCCGCTGTCGGGGGCGTCCTCCGCGTCCTCTGCCGCACTGCTGCCTTCCTGGCTGGCCCCGATCATCACGAGCGTCCGGAGCGGGTGCCCTCGCCCTGCCGACACAAACTTTCCTGAGACTGATCTCATGCAATAAAAGCGTGTGGACTGCGCCCCACAAAGAGAATCCATCACCATGAAGTGTAACAAAGTCTGTATTTAGGTTTTTATTGTGATTTTCGTTTTGTTTTTGGGGTCTTTCTGGCTTTGTTTTTGTAAAATTCTTAAATAAAATTAAAGAAATAAAGCCAACTGCTCTCCTGCATGTTTTTGTTTGTTTGTTTTTATTTTTTTTAATCGTCCTGCATGTTTTTTGGTGCCCTGCTGGTCTGTGCGAGGGCCCGCGCCTCTCCCAAGCTTGCGTGGTTTCTGCTGCCCTGTGACTGCGTCCATAGTGGCAGCCCTCGTGCCCGCCTCAGTCCATGCTCCCCACCGCAGCAGGGCTGGGCCTGGTTCCCAGCCAGTGTCCTACCTGAGTCCGAAGGGAAACAGGGAAACAGCCTGCAGCAATCCCAGCAGTCCCTGAGCCTGGCCTGCATCTGGCCCTGGAGTGTCTGCCTGCGGCCCTGGCCCTGGTTTACAGAGGGACCCTCAGCTCCGTGCCCTGAAAGCCCTTTAAGTTTCCAGGTTCAGTGGAGTCAGTGCCTACCCTGTGTCTGGCCTGGGCCCCAGATGGACCTGTAGGGCTCACTCAGGGCAGGTGGCCTTGGGACCAGGCGTGAGGGAGGCAGGCGAGCAGGTGAGATGCTAGTGGTGTCGGGTGCAGTGGTGCACACCTCTAGTCCCAGTCCTCTGGGAGGCTGAGGCAGGAGGGTCAAACTGAGATCACTGTGGGCAGACTGAAAAGGAGTGGGACTGACAGAGGTCAGCGTGAGAGCCCTAGCTGGGGACAAAGTTCAGTATCTCAGGGATCGGGAGGAAAACGAGAGCCTGGCAAGAGGCTCTTTCAGGAGGCCACCGAGCATTGTGCTGCCACCAGGAAGGTGGGTACCTTGGGTTTGTGGGCCCTGGCACGGGGGCTGGGGGGAAAAGCAGTGGTAGGCTTAAGTGCTGTCACCCCTGGTCTACAGGCGAGGGGCTTGTCTGCTTCCAGCCAGGTTGGGATGCCGTTGGGGGTAACCCCCAATGATGGAATTATAACACTGCTTTTGGGGGCTGGGGATTTAGCTCAGCGGCATAAGCACCTGCCTTGCAAGCAGGCAGTCGTGAGTTCAATCCCTGGTACCAATAAAAATGAAAAAAAAAAAAAAAAAAACTGCTTTTGCTCTTTTGTGACAGGGTCTCTAACCCACATTGGCCTGCTCACAACAACCCTCCTGCCTCAGCCTCCTGAGTGCTGGGATTATAGGTGTGCACCTCCAGCCCCAGAAACCTTGTTCCCTTCCATTTTCTCTGGCCCAAGCCCAGTTTCCAGCACCCTGCTGCTGCCCTGGCAGGGGCCACCATTGGCTATTGGCTTGGATAATGGTCCTGGACCTTGGGGGATGCAGAGCAGGTCCATGGCCTGAGCACCACCCCTGTGTGGCAGCCAAGGTGTCTGCAGTGGCCAGGGAGGGCCATGGGCTCCCTGCTTTAGAACCACCACAGAAGGCAGAGAGCACATGCAGGGGAGCACACATGTTAGGCGGTGCACGAGCACAGGCTCATGTTGGGGGGCATAGGCGCCCCCCTAGACACAGGCCGGGTGTGAGCAGCCTGGCACTCTGGAAAGTGGGTGGTGCCACTTCTCAAAGGATGAATATTTATCAGCTAGTCATTTGGGAGCATGATGTAAAGGAGCCATCTGCGGAGGCCTTTATGGAGAGAGAAGCTAAAAGAAATGTGCAAAGTGCTTATTTTTAGAGCCCGAGTCCCTGTGAGCTGGCTCCATCCTCGGAAAGCTGCCCACTCTGGTGTCAAGTGTGGCGCCACTTTAGGCGGCAGGGGCCACTCGGGGCTTCCAGGGCCTCGAAGTGCATTTAGTCTTCCCTGGGTCACGGAGGTGACGGCTGGGCAGTGTGAGCATCGGGGTGCTGGGCTTTGCGCCTCCGAGTGCCCGTTGGCTTGAATCGGCACCAGTGGCCGTGACCAGGCCGGCAGGCAGGGGAGGAGAAGCCTGGAGAAGTGGGCTGTCTCCGGCCGCCACTTTCTGTGCAGGCTTCCTCTCCACCCTCGCCGCCCGGTGGCCTGAACCTGCAGCCAAAAGTTCAGGGTCCTGCAGGCTGCCTCACTCTGCAGGCCGAGGCGGGGCTGCAGGCTCCAGGCCAACCTGGGCTGGCTGGCTAGACTGTCAGAGGAGAAAAGATAAAACGGGCTGAGGTGAAACTCAGTGGTAGAGCACCCCGGGTTCCATTCCCAGTACCTCCAAAAAAATAAAGGATGGTCTTCAGGTCAGATCTGCTTCACCACATCTTCAAATGGCTTTGCCAGCTGAGAATGGTGACTGCGATTTTGAGGTTTGAGGCTGAGACAGAGTTGCCCTGTGTAGTCCGGGCTGGCCTTGAACTCATAGCAACCCTCCTCCTGCTTCAGCCTGGGATCTGGGATCCCAGGCATGTACCACCACTCCTGGGTGACCTTTATACTTATACATGGCTTTGTAACATGAAAATGCAGTGCAAATGTGAGCATCGTAATAAAGCACAGAGCTGTGCCCCTTCTATTTGGGGCAGTGTGTGGGCGTTTTCAGCCACAGCGGTGGGGCAGCATGGTCTCAGGCGCTGTCCTCAGACATTGCCAGCAGGTGCCTGCGCAGTGCTCTGTAGCCTCCAGAAGTCAGCACTGTGCCCCGCAGACCCAGCTCCTTATGAGGCTGCCACAGGCCTGGGCAATGTTGTGGGGCCCCAACTCTAAAAGATACGAGGTCTGGAGATGTAGCCCTAAAGTGTAAGCACCTGCCTGGCAAGCACAAAGTCCTGAGTTCGATTCCTGACACAGTAAGAAAAAAGGGTGGGCTGCAGCTCAGTGGTGGGGAGCTCGCTGAGCAGCCAGAGGCCCTGGCTTCCATCCCCAGCAGGAAGGCCCAGATTCACGAGTGGCAGAGCTGAAGCCCTGGGTTTAGACCCAGCACAGCATGCACACAGAAAGCTCATGTTAACACCTGTAGACCAGGACATGGGAGGCTGAGGCAGGAGGATTGCCAGGAGCACAGGCCAGCTGAGACCTTGTCTCCAAGAAAAGAGCAAAAGCTCAAGCTCATATTAGGTGTGGTGTTAATCTGAAGACACGCGCAGACTCACTGGCAGCTACTTGAGACTCTTCGTGGGGACCTTGGGTATCTCACTGATGCTTTTGGCCACTTACTGGTTTCTGAGGTCAGTGAGCACCAAACCTGTGGGTCACACACTCTGTTTAAAAATGTCAGAGCCACATGGGGGTACATCTGTAATCCCAGCACTCGGAAGGCTGAGGCAGGAGGGTCATCATGAGTAAACCCTGTCTCAAAACACAAAAAACCAGAACTAGGAATGGTGGTACCTGGCTGTAATTCAGCCATGGCAAAAACCTAGCTCAGAAAAAACGAAAGGAGGGACAGAGCTGGTGCCCCCCACGTCTCTCATTTCTAGGAGCATAGGGAATGCCCACCAGGAACACGGTAGGAGGGGGGCACAGTTCTTTTATTCAAGAAACTCGGTTTCGCCCAGAGCAGTGTACCTGCCTGTAACCCCAGCATTCAGGAAGCTGAGGCAGGAAGGCTGTGAGCCCTAGCCTAGCCTCATTAAGAAAAAGAAGATACAGAGACTAGGTACAATGGCAGGAATAACTGAGGAGGCTCAATAGAGAAAGGCTTTTTATTTTTTATTTTTTGGGTTTTTTGATACAAGAGTCCTGTGATACAGTCCAGGCAGACTTTGAACTCAGCAATCCTGCTGCCTCAGCCTCCTGAGTACTGCGATTACAGATGTGCACCCCCGCCCCTGGTTTGGAAAAGCTTTTTAGATAGGGTTTTTGAGCTGGGCTTTGATGGATGCCAGGGAGTTTGCCAAGTGGAACACGTGGGCAAGTTGATGTGAAGACAGCTCCGGGGAGAAACAAGAACCAAAACCGTACCCCGGTCTGGCCCGGAGCACGTGAGAAGCAGTGCGAGACGGCGTGAGGCCAGGATCCCAGGGTGCGGGGCTGGCTGTGTGTGGCGTCCACGCAGCTTTCTGTCCTGGGCACGCCTCTCCCCCTCAGGGCTGACGGCAGGCCCACTCAGTAAGGGGGACAACGCAGGGGCTCGTGCTTGCGTTCTGAAGGGGCATCGACAGAGCAGCGCCTATTGTCGTAAAACTCACCCAACAGAGCAGTGGTGGACGTGGGCTTTGTGACGGACAGCTGAGAGAGGCCCGTCAGCGGCCGACCTCAGGTCTCCTTCCGTTCAGGGCTGAAGGCTGCCTGCTCTCCCACTTCTGTTTGGAGACAGGGTCTCGCTTGTAGTTCAGGCTGCCCTTGAGCTCGCTAGGTAGCCCAGGCTGACCTGGAATGCACAGTGATCCTCCTGCCTCAGCCTCGCATGCTGGGTAACAGGAGTGGGTCATCACTCCGGCTCTCGATGCTGTTTTTTGGATGCAAGATCTTACTGTGTAGTCCAGGCTGGCCTTTAACTAGTGTCTTCCTGCCTCAGCCACCTAAATGGTAGGGTTAGAGTCGTATCTCATGACACCTGACTCTATATTTTGCAGGGTCACACTAAGTTGCAAGGTTGGGCTCAGGTTTGGGTCCCTCCTGCCTCAGCCTCCTAAGAGTGCTAGGATTGCAGGTATGTATCCCTGTTCCTGAGTGCTCCTGCCACTTGTGTTTAACATTGTATGGTGCAAAAAAAAAAAAAAAAAAAAAAAAAACATTGCATGGTGCTTCCAGGCAAGGAGGAGAGAGGACGTCCAGTGCAGCTGAGTGTGGTGGCACACACCTGTAATCCCAGCAGTTGGGAAACTGAGGCACAAGGATCATTGCAAATTCGAGGCCAGCCTGGGCTACATAGTGATGTCCTGCCTCAAAAAACAGCAACTGGGGGCTGGAGGTTTAGCTCAGCGGCATAAGCGCCTGCCTTGCAAGCAGCCAGTCATAAGTTTGACCCCCGGTACTGATAAAAAGGAAAAAGACAAAAACAAAAACAAACAAACAAACAGTAACTGAAAAAGACATCTAGTGTGGAAATGAAGTAAAGCTATTGCTATTTGTAGATAACATGTTTTTTTGGAGATAGGGTCTCACTGTGTACCCCAGGCTGGCCTCAAACTAGCATAGCTCTTCCTGCCTCAGCCTCCCAAGTACTGAGATTATAGACATGTACCACAATGCCTGGTATGATCTTATTTATTTTACTTATTTACTTATTTCTTTATTTTTGGGCACTGGTCTTTTGGGCGATGAAAACTTTTGCACTAAGATCTATAGAAGACTATAGATTAATATTGAAATAAATCCTGTGTTCATGGTCCAATCAATTTAATATTGCAATTAAGAGGTGAGGAATGGGGGCTTGGGATTTAGCTCAGTGGCATAAACGCCTGCCTGGCAAGTGTAAAGTCATGAGTTTGAGCCCTGGTACCAAAAAAAAAAAAAAAAAAAGGTGAGGTATGCAGCTCAGTGGTGGTGTTTGCAACCCACACAAAGCATAAGTTCCAGCTTTGGCACCAGAATAAGACGTTAAGACCATGACACTCCCTATATACCCAGTTTAATACAGCTGTACCAAAACCCCAGTTGCCTCCGTAGGAGTGGACAATCTGGCACTGATGCTCATGGAAATAAATGTAAGAGACCCAGACCAGGCAAAAGGATGCATAGAAGAACTTTTTTTTTTTTTTTTTTTTGTCTTTTTCCTTTTTATCGGTACTGGGGATTGAACTCACGACTGCCTGCTTGCAAGGCAGGCGCTTTATGCCGCTGAGCTAAATCCCCAGCCCTGTGTAGAAGAACTTAGCGCTCATGCTTCCCAATTTCAAAAGTGGAGCAGTGGCACAGGATGGCATGTTCACAAGTTTGATAACAGCCTGGAGAATGTACTTAGACCTTGTCTCAAAACAGTAAAGTTTTGTGTGGCACGCCACATCTGTAATCCTAGCATTTGGAAGGCTGAAGCAGGAGGACTGCCATGAGTTTGAGGCCAGCCTGGGCTATATAGGGAGACCCTGTCCCAGAAAACTACATAGGGAGATGGTCTCAAGATAAATACATGCAGGAGGCTGAAGCAGGAGGATCAGTGCAAGTTCGAGACCAGCCTGGGCTACAAAGTAAGCTTGAGGGCAGCCTGAACTGCACAGGGAGACCTTTCTCAAAAATAAATAAATAAATGAATAAATAAAATAATAAAAGGAGCTGATGATGTAGGTTAGTGCAAAGGCCCTGGATTCAATCACCAGTACCACAAAAAACAACAAACAAACAAAAACAACCCAGAAAAACCCAGCACTGTAAATGGCCTAACTATCAAGCAATAGAGTTTCACAAATTTATGGATAAACAAAACTGGGTGTCCATACAATGATTATTCATTCATAAAAAACCTGGAATACACATGCTAAATGGTAAGTGAAACACAGAAACACAATGCAAAGCAAAGGAAACAATATAGAAGGCCACACAGGTATGATTCTGTTTGTATATGTATGATTCTGTTTACATATGCATGACTCTATTGGCATGTGCATGCTTTTTACATATGCATGATTCATTAACATATGCATGACTCTTTACATATGTATGATCTGTTTACATTTTCTATTTAACTGAAATTTCCAGAATAGGCAAATCCACAGAGACAAAGCAAATTGGTGGTTACCTAAAAGCTAGGGGAAGTGGGGCGATTACTATGGGGAGTTTCTTTTGGGGGTGACGAAGATGTGGTTTTTGTGTTTCAGTTGGTTTTTGTTTTTTGACACAGGGTCTTGGCGTGTAGCCCAGACTGCCCTCAAACTCAGGATCCTCCTGCCTCAGCTTCCCTGGTGCTGGGATTACAGGTCTGCCCGCCACTCCTGGCTGGAATTGAATACTCTTAAAGGTCAGCTAGCTGGGCATGGTGGTGCACACCAGCATTCAGGAAGGTGAGGCCAGAGGATCACTGTGAGTTCGAGGCCAGCCTAAACTACATAGCAAAACTTAAAAAAAAAAAAAAAGCCCCAAATAGAGGACAAATTGTATACTGAGTTATAAGTATCTGGACTAAGAATAGGAGGCAAAAAATGCTACAAATGGTGATGATGTATTGAGAGGGTCAGGTGTCAAGATAAAAATGTAAGAGTGAGGAGCCAGCCCAGGGACGTGGGAAGTGAGGACTGGGCATCCACTGAGATTTGGATTTTTTCCCATAGGAAGTGGAGGCCTCGGTCACTGGCAGGCAGGGTGAGCTAGGGCACAGGTGCGTGCCCTGTGACCTCCGTGGTGCTGCTGGGACTGCTGTATCGTTTAGGTGACCATGAGCCAGCTGTGGTGGGGTCTGAAGACTAAGACGGTATATATGTGTGTGTGTGTGTGTGTGTGTGTGTGTGTGAGTGTGTCTCATAAATTACAAATTCACACCCAACCTGGGCAGTGTGGCAACTTAGACGGGCTCAAAATGAGAGCGCAGAAGGGGCTGGGGATGCGAAGATCCTGGGTTCAATTTCAGCACTGGGCATGTGCCGAGAGTGGGAAATGAACACCTGGATTCCGAAAATTGAGTATGATAAAAAGAACACAAAGGATCTTGATTCCTGGGTATTATATACTGGAACTGTACTGTCGTGGATCTATTGTTAATAAAATAATTATTAAATATTAATTTCATGTTTCCTTTTACTTTCTAAATCGAGACCACTAACAATTTTAAAATTGTGTACTCAGCTCGCTTTGTTTCCACTGGCCCGTGCACAAGGGGTGCATTGATGTCCTCAGGAGAGAGGATGTCACCGTGAAGGGTCCCCCAGGAGCTGCCTTTCAAGTCGGGGAGGGGGTGTGGCTGCAGCCAGGGTCCTAAACCGAGCTGGGAAAGACCTGGGCGGGTGTCCCTTCCTTCTTGGGCGGAGAGGTTGACGCCTTTGTCACCCGATCCAGAGATATCTGAAATGTGACTAATTAAAAAAAAAAAAAAAAAAAACCTGCAAGCCGTGGCGATCAAAAAACACCAGAAAAAGGTGGGCGTTTTATGTAACGCGCCGAGCACCGCTCCAGGCAGAACTCCAGAACACAGTGGCTGCCGAGGTCACGCGCCGCACCCCAGGGGCGTCTGGCCGTCGCGCTCGGGGGTCCACAAAGCAGCGCCGGCTCGGGGGAGCGGAAACTTCGCCAAGTTCCCGCCCGCACCCCGGGCGCCTAGGCCGAGCCCGGCTGGCAGCGCCGCCCCTCCCCCGCCCAGCCCAGCCGAGCGCCGGTGCCAGGCGGCGGGGACGCCGGGGCCACTCTCCGCGGGGAAGGAAGGGGGCGGCCTCCCGCTTTTGTGAGTCTCCGAGGAGTCTCAGGTCCCCAAAGGGTTAAAAACCACTTCATCCCGGCGGAGACATGAAATGTATTCGAGATCAATGTCAAGAACGGGTTATTCTAATTCTGGGGCACAGCCAGACCTGGGCATCTGGAATGATCTACGCGCCTTAAAAAAAAAAAAGGCCCCGTCGCCACCATTTTCTCCAGGTAATTTTCCATCCCTGCCCCCACGGGCCAGGGGAGGGGAGAAAGTAGAGCTCGGGTCCCGCGGGCCGAGGAGGGGCGCCCGGCCGCGTCCAGACGCCGGGGGTCGCGGGGACCCCGGGACCCCCAAACTTTGCCAAGTTGCGGGCGCCGCGCGCGCGGGGCGGGGGCGCGGCCGCTGACGGAGCCGCCCCTGACTTCGGCCGCCCCCTCCCGGCCCGGGCCGGCGCCGCGCTCGCCTCAAAGTTTGCGGCCGCCCCTGCGCCCGCCGATGCCTGGGCGCCCGGCGACGGGGAGCGACGGCCATATTTGCCGGTGCGGCCCGAGCCGCCGGCTGCCAAAAGTGCGCGGGCGCTCGGCGGGCGCTCGGACGGGCGCGGGGGCGCGGGGGCCGCTGTCGCCGTCCTCGCGGCCTGGCCCGGCTACGCGTGGCGCGCCCGCCGCCCGCGGCGATGTCGTACAAGCCGAACTTGGCCGCGCACGTGCCCGCCGCCGCCCTCAACGCCGGTGAGTAGCGCCCCCTCCGCGCGCGCCCCGCGCCGCCAACTTGGGGTCCGCGCTCCCGGGTGGCAGCGGCGGCCGGGGGCACCGGCTCTCGGGTTCCGGCCGGGGTAGCGGCGGCGGCGGCGGCGCCGCGATCGCCATGATCCCCGCGCCGCTGAAGTTCGTGTGCTCCCCGCGCTGCCCGGAGGCTGGCGGGGCCGGGGTCCGCGGGTCCCCACGCCGGCGGCCCGGTGGCGGGGCGCGGGGCAGGCTTTCTCCGGCTCCTTTCTCCACCGGCTCCCGGGCGGCTCGGCGAGGGCCCCTGCCGGCGGGAGTCGGGAGCGGCCGGGGCGCGGGGCGCGGGTCAGGCCCGGCGGCGGGTCGCGTGTGGGGCCGGGCCACGCGGGGATGTGCGGATCAAGCGCCGGGTCCCGCCGACTCGTGGGGCGCGGGGCCGGGGGTGTGGGAGGCTGGGCGCGGGGCTGGGGTAGGGGCGCGGCCGGACAGGCGCCGAGGGGAGAAGTTGGGGAAGAGCCGCGGCTTCCCGGGCTGGGGACAGCGATATCCAGGGTCCCCGTCCCCGACCCCATGTGCGGCCTCTGCAGAAGCCGAGGGGCTGTCCCCTCCCTTCCTCCCGGGAAACTCCTCCTGAAGTTGTGGGGCAGCGCCGCGCTGGGCTGTGTCTAGGGACTCGCCCCCGGCCACCGAGCGAGCCACGGGGAGAGGGTGGACGTTTGTGGCGTTGGAGGTGACCGTCGTTGTGCCCTCTCCGCTTTCTCCCCCAGAGACCCTTGACTGGGGACAGATTTCCCCAAAAAGAGAGGTGCGCTGGGCGGGGACGGAGGGGGCAAAGGCCTCGAGGGGGGAGGGGAAGGCCCTGCTGGTCAGAAATGCCACGCTGGCGGTCACCTCAAGTCTGGGGCCTGGTCTCCAAGTGTTGGCCCCAGAACTCCAAAAATTCCAAGAAAAGCAAGGTGTATTGTGCGTGTGCATGTGGGAGTGAATTTAACTTCTTGGGCAGTGATATTTGGGGTTTGGAAGGGGTTAAGATTGAGGTGCTGGGGAGGGAGAGTTAAACTGCTCTCTTATATCCCCTAAGTCCCCGACGGCAGGAGCCACCTTATCACCTCTAAGGGTCCTCACGCCTTGGGGGTGCATGAACCTTACAAAGAGCAGCTTTGTTGGCAGGTAGGGGTTCCCTCGGGACTTCTGCATGTTGCCTGGGTGGGAAAGGCTGGGGTCCCACTTCCAGGCTGTCCAGGGCCAGAAACCTCAAGTTGCCTTGGGAGAGCTAGGGTAGAGCCCCTCAAACTGTGATTTTGGGGTCCGGAATCACAGTGACACAGAGGCGCTTGTGGCCCCTGCAGTGCTGTTCCAGGCTGGCCAGCACCTGTCTGCAGTTTCCAGCCTGCTGCCCCAGGGACATCCAGGAGCCCTGCAGCGGCCCCAGGTCCCTAGCCCTTTTGGGGGTGGGGGACGCATGCTTCCCCAGCCCTCTCTGTGGAGAGCCGGGCTCCCCGGCCATCTGCATCCAAGATGGACTCTCTCGGCCGCTCCCCGGCTTTCTTGTCATCATCCCTCACGCCCTCCGGCCCTGCCTCCTGCTCCAGGCTTGCCAAGCTGCGGCCTGGCCGGGGGGTGGCAGTGGCGGAGTGAGACAAAGCCCCCGCCTCCCCCGCCTGCCAGTCCCCCCCCCCACGCTGGGCGCCCCAAGTGGCGGGAAGGCCGCCAGCTCCCCAGACCCGGGCGCTCTTTGTCTGGCGTGGGGGCGGGGAGCTCGCCTGGCCCCTTGAGCTTCCTGTCCTCTGCCAGGCCGGCTCCCGGCTCCACACACCACGCTCATTGTCTCTGATGCTCCCGGCCAGCCGCGCCCGCCTCGCTGTGGCTGCCCCAGCCTGGTCCCAGCCTCTGCGGAAAGGAGTGGGCGCTTGTGGCACTCGGCCCTTCTGTCAGTGCTGCCCAGGGCCGGGCACCACTGGCCAGGCCAAGGGAGGACCTGGCCTTGGCATGGAGTCCATCACCTGCTGCTTCACCAGGTGTCTGAGCCATTGCCAGCCCGCAATCCAAATGGGGCGATCTCCTTTCTCCTCTCCCTCCCCAAGGCCCCCCCAAACCTAGCCCCAGTGCCTCACGCTGTGGGTTCTGGACCTTCCATTGGGGAGTGTTGCCTCCAAAACATGGAGAAACTGAGTCCCAGAGAGGGATGGGCCTGTGGAATGGTGCACAACCTGGCCTGGTCTCAGAGAGAAAGAGGAGGGGAGGTGACAAATAGTGGCAGTTTTAAGGGAGAGGGCTTGGGACACAGGTAGCCCACCTCTGTGGGGCACTGCAGCCTAACCACTGGGGGTACCTGGGGGTGCCAGAGGACCATGTCACCTGCACACCAGCCCACACCAGCCATCTCTGCAGGCTCAGGACCTAGAGGTTTGGCCGGTGAGGGGCCCCTGTGCAGTGTGCTGCAAACAGAGACCCCAGGCATGCTTGTTGTGCACCCCCCCACACTCTCCGTGTCCCCATGTGTCATCCCCTTTTGAGAGCCGTGGAAACTGAGGCTCCCAGTGGTGCTGTGCTTTGCCCAGCCCAAGGTCCGAATTCATGCCCAGATGTTACCTCAGCCCCGTGGGAGATCAGGGCAGGCCTAAGACTTGAGGGGCACTGCAGATGCTGTACCCAGGCCCTGGGCAGAGGGCCCAGCTTTGGCTTCTCCTGCTGGCTGCTATGCCTCTTGGGTGATGTGTGCCTGGGGCCATGGGACCGTGGGGCTGGCTTCCCACCCCACTCCATGGCCTTAGCGTCTGAGCCCCACCCACATACACCAGCTGCAGCTGGTCACTTGGCCAGCCTGTCACCAGCTGGCCATCCCCTGGGCCAAGTCCGCAGAGCCCGCTCTATGCAGGAGACAGGCTGTTTGGCTCTGGGGGTGGTGACCCGGCAGCTGTTGAGGACGACTAGCAAAGTTCTCCATGGTGACGGCTGTTTGTGATTCTGCAGGACGTCCGCCACCCACTGATGGCCACTTGGACACCATTATGGGTTAGCCTCCCCCTGCCTGGGCCTCCCCCTGCCGCTGTGTTCACGAGACCATGATCTGGGCTGAGCTGTGGGTCCTGCTTGGTCCCTGATGCTGGCCCTGGATACTACTGCATTGTGTGCTCTTAGGGTGCAGACCTGGCAGCATAGACTGTCCTTCTTTGGCAGGGACAGCAGACTTAGTGGTGGCTTGAGGGCTTTGTCTGGGCTTGCATGGAGGCTGCCATGTAAGGGCCCTGCCATGGTGCACGGTGCTGACACCAGCCTGTTTTCCCAGAGGCTGGGCTACGGGGACCAGGAGCTTCCCTGTAAGAGGGATCTGACCCCAGGGTGGCCTGGCTTTGGTGGCAGGTGGGCTCTGTGGCAGGGATGTGGCTCTGGACCATGGACCTCCGGTGAGCAGGGACAGGAGACAGCAGGATCAGACTGAGAACAGTGTAAATGCGAGCGCAGTGTGTGGGTGGTCACCGAGTGATTTAAGGTCTGGGGAGAGGGCAGTTGCTGTGCATCACCTTGGCCATTGGAGAGACCTGGTTCTAGGCTGGGGGGACCATCCTGGGACCTGGCATCACTGCCTTGTGTGCAGCTAGGAGACCCTAACCCCTTTCTCTCCTCTGCAGCTGGAAGTGTCCACTCACCCTCCACTAGCATGGCCACGTCCTCCCAGTACCGCCAGCTGCTGAGTGACTACGGGCCGCCATCTCTTGGCTACACCCAGGTACAGCGGTGCGGGGGCTTGGGCTGGGCGCTGGGAGGGGCAGAGGGGGTAAACTGGGCAGAAAGCCCCTCCATCCTGGGGCCACCAGGACTGTAGGTCACAGGGACACAGTGCCACTGCCACACACCGCTCCCTTGCGGGCCACCTCCTTTCTGTTTCCTGTTCTGCTGGACTCAGGACCTCACAGCTGGGCCTGGAGGGGCTCCGCTGGCTCTGGAGCTGGTGGTAACAAGTGTGGTCCCCAAGCAAGCCGCTTGGTTCATGCCTGGTCGCACCACTTAACGGTGGTGACCCCATGTGGTGACCTCGTGGAGCCTGGGGTCCTTATGTGTCCAATGAGGTGACCCTAGGACCATCCTTAGGGAGGAAGGCACCCCTGCACTGCTCCCTAGATTGGTGATGTCTCCTGGCCCCTGGGGCGGTGGTGGCCTCACTGTCCTCCGAGCCCCAGTCGCCAGACCCCAGCCAGCATTCCGGGGTCACCATGGAGCTGCTTGTCCGCTGGTGTGTCCACAGGGTGGCCCGCGGCTCCCTGCCGTGCCCATCAGGGTACCATGCTCCGCCAGGCGGGCCTGTCCTGTGGGGAGAAGCGAGCGCAGGCCCGGAAGCAGCAGAAGTGGCAGAGGCGGGAGGAAGGGCCGAGGCGCAGCCTGGAGCGGCAGCGCAATGCCCTGGCCATGCGGCTCCGGCGCTGGGAGGCCCAGTGGCGGCCACGCCTGGGGACCGGGAGGCTGCAGCCAGAGGAGCAGCAGATGCTGGCCCTGCGGCACCAGCTGGCTGCCCTGGGCAGGCCTGGGGCCGAGGGGGCCCAGGAGGAGGAGAAAGATGAGAAGGAAGAAGAGGAGAAGGGGACGCCATTGGTGGCTGAGCCGGGCACCTCCCTGATCTGGGTGCTGATGTGGTGGTGGACCGGAGGGGGGTGGGCGTCCCCTAGGCTCTGTGACGGGGCAGTGTGTGCATCCCATGTGTCTTGGGCCCCTGCTGGGCACCCAGGTCTGTGGTCCTACCCATTCCAGGGTGGCCTCTACTTCCTCCTGCTCACTGTGGGGACTGCTTCCCCGGGGACTTCCACAGTGTGCTTTGGGAGGAGGCCAATTCTCTCTCTGAGATGGCAGGGACTCCAGAGATGGGGACAGGTGGGTGCTGTGCGGCTTCCTGTGCTGCAGTGTCCCCAGAAAGGGATGTGGTGTTCCAGCCCAGGTCCTGAAGCCCAGAGCCCCTGGGCTCCAGAGGTGGTTGGGACCTGGACCAAGGCACGGGGGATCAAGGGGCCATTGGTATGGCTCCTCCCACCTCATGACCACCATGGCTGTGATTCCAGGGGACTGGGAACAGCCAGGTGCCCCAGAGCAAATATGCCGAGCTGCTGGCCATCATCGAGGAGCTGGGGAAGGAGATCAGACCCACGTACGCAGGCAGCAAGAGTGCCATGGAGCGGCTAAAGCGGGGTGAGCGTGTGTGGGTGGGTGGGGGGGACTCCACAGGCTGGTCCCTCGGTCCCCATCAGGGAAGTTTTTTTTTTTGGGTCAGGGAAGTTTTTGAAGCTCAGCATGGTGGTGCATAACTGTGGTCCTAGCTGCTTGTACAGCAGAGGCAGGAGGATGCCAAGTCCAAGGCCAGCCTGAGTAGGAATTAGTGAGAGCCTGCCTCAAGATTTTCAAAAGGGCTGGGACATCGCTCAGGCTCCCTAGGTTTATCTCTTAATATGTGGTCCACAACATTAATCCCCATGTTAGGAAAAAGGACAAAAGAGAAAGACCTGATATTCTGAGGACTCCCGCGGGTGTGTGGGTGTGGCTTGGGCTGCAGCTGGGTGTGGCAGAATCGGTTCTCCAGTGCAGTCACCGAAACTCCAGCTTCCTGGGCTTTGTCTCAGCCTGCTTTGCTGCCCAGGGGACACTACAGGAAGTGTGCAGTGTCCTTTGCTGTCACCTCCTTTCAGTAGGGGCAAGGAAGGGTGTGGGTCTCTCGTTGGGCTGAGGCACCTTGAGGTTCTTCAGCGATTGGTGGAGGACGGTGTCACAGGAAACAAGGGACTCAGGTGCGGTGTGGAGTCCCTGAGGTAGCTTTGACCTCATGTAGGGCAGGTGGGATGGATTGGAGGCTTTATTTTTATCATTATTAAGTGAACGCAGGACCTTTGCACTGAGCTGCCTCCCCAGATCCCCATGGCTTTTTTATTTTTTTGGGGACAGGGTCTCGCTGAATTGTCCAGGTTGGCATTGAACTTGCCACCCTCCTGTCTCAGCCTCTCAGAGTGCCAGAATCATAGGCATGTGCGGCCTGGCTGAGGAAAAATCCTGGGCTCTTTATGATCCAGAGATGTGTAGAGGTTCAGAAAGTGGGCAGAGAAGGAGGAGGTGGAGGGGGGCGTTCTTGGCTGCTGGGTCTGTGACCAGAGCTCGGGCTGCTGTGCAGGCCTGGAGTGAGGGGGAGAGGCTCCAGCAGGGAGCAGGCCCGGCCACATTCACAGCTTTGGTGGGCAGGTGCCCGGATGAGAGGCTGGAGCAGTGCGTGGGGTGGGAACAGGCTGAGCCTGGGGTTGGGGAGAGCCCTGCCCTGAGCTAACTGGCAGGCGGGTGGCCGTCATGCTGGGTACTTCCGGTAGCTGGAGCACTGGTTTCTGGAGTTCCTGGGGGACAGTGAAGCTCAGCCAGCCACCACGCCTGGGCTAAGCGAGTTCCGGCAGGGTGACAGTGACAGAGCCACGGGAGAGTTGGGAGCGTGACTCATCTCCTTTTTCGGCAGTGTTGGGGGTTACACCTAGGACTTCTGCACTGAGCTTCTTATTACCATTAGCTTTTTAGAGACAGGATCTAAGTCACTAAGCCGCCCACAGAGATCTCAAACTTGTAACCCTGCCTCAGCTTCCCTGAGTACTGGGATACTAGGATTATAGCCATGTGCCACAGTGCCTTTCTTCTTTTTAAGAGGTAGGGGCATCTGGCTGTGTTGCCCAGGCTGGACCTAAACTTCTGGGCTCAAGTGATCCTCCTGCCTCAGTTTCCTGAGTAGCTGGGATTACAGGCAGACACCACTCTGTCTGGCAGGAACATTATTGCTAGGTTGGCAAACTACAGCCCATGAGCTGAGAATGATTTTTATAGTTTTTCATGGTTATAAAGGTGTAAGATTTTCAGGGGCTGGGGATTTAGCTCAGCAGCTTAAGTACCTGCCTGGCAAGCTTGAGGTTGTGAGTTCAATCCCTGGTACCAAAACAAAACCCCCAACACTTCAGTGGAAAAGTGTAAGATTTTGGAGTCAGGTGTGGCAGTGCATACCTGTAATCCCAGCACTTGGAGGCTGAGGCAGAAGATTTTGAATTCAAGGCCAGCCTAGGCAACTTTGGGAGTTGCAGGCCTGACTAGAGAGATACCTTTCCTCCCCCATCCCAAAAAAATTGATTTTGGATTTGTGTCTTTCTTTTTTCTTTTTTTGGTACTAGGGGTCAAACTCATGACCTCACACTTGCCAGGCAGGCACTTGTTCCGCTGAGCTAAATCCTCGGCCCCCAAAAAATTGATCTGGGGACATATTTAAAAAAAAAATCACGTGAAACTCAGACTTCAGTGTCTATGAGTGAGATTAGTGGATGTGGCCGCACCCATCATGGCCACATTATTTGTGGCCTCTCCCAACATATGATTCAGTAGCTGTGATTTGTGTGGCCCTAAAAGTCTATGGTATTTGCTGTTTGGCCTTACAGAAGGTTTTGCAAAGCTCTAGGTAGGTAATAAGTGAGCTGTGGACTACTAAGGTTTTCGTTTTTTGAGGCAAGATTTTATTGCCATGTAGTTCAGGCTGGCTTTGACCTCACAGTAACCCTCCTGCCTCAGCCTCTGGATGTTGTCACCTCAACCCGCAGGGCCCTTTTAGCTAGTGACCTGGAGATGTGGATCCTGACACCCTCTGGGAGTTCTTAGTGGGAATAGCATTCTTGGTGTGTTAAAATGAGTTCTCAGTCCAAGGTGTCCAGTGGAGGCAAAAAGAGAAGGAAATAAAGGTGACTGGTGAAGCAGAGATAAAGGGGGGATGTGCCTAGGGAGAGGGGCTCAGGAACCTGGGCCAACAGTTGATGTCCCCTAGACCCCAGCCGCTGCAGCTGGACGTCCTCTCTCCCGCCTGACCTGTCCTCAACAACAGCGCCTCCTGCAGGAGCCTCGCCGGCCGCCTGGGCTGCGGGCAGGATGAGCTTCATACTCGTCCCTTACCCACTTTCTGGGTGTTTTCTGTTTGAGTTTTGGTTTTGAGACCGGGTCTCACTGTGTTGCCCGGACTGGTCTTGAACTCCCAGGATGCTGGGTCTTCCTCCCTCAGCCTGCTGTGCGGGGGTGATTTGCAGGCGTGTACCCCGAGTGCCTGGCCCCGTCTGGCTTGTGTGGGGTCTCTAGCTCCTGAGGCTGGGCCGAGGCCACGGGCGGGTTGCCAAGGGAGGGTCTTGCCGTCCCGCTGACCTGGGCCTCTGCTCACCCGCAGGCATCATCCACGCACGCGGGCTGGTCCGGGAGTGCCTCGCGGAGACTGAGCGCAACGCCAGGTCCTAGCGGCACCCACAGAGTCCTGCACAGGAGGAGGGCGCCACCACCACCGCCGCCACGCACACCGCGCTCCTTCTGGAATGTTAACAGTTTAGTTTTTTTCTGCCGTGGTTCACTAGGCTCTGAACCTACAGTCTCCAAGAATGAGGAGCGATTTCACAGGGAGTTAGGGTTCGTGTCTGCCAGGGCGAGGCCCCCCAGGGTGTTTGCACGTGCCCTTACTGTCTGTCCCCGAGACCCAGTGTCGCCCTTCAGTCCTCTCTGCTGAGTCACCGACACCACCCTGATGGTTGTCCCCTTGTCATAAACCCTTCACCTGGCAGCCCAGGCCCCAGCACTGGTCCCGGGGCCGTGCTGCAGCGGAGCCCCTTTGCTAACGCGATTTGCATGACTCTTAGCGCTTTGAAGTCAGCTCTAAAAACGCACCAGGTCACAGGAAGAGCAGCCGACTCCAGCTCAAACGGACCCTGGATGCCCTCCTAGGAAGACTCTGTAGATTTCAGTTCTGCTGTTTGCTGTAAGTTGATCAAAACATCCAGAAGGAAATGACTAAAACTGTTTGCATCTTTGTATGTATTTATTACTTGATGTAATAAAGCTATTTTCATTAACAATTTGTATGATGATGTGGGTTCCTTGGAAAGTTCTGATGTGCTGTCTTAAAGACCTTCCCCACCCCTGGCTTTTTGGGGTTTACTTTTTTTTTTTAATCGGTACCGAGGATAGAACTCACAACCGCCTGCTTGCAAAGCAAGTGCTTATGCTGCTGAGCTAAATCCCCAGCCCCTGGGGTTTACTTTTTGAGACAGGGTCTCAATATAGTCCAGGTTGGCCTTGAACTCACTGTATAGCCCGGACTGGCCTCATACTTGTACTGATCCTCCTGCCTCAGCCTCCTAAGTGCTGCAATTATGGGTGTGCACCACCGTGCTTAAAACCCATTCTTAGAAGTTGAAGGACAGTTTCCAGCACCCCAGCTGGCTGGGGCAGACTGTGCTTTGCTCGGAGGCAGGGTGTGTTTGCAGCGGCAGACTCCACACTTGCACACGTGCTCGGAAATAAGCCAGAAGACTCAAGGCTGAGTGGCTGACTTGGCCAGTGGCCACTGCTCTGCCGCTGTCCTGGGCAGGAGGCTGCTCAGGCCTGCACGTGTCCAACTATTCCAAAATCTGGTTTCCGTATCTTTGGTCAGTAACACACGCTGGGTCTGGCGGCACTGATCCTCGCTCAGCATGATGGGAAATATGCAGCCGGGCTGAGGGTGCAGTGTGGCAGGGAGGCCCTTGATTCCCAGCATTGAAAGGAAACGAAAGTAGACACTCCCAAAGCGTCAGTGCTGTGGGGCATCGGGAGATGACTTAGCAGCCACAGGCTGCCAGGCCAGGGAGCTGATGGAGCCAATGGCAAGCGCCTAGGTAACACCTCAGCTCTTTATCTCCGTGTTACCAACACCGAGCAGAGCAGAGGCCCCCACTAACTGCTATTCACGTTTGTTTGAATTCTCCACAAATAGACCTTGCTAATATCAGTGCTTTTGCAAGTATTTTTATTCCTAAGCAATGTTTTTTTTTTTTTAGACAGGGTCTGGCTGTATAGTCCAGGTGGCCTCGAACTTGCAACCCTCCTGCCTCAGCTTTCTGAGTGCTAGAACTACAGGCATGAGCCACCAAGCCTGGCTGCCAAGCACAGTGGAGTACTCCTGTAGTTCCTGCTATGTGGGAGGCTGAAACAGGAAGATCTTTTGAGCTCCAGGAATTGGGCCAGCAATGAGATCTTTTTTTTCCTCATTGTTGGGCGTGGAATCCAGGGCTTCAGCCATGCTGGGTGAGCATTCTGCCCCAGCTCCAGCGCAAGAGACTTCTTGAAAGGACACCCTTCTAATTACTGCCTAGGTCAATAGTCAACCCTGGCTGTGGGCAATGGCACACACTTGTAATCCCAGCTATTCAGAAGGCTGAGGCAGGAGGACCTCGAGGATCCTGTCTCAAAAAGGGTTAGGATGTAACTCGGCAGTTACATCCCCAGTCCTGCAAAGCAAAACAACTCTGCCAGTCAACCTGGAAGCCCCACCAAGGGCTGCGCACAGTTCCCCTTCCTCCTAGAGGAGCGGCTACTCTCCTTTTATAGTGACGCTTGTGACTCTTCATAGTTTCGTTCTCTAAGTGCGCAGCAGTATTTGCTCCAGTTTAGTATGTTATTTGGTTTGGGTTGGCCTTGAGCGGGTAGCAATCCTCCTGCCTCAGCCTCCCGCCTGCTGGATTCCAGGCATGCGCACCGTGCCTGCCCTCATGCATCATTTACAAACCGAGGGGACTTGCACTGTTATTCCCTGGACGCGTCCCGGCTGACCCGGTCGGAACCGGCAGTTGTCTCCACGGGATTTCGACTTGCTTCCCGTAGCTCCTTCAGAAGTTTCTTTTTTTCTAGAGTCTCCTTTGCTCTTTTCTTCCTTTCTTGCTTTTTCTTCTCTGCCTCTCGTTTCTGTCTGCAAACAGGACTGTTTTCACCATTGTAGAAAACATCCACTTTCTCCTGTAGGATTTTCCGAGCCAGCTTCCTGTTCTGGTCCACGGATCTTGTCTGATGGCACTGCAAGACATAGGGACAAGGAGGACGTCACAGGTGGCACGGTGGAGTCACTTACTCCAGCTTGGTCCCTTTACCGGTGGGGACAAACCCGGCAGGCAAAGCAGTGAAGGCCAGACCTCCTGCGCCTCCTGGGGGCTGGCCTCTTCCTTCTCTTTGCTTTTCCCTGTTTATTGTGTTTTTTTTTTTTTTTTTAAAGACAGGTTTTCACTCACTCTGTAGTCCAGGCTGCCGTGAACTCACAGTGACCCTCCTGCCTCAGCTTCCTGAGTGCTGAGATCACAGACATGTACCACCATGCCCAGTTCCTGTATCCTTATATAAACTGGCTTTCTTTTTTGGGGGGCGGGTACCAGGGATTGAACTCATGACCTTGCTTATGCCACTGAGCTGAATCTCTAGCCCCAAGTAGCTTTCATTTTGATTGTTCTTTTTTCTTTTTCTGAGACAGGGTCTCACTATGTAGTTCAGGCTGGGCTTAAACTCACAGTGATCCTCCTGCCTCAGCCTTCACAGGGCTGGAGTTATAAGTGTGTGCCGCCATGCCCAGCTGTGATTGTTCCTTTTTTTTGGCGGTACCGGGGATTGAAATCACGATCTTGCACTTGCCAGGCAGGCACTTATACTGCTGAGTTAAATCCCCAGTCCCTGTGATTATTCTTACAATTAATTTTTTGGTTGTTTATAAGCAACAGTAGATAACTTCAGATAACTGTCCCCAGATAATGTTGAAAACATTAATCGAGCCAGGCTGGGCTAGTGAGTTCAAGGCCAGCCTCAACTGCATAGTGAAAACTCTGTCTCAAAAACCTAACTAAATAAAGGATGGGCTAACCCAGTGGTGGCAAACCTATGGTGCACCTACGCAGCTGGCAGTTACAGAAAGCTCTAAGCTGGGTATGGTGGCACATGACTGATACCAGCACCCAGGAAGCTATGGCAGGAGGATTGCTGCAAATTCCAGGCCAGCCTGGGCTACATAGTGGGTTCAGCTCAGCCTGAACTGCATAGCGAGACCCTGTCTCAAAGAGACAAAAACAAACAAAAAAACAAAACAAAACCCCACCACACCTCTAAAAGGTTTGCCACCAGAGGACAGCTGTGGCCAGTGACCCTGTGCAGCCTTGGGTCCCGTCTGGGGACACACAGCATCTTCCTCCTCGGCTGCCGGGATACCAGGGCTCCGTTTATGCAGCCGAGGCCCTGAAAAGCTGGCTGGGGGGTCGGGGGTCGGTCCAACTGGGAGCCCGGCCCATAGGACCAACATGAGTTTCCTGTTGGGTTTCAGGCTTTCAGGGCCACTCACCAATGAGTTTTTGAGGAGGAAAAGCAATGGAGGTTTTTGTCAACAGCTCAGCAGTGGAGCGTAGTGGTTGTCAACACGGGGGCTGTGCACTGGGGGCGTTTTCAGGCACCACAGTGCCCTCCATGCCTAGCTGCCACAGCAGGAGCACCTGTCTCCCCCCGCCCCCCAGCGATCCTGCCCCTGCCCTGCTGCCTCTACCTTCACGACCAGCCCCGAGGGCACGTGCTTCAACACCACGCAGTTGTTGGTCTTGTTGGTGGCTTGGCCCCCTGGCCCGTGTCCCTTCACAAACTGCTCTTCCAGCTCGCTCTCCTCCAGGGGTAGCAGGGCAGGTAAGTCCTTCTTGCCAGCCACTTGTAGCACAGATGCAGGGCCTCCCGGGGACAGCAGCCTCCACTTCTCCCCAAGCGCAAGGCCCTGAGGCCCGGAGCATACTCTGGCCAGCGCTGCGGGACCTCGAAGTAAACCCAGGGTGCTCATCGGGGGGCAGGCCACTTTTCAGGACCTAAAGTGGACAAGGAAAAGGCCAGCTTTTCAGGAAGAGTCGTGGCTCTCCAGATGATGCTTCAGAGGCAGAGACAGTTTTTCCTACAATCCTATGCGCAGCCCTGAACCCGGTGTGATGGCACACATCTGTGGTCCCAGCACTCGGGAGGCTGAGGCGAGGAGGATCACCATGAATTTGAAACCAACCTGGGCTACACAGTGAGTTCAAGTCCAGCCTGAACTATATAGTGAGGCCCTGTCTCAAAAACAAACAAAAAAATGAGTTTCTCCACCTTCTTTAGGGTATTTAGCCAGACACACGTTAGCCTGCCCCACCCCACATTCTCGCTGGTCCAGGCCTGGTGGCCTATAAATGTTTCCAGCTAACAGACCAAAAATATCTCAAAGCACCAGAGGTGCTGTTTTCTCTCAGGAAGGAGAGGTTTTGCATGTGAAATCCAAGTGGGGCTGTAATTTAATAAAGAAACATGAAACAGAACGCCAAACAGGGAGTGGGATCTGAGTCAAGTGACAGGATTTCCGTGTCTGTGCGTCCCCTATCAATCACCGTCGGCTTTGTGGTCTCCAGTGTTTCCAGTTTCAGGGCTTTGAATGGAACATCTGTTCCCTGGCGTGCACTGCCAGTAATGGAATCCAACTGGTCCTCCTCGCCCGGGTCTCTGAATCTCGGCAATCATGGAGCCGCCTGCGGGATTCCGGGGACCCCAGGAGGTGCAGTGAGGGCTCTATGCAGGAAGCAAGCTGGACTCCAGCTCCACATTGCTCAGAGCTGCTGGGGTTGCTTTTGGGGATCGAACCAGGGCCTCACGCACGCTAAGCACATACTGGACCACCTGGAGTGGGGTCCCAGGCCTCTGAAAGAGTTTTTGACAAAAGGTTTAATCAGTGAGCTGCGGAGTGAGAATGTGGTGCCTATCATGGGCCTTTGCGTTCTCCTGGGCCAAAGGCAGGAGGGCTTGAAAGGCCTCCCATGTGAACAGGGTGAGCCACCACCTGCCTCTGCTTTCCTGACTGGAAAATGGGCAAATGAGCCCTTTTCTGCCTATCTCACGTAAGCTTAAAAGAGGTCAGGGAAGAGTGACTGTGGTGGTGCACCCCTGTAACCCCGGCAATGTGGGAGGCTGAGGCAAGATCACCACAAATTCAAAGCCAGCCTGGGCAACTTAGGTGTCAAGGTAAGAAGCAAAACTGGCTGGGGACGTGGCTCGGTGGGGGAGCTCCTGGCTGGCACACGGGAAGCCCTCTGTTCCATCCCCAGCACTGGAATGGATTCTGCTGTCTGGCTGAAGCTGGAGATCGTGCTTTTGTGTAATCTGTAAGCCAGAGGACTGGGAACCACAAGATTCGCTACTTGAGTCTGAGCAGCGCACAGGCACCGCACTGGGAGCCCTGGCAGCTGCCACAGCACCAGGGAGCTGGGGTTCTAGCTACGGCCACTAGCCTCGCCCCAGCTTCTAAGGTGACGGCATCCAGCAGGTCACTGTCCCACTGTCACTGCCCACCCGAGTCCCAGGTAAGGGCTGCTTATTGAAGACGTCTGCCAACTCAGTATATTTCTTGTTCCATTCCATGCAAGCTTCTGAGATGTCAGGCCAGCTGATACCAAGACGCCACCATACTCCTATCTCTACTCCGCTTCTGCCATGTTCCGGAAAGGCATGGAACGAAACAAAACACCCTTGTTTTGCCCCATTTTTAAACACTTTTTGAGACAGGATCTGGCTACGTAGCCCAGGTTGGGCTCAACCTTTCGACGTCCTGCCTCAGCCTCTGGGACATGCCTTCCACGCTTCACGTGGCTGCGAGTTTGCAGTCCACGGCCGGCCTTATGGCCCAAGCCCACACCCTCTTTTGTGCCACCCTCTGGGTTTGCAGTCCAGGTGGGTGGTATTTAAGACAGCTGGCTGGGCTTGGCAGCTGAGGGGCTGGCGCCCACACGCAGGAGCCAGTGCAGACGGGGCTTTGAAGCCAGCTTTGTCCAGTGTGTGAGGAACATCTCAGCGGTGGCCTCAAGGACAGAGAGAGAATAAACCTGGACGCTTTCTCTGAAATCTCTTCAGGAAACTAGTACGTGTGACTGAGCCGACGTCTCCCTTCCTCCGGCTCCTTTAGGTGGCAGAACACAGCTCCTTTGTGTCACCCGGCTCTCAGCCCCGGAGTGGACCTGCGGTGGAACCCGAGCCCAGGCCCCTCCTGGGGTTCCTCTTCCGCTAGGTGGTGAATGTGACCAGCCAGGGCGGCACTGGGCCAGACAGAGGAAGCAACTCGGAGGGAGGCAGGCGCGTCTCAGACAAAGGACAGAGAGCGCGCTGTCATCGGCTGCCCCGCTGTTTCAGGTCTCACCCTCCCGTCCTGATTCGGAGCTGGCAGACACCCTGGAAGATGTCCCACTCCGCTGAAGTTCAACAAGGTCCCCAGGGCTCGGTGACTGGCTGCTTTGTTGAACGGCGAATTCCAGCAGCCATTCAGACGATTCGAGACATTTCTAACACCTCCCGGAGCTCTGGCCCCACTCCAGTGGCTGCTAAAAATGACAAACACACCCGTGGCTGCATGTCCCTGAAGGCCAAAGAAGAGTACGGGTTGGATTTCAGTTCGTGTGATACCCACCGAGCAACCCAAAGTCTTCAGAGAACAATGAAAGCAGCCTGAATCGTAGCCCATCATGACAGTAAAAAAGAGAAAAAGAAAAATGGTGAAGAGAAGTGAGGGCAGGGAAACGGGCGGGCAGGACAGCTCTGCCCTAGCTCTTGCTGACCATGGCTTTAATGTGGGGCTGGCTCCCCGGCCCCGCTTCCTCCCAGCCTCCTCCTGCTGACCCAGGCTCTGCACCTCACTGCTGCTGGGGTTTACATTAAAGCCTTCTCATGGTCTGAGTCTTTTCCTGTGACTGGAGTCACCCAGGTGTCACCAGCGGCAGGCGCCTACACTCTACTGAGCGCCCCCGGACCTAGCACCTCCACTGTCAGCCCAAACTGAGCTATGTGCCTGGCCCCTCCGACTGTGCGACCAGGCTCCAGGTGAGACTGGAGCGGTCACCGGTGACTGCTAGAGCGGGAGGGAGGCAGCACACACCCATCAGTCCAACGTTCTGGGAGGCTGAGGCAGGAGTTGGCTGTCTGAGCCCAGCCTGATGCCAGAATAAAAACAAACAAAAAAGGAAAGAACTGACTGAGCATGCAGCTCAGGAACAAGCCCTTGGGTCCAATCCCTAGTAGAAAACAAAAATACCCCAAATCAAACCAAAACTGGATGCAGGCAGTGGCATTGTGTTGCCAACAGCCTTGATACAGGGGTGGGGGGAGCAGGGATGGCAGGCGATGCCTCGTGTCTCTAAGGAAGAGAAAGCGTATCTGGTTGGCATTTATTGAAGGAAAGCACTGGAGTTGATCCCCTGGACCTGCCTTCTGGGTCTGTTTATCTACAATTCACCTTCACTGCTTTCTGTGGGTGGGCTGGGGGACTGAGATGAGGGCTTGCTGTGTGATCCAGGTTGGCCTTTGATTATGTAGCTCAGGTTGGCCTCAAAACTTGCAGCAATCCTCCTGCCTCAGCCTCCCAAGTTCTGGGATGACAGCATTGCCAGCACCGCTGGTCAGCACTAAGTCCTTGGGCAAGGGTGCTGCCTGTGGCCTGGCACTCAGTAATGTCTGACTGCATAATCAGAGTGGAAGGCAGGACAAGGGGATCACCCAGGGGAAAAGAATCACATGAGTTACTGATGTGAGCTAGCAGCGACAGTGACGTGGTTAATGGGGCACGGGAAAGGGGCTGGCTGAAGAAGACCGCCATAGATGTCACATGTATTGTGTCAGCATTCTATCTTTTTTTTTTTTTTTTTTTGAGAGAGTCTCGCTATGCAGTTCCGGTCTGCCCTTACCTCACTTTGTAACCCAGGCTGGTGGTGAACTTGCAAGGATCCTCCTGCCTCAGCCTCCTGTGAGTGCTGGGATAACAGGTGTGCACCACCACATCCGGCATTATTGTGTCAGTTTTCTAGATCAGTGTGCTGATCTAGAAATGTGCTGCTGGCCGGCCACATGTGTAATTATAAGTGTTGCATCAGTCACATTAAAACATAATAAAAAGATAGGGTTGGCGGGGGTTCAGCTCAGCGGCATAAGTGCCTGCTTGGCAAATGTGAGGTTGTAAGTTTGATCCCCAGTACCAAAACAAACAAAGAAAAAAACCATAAAAATAATAAAGAGAAACTGATTAAACTAATATATTTAACTCAAGATTTTAAAAGATGCTATTTTGAGCCAGGCGTGGTGACTCATATCTGTAATCCCAGCACTCAGGAGGCTGAAACAGGAGGATCGTTTCGAGTTTGAGACTAGCCTGGGCTACAAAGTGAGCTTAAGGCCGCCTGAACTGCATAGAGAGACCCTGCCTCAAAAAAAAAATTTTTTTTTTCAATATATAATGTTAAAAACAGATATGTTCTTTTTCTTATATGCTGTCATCAAACTCTGGGGGTATTGGGCATGGTGGTGCACATTTGTCATCCCAGCACTCTGGGAGGCTGAGGCAGTAGGATCCCAAGTTGAAGCCTAGCCTGGGCAACTTGGCAACCTTGTCTTAAAATGAAAAGCAAGCTCAGTGTGAAGGCACTGCTTCAATTCTCTGTCTCAAAAAGTCAAAAAGTCTGGGGGTGGTGCCTGTACTTAGAGCACATCTCAGTTTAGACCAGCCACGTGTCTGTGGTCACTGGTCCCGTGCTGCGGGCAGGGCACCGGAGGCTGGAGCTCCAGCTCTGGCTGCTCAAAGCGTGGTCTGCAGGCGGAGGGTGCCCTCGCCTCTGCTGCATCTCCATGAGATCCCAAGGTGATTTCCAGCCAGCGTGAAGTGTGTCAAGCTTTTTCCTGGGGCACAGGAATCGACAAGATCTGGTTGCAGGATAGATGTCTCTCTTCAGGTGGGAGTAGAACCCAGGCCTGAGTGTGTGCCTGACAAACAAGCCCCAGCCCCAGCCTCCAGAGTTCTGGTCCTCCCTGAAAAACCTGAGAAAAGAGAATGTGGAGTTTTCTCCATCATTTACCTGGAGCTCATCCTCTCGTTCCAAAGTCTGCGACCCCTAAGAGGCCCAATGTCCCCACAAGGAGCCCTGGGCAGTAAGGGAAAGGCTGGAGGCAGACCCCGAGACCAGGAACCGTCCCAAGCTTCCCGCATCACCGGAAGATAAAGCACCTCCCGCCAGCAACTCATACATTTACCGATTGCCAGGAGGGTGCGGCAGATCCTGCCGGGAGCACAGAGCTGGTGGCTTTCACTGGGGGGAGGATAAGGGAGAAAGGGTTAGGGTCTACACAGGAAAGCCTCAGTGCTGCAGCGTTTAAGAGAACTGATAAAATGTAATGCGAAAAGCATCCAATCACATAATGCCAACAACTTGTTCATGTTTTTTGGTTTGTTTTTTTGAGACAGGCTCTCCTTATGCAGTGCAGGCTGGTCTTGAACTCACTGTGTAGCCCAGGCTGGTCTCAAATTTACCTTCTTGTCTCAGCTTCCCAAGTGCTGGGATTAGAGGTGTGAATCACGAGGTTTTCAATTTCTGAAACTAATTTTTTTCTTTCCACAGCTTGTTTCACTACCTTTCATGACATCTCCAGATCTTTTTTCCAGTCCTTTACAAAATATTAGCTTGTTTTCCTTACCTTTTTTCTCCTTTACCTTTTTGTGATGCTGCCTCTAATTTTTGTCCCAGAAAGGCCACAGTGCAGAGGAGCCTGAGCTGTGTGGTCACTGCGTCCCTGCAGCCAATGTCTCAGCTCAGTGCAGGCCACAGCTCCTCAACTGCAAATGGAGCCAACACACCCAGAGAACGGAAGCACCTAGGTGGCCATGAGGACTCGGGTCCTGCCCAGCCACAGGGTAGAGGAGCCTCTGACAACACCCACGCTGTTCTTAAGACATTGCCCAGCCTGCACACTACTTCATTGGCTTTTTTGTTCATTTTTGAAACAGGGTCTTGCTATGCATTCCAGGCTGGGCTTGAATTCAAAGTGTTTCTCCTGCCTCGACCTCCCTGGTGTTGGGATGACAAGTGTGTGCCACCACTCCAGGCTATCTAGTGGGCTTTTTAGAGCTTAGAGTGAAAATGTATCTAGAAGAAAGAGCAAGAGATTATTTCACTTGGCATGATCTCATTTAAGGACTTAGAAAGTATGCAGCTGCCAAAGTCATGCCATTTGCTGAGGTCATAATTCTGGTCTATGAAGTCAGGGGCCAAGGAACTCATTATGATGCCTGCATACAGCTGACTTCTCAGAAGGCCCAGTGACTGATAAAAGCATCCGAAGCAAATCTGTTCTCATTCAAATAAAAATGTCTTTAGGGATTATGGGATACTGTATAGGACAAAAAAGTAAAGATAGGAAAGATGCAAAATTTAAATGTAAGCTAGGTGTGGTGGCCCAAGCCTGTAATCCTAGCACTTACGACACTGAGGCAGGAGGATTGCTACAAGCTTCGAGGCCAGCCTAGGTTACCCAGTGAGACCATTTTATTTTTATTTTTATTTTTTTTTGGTACTGGGGATTGATTGAACTCACGATCTTATGCTCCTCAGGCAAGTGCTTATATTGCTGAGCTGCCTGAGACCATTTTAAAAACAAAAAATTCAAATGCAGGGGTGCAGGTGTAACTTAGTGGTAGAGCAACTGTTTGATACAAGGTCTTGGATTCTATTCCACAAAAACATATTAAATGTAAATATAATCTATTTGTATGTTTATATGTTAATAAAAAGGGCTGAGAGTATTGCTCAAAGTAGTAGATCACATGCCCCGCATATGTGGGGCCCAGGGTTCAACCCCTATTATAAGAAAAAGACAGTGACATCTTGTTTAACAGATATCGTACACCTCAAACCATTGTCAGTCCAACTTCTGAATCGCCTGATTGATGTGAAAGATCTTTACTCACAAGATGTCAGGTTGACACCTTCAAGACAAGAAATACTTAAAAAACTTGATGTTATAAAAAATTTACAGCCAAGGGACTGGGGATTTAGCTCAGCGGCATAAGCACCTGCCTTGCAAGCAGGCAGTTGTGAGTTCCATCCCTGGTACCGATTTAAAAAAAAAAAAAATTTACAGCCAGTGTGGTGGCATAAACCTGTAATTCCAGCACTCAGGAGGCTGAGGCAGATGGACTGCCATGGATTTGAGACCAGCCTGTAAAACAGAGTGAGACCTTGTCTTACACAACAACAAACAACAACAACAAACCAGAGAGAGAAACTGGTAGATTAAAAAGTACAGAAAAAAATTATGAAGATAAGGTTGGTGGCACACGCCCATAATCTTGGTTCTGTGAGAGGATGAGGCAAGAGGATTACAAGACAAAAGTCCAACTTGGGCAATTATCATGATACTGTCTTAAAAAATAAAGGGCGAGGGATGTAGCTCCGTTTGAAGGCACTGGATTCAATCCCTATACTGGGGGGAAAAATTCATACTGCTAAAAATAAAACTCAAAGCATTCGCTCCCAAAAATAACCAATCCTATGGGAGGTCATGGGCAAAATCAATCAACTATCTACTGCATGGTTAATAACTCATCATCACTAGTTGCACTCAGGGTTAATATTTTTCTTGTAGAGAAAGACAGCTTGGAGCTGTCTTAAGAATTCACACTTTTTAGTTCTTGAGTGTGAGATCATGAGGTTTTTCTGCATTTTGTGACCAAATGAAATTAGCAGATAAAACTACTTTTTTTCCTCCTTTGGTGGCCTTAAAATATGGTCCCTGAAAACAGAAGTGTGTTTACAAATCATGTGGGTTTGCTTCAGAATATAAACCAAAGTTTCACTATTGAAAAATAATGAGTAGGTATTCTGAGGAGGCCCAGATGAAAAGGGGGGTGATTCTTGGCAGATTTGTCATCCCCACCAAGTGCAAATACACTCCCCTATGCAGGCTTCTCAGTGACATCGAGGAACAATGCCGGCGAGTGAGAGCTAAATGCTGCAAGACTCTGAAAGGCAAACTAGGTTGCAGGATGGGGGCTGGACAGTGTGACGGGATGGGCTGCAGCCCGCGGAGAGGTAGGCAGATTTTCTCTCTGTGGCCTCTCCAAGCCTGGCAACCACCACGTGTCACTTCATCGGATTCCACTCTCCTTACGTCTTCGTGGAAGTGTTTTCTCCAGGGCGGTGATTTCTCTTTTCCTCCGCCGCCCCGAGTGTTTGAAGAGCCCCAGCAGCTTAGGATAAACCGAGTCCTGAGAAAACGTAACTCGGGGGACCAGGGCTGGCTGCACCTCCCCACAAGAAGGTCTACAGGTAAAGTAGCAGCACGACTCAGCAGGGGGAAATCAGACAACCCGTTTCTCAGGCCTCTCCAAAGACCTGGGCAGTCGTGGACAGCCGTAGGGGTGCCTGGCTAGTGCGCGGACGCTTACCTGCTCTTAAAACTGGCCTCCAGATGGAAATGTTCAAGGAGAATCCCAAACCACTGCAGAGCCCGAAACTCAACTACGCTCCGACTTCTGCGCATGCGCCATGTACTTGCAGCGGCTTCCCTTACTTGCTGGAGGCTCATTCTCAGTAACTGCGCATGCGAGAAGCTGAGGTCCTTTTTCCCGCGTGGAAGCGGTAGGTTCCCAGAAAACCAATCAGAGGGGAGAAGTTGACACAAGCCCCGCCCCCTTCTCACTCCCCACCTGGCGTCAGACGTCGCTTTGAGAGCGAGCAGCGGGCGGGGCCCGGAAGAAGGTTGAGGCAAGCGCCGCTCGCTCGGCTGTCTCCGCCCCCTTCCAAGCAGCCAATCGCGGATGAAGCGCCGGGCGCGCGCACGCTCCTTCGAGTTTTAACGGTCGCGAGAGGCCAGTCTCCTTACCCTGACTGCTGTGGAAGCGGCGGTCAGGTAAGTGGCTGTTCTCCTATGGGGAGTTGCCCTCCGCAGGATGGAGGACGAGACTTAAGGGAGTACGTTTTAATGGAACCCTGCATGCGTTGAGAACCACAGAAAGGTGACCAACCCGCCAGAGCCCACTGTCGTGTGGGGGTTGTGTCCCGCTGCGAGCGCCTTTTGTAGACTCGGTGCCCTTGAGTGACACCCGCGCGGCCCAATCGCAGGGCGCCCTTCCCGAGGGGCGGGGGGCTGGTGGGTTTTTTTTGTTTGTTTGTTTATTTTTGACCGGCTGCCTGGCCTTCCTTTGGGGATCACGATGGCGGTAGTCGCAGCGGTGGCTTCTCCTCCTTGTATCTGTGTTCTTTATCGCCTCCCCGCTAGGACCGGGTCTCTTCCAGGAGACCGAGGTCTTGGCTATGAGGGCCACTATGTCACGATCCGGTCCCAGCCCTGGAAATCGTCCCAGCGGAGAGGGCGCCTCGTTAACTTTCTGCTTGCTGGTCGCTCGGCCCCTTTTCTCAGTCCCCGTTCCTGCCGGTGGTTGAAGGGTGGAGGTGGAGGCGTCCTATTTTGCTTCTGGAAAATGTGAAGATGTAAAGATCCTCTATTCATTCCTTATCTCGTTTGTCTCCTTTTAAAACTCAGCATTGTTACTGGGTTTTAAAAAAAAAAAATCTCTTCTTCTTTGTTTATGGTTCCCTGCCCCTCATCCGGAGAAGCATCCTTGAATTTCTAGAGGTTTTCCTTCTCTGCTGCATCCGGTGACCTCAGCAGAGAAAGAATAGAAGGGGTTGCAGCTCCGCCTCCCCGGAGAACTTGCCTTTCCCTGGTGTTAGAGCCAGGTGATTGGAAGTCAGGTGCTCGCAGCCCACTTGGAAGAGGCGGAAGCTCCTGGCTTTTTCAATGCCTCATTTGTCTTGGTACCACCGGGGAAAAGGCTTTCAGATAGGTCTGGTTGCCCCGGACTTTCACATCTGTCCCTGCAGGAAGTGCTTGCTTGATGAGCTGATGGTTTTTGGTGTACAGCGATGGTTTTTGTGTACAGCAGTGCTTTACAAAACCGTGACGTAGAAAGTGGGGAATCTTAAAAAAAAAAAAGTGGGGAACCTAAAGGAACCAGAACCTCAGATAGTTTTCTTCTTAACACTCTCGAAACTTAATTTTTTAACAACATAGGTTTTTCTCTTTCTTTTTTTTCTCGCTCCCTTGATTTTTTTTTTTTTTTTGCACAAATTCTGAGTAGGAGATGTACTGTTATTCCCAGCCTCAGTAAAATTTTAGTAGGCCTAACACATAGGTTGTTAAACAAATGTACGCATGCACAGCAGGCTTGGCGATACATGGCCTACACCCAGCTCCTGAGGCGAATCCCAGCTCCTCAGGCGAGAGGATCACCGTGAATTTGAGTCCACCCTGGGCTACATGGTGAGACCCTAGCTCAAGAACACTTAAAAGATGCATGCGGAGGTTCTTTTAAATTAACACATTGTTTTCAGTGTTCACCCACATTGTAACGTGTCAGGGCCTTCTTTTATGTTTTCTTCAGTACCAGGATTGCATACTGAGCCACCTCTCCAACGTTTTATTTTTTGACTTGAGGTCTTGTGAAGTAAAAGCTGGACTCCTCATGTGCTCCTCCTGCCTTGGTCTCCAGGAGTGCTGGGACTGCAGGTGTGCACACTGTTCCTGTTCTCATTTCTTCTTAAAACTGAATAACCCATTAAATGGATGTGTCCATTCATCTATTGATGGCATTTGGGTTTCTTCATTTTGGCTGTTATAAATAAGGTTGCTGGATGGGTGTGGTTGCCCGCACGCGTAATCCCAGCACTTGGGAGGCTGAGGTAAGAGAATCACTGTGAATTCAGGACCAGTGTGGGCTCCATAATGAGTTTAACGCCAGCCTAAAGTACATAGCAAGCCCTTGTCTCAAAAAACAACAAAACAATAACAAAAGCGAAAAACAAACAAAACTTGCGCTTTATATGAAAGAAGTGAAAGTTTTCTAAGTTTGAAAAGTTGCTAAGTTAGTGACTTTTTATAGTAGTATTTTTTTTTCCTCGTTCATTTTCAGACTCTTGGAAGTTTAGGATATTTTAGAGTTTTGAATGTTAGCTACTGAAAATGCTGCTAACAATGAAGTGTCTGAAGATGACTCGGATTCGTCCTCAAACAGTAAGCAGACCTCTATTTTCAAATAAGAGAGTGTAACAATTTCTGTACACTTTGGAAAATTCTGACTTGGTGAGAACCTTATAAAAAACTTCATCTTATGTAGAATCTGATATCAAAAATTCTCCCCATTCTCATGGACTGAGCTTAGATGCTAATAGGTAAGAATGGGATAGCTACTTTTATTTATTTTATTTTGTTGGTACAGGGGATCGAACTCACAACTGTGAGCTTACAAGGCAGGCACTTATGCGGCTGAGCTAAATCCATTGGCCCAGGGATAGCTACTTTTAAATGTAACAACAAAGATGTTTTTAAATGTGGCCTCAAACAAAAATAATATTGCTTGATAGTTTACCACTTTATCCAACTAGTACCATCATTGCTGATTTGTGTTTGTTAAAAAAAAAAAAAACAAAAAAAAACAAGACAGAGCTATGATCAACAACTGTTCAGGGAGTGTTGGACACAGTTTTCATCTTGTGTTGTTTTTCATTTCTGCTAGAAAGATGTACTTTTGGGTGAGAACATCGTAAAAAAAGAACTTATTAAAAAAAAAAGAACTTATTTTGGTGGTTGTATTTTTCTGTATACTTTTTTCCCTTTTGGCAAATTACAAACATCTTTAAACAGTAGTTGCTTAAATATCATTTCTACATTCTAAATTAGTGATACAAATAATGTTTTGTTTGTTTGTTTGGGTTTTTTTGGTACCAGGAATCAAACTCAGGACCTTGTGCTTGCCAAGCAATCACTGTGCCAGTGAGTTATATCCCTGTCCCCAAATAATGTTTTATATTGTGAAAATACCTCACCAAGCTGAAAAGTAGCAATTAAGTCGAACTATAAAAAACTAAGTAAAGGGGCTGGGGATTTAGCTCAGCAGCATAAGCACCTGCCTTGCAAGCAGGCAGTTGTGAGTTCGATCCCTGGTACTGATAAAAACGAAAAAGACAAAAAAACAAACAGACAAAAAAAAAAAAAAAAAAAAAAAAAAACCTAAGTAAAAACAGACTCTGCAGAGTCTTGAGTTAGCATGATAGTTAATAAAATGCTTTATTTTTTTGGTTCCTGGGAATTGAACCTAGGGCCAAAGCCTGCTAGGCAAGTGCTCTGTCTACCACTGAGCTCAGCCTCTGTTGGTGTTTTGTTTTGAGACAGAATCTTGCTATAGCCTACGCTGTCCGCATCAACTCACAGAGATTCTCCTGCCCAGCCTCCCAAGTACTGTGGATTTTCTTTTTTCTTTCTTTTTTTGAGACAGAGTCTTACTAAATAACTCACTTGGTTTTAACTTTGGATTCTCCCACCTCGTGAATAAGAAAGCATGAATTAGGCAGCTCATGAGAGGTAACTTTAGAAGGAGTAAGAGGTGCCGGGAAAGAGATGCTGCCTAATCTGTGTGGGTTTGCAAGACGGGCCATGCGTTTTGTTTCCTTGTCACTTACCGGCCTCTCTGAGGTCCACTTCTAGAAGAAATTTCTTGAAAAATAGAGTGTGTGATTTGCCTAGAGGAACCTAACTGTGCTTTCTTGTGGAAATTACGCTGTCATCCTTGTCTCCCTCTTCCCCGCCAAGGCAGGTCGGTTCACCAGACTGAAACTATGTTGTCAGGACTGTGTAACCCCTTTTGGACAGGTACCCTAGGTTCTTCTTCTTACCCTTGAATTTTAGTACTCTCTCTGGTCTTCATTGATCGTGTCCTCTTCATCCAGTTACATATGAAAAAAGAAAAGCAGGGTATAAGTGAATACATAGGGGAAATAATATTTGAGTGGGTTTTGGGGCTCCGGGCTGTGCTTTGTGTGTTGGTAAAGCATGCGTGATGTGCCCGCCTTGGGAAGGGCAGGCTTTCCCGCGAAGGCCGTGGTGTTTCACTCCAGAGCAGCCTGCGGAGGGCCTTGCTGTTAGGTGCTTGGCGGTTTTCACTCAGCGCCAGCTTGGGGACAAGCATCAGCTTATCGCCCCAAGCGAGGGGATCCTGGGACAACACTGGACCCCGATGCACAGTGCGGGGCTGTGCCGAGTGGCCAGTGCTGACCTCCATCCTCTGGGGTGATTGAGAACAGACCAGCTGGGAACTTTTCTCAAGATGTTAACACATCCTGTTTCCTCCCAGCTCCCCGGTGTTCCTGGAAAAGGTCTTTCTTTGGGCTCTTAAACAAAGAAAGTACTGTCTGTCATTTTATTGCTGTTTTCCTTTTGTGGACACACTTGTGATCTGATTTCCACAAACGAGGTACCAATTAGAAGGATTAAATGTCAGTGGTTTTATGTTGCTCTGTTAAATCATGAACCGCTGAGTTATTCACCACTCAGGTAGAATGAAGAAACAGTCTGAAGGATTTGTGTTTCCATAGAAGCAGTTCTCATCTTAGTACAAATGGGATGTCCTCTTTCTCAGGGAAGACCAGGCTGCCTGCCACCCAGGGGACAGTGAAAGTCTTAGCTTCTTTCATGCAAGAGCTACAGAACGGCGGGAAGACTGATTCAGAGCTCTGGAAAAACTGTGAGGTATCTTGTCTTGTTTTATTTTGGGGATTTTATTTTATCTTATTTTTGATTTTTTTATCTTTTTGAGACAGGGTCTTTTTTGATATGGGGTCTCTCTATGCAGTTGAGGCTGGCCTTGAGCTCACTTTGTAGCCCAGGCTGATTTTGAACTCGCAATGATCCTCCCACCTCAGCCTCCCAAGAGTGCTGGGATTACAGGCGTGAGCTACCACGCCTGGCTTGAGACAGGGTCTTGCTATGATCAAACTCACAACCTTGAGCTTGCAAAGCAGGCGCTTATGCCACCTGAGCTAAATCCCCAGCCCGAGCTCACTTTATAACCCAGGCTGATCTCAAATTTGCAGCGATCCTCTACCCTCCTGAGTACTGGGATTACAGATATGCACTGCTATACCCAGTTTATTTTGGAGTTTTAAAAATAATCATATTTAAATGAAACTGCACTGAATTCCATATTATTAGAAATTTATGTCTAGAAGAACATGATACTTATTGCACAACTAGTCAAACATGTTAATTGGGGAACAAACAATGTTGAACAAAAGTAGAAAAATTACTCGTGGAATTAACCCCAATTTAAAAAACCTAAATCTACTTTGAAATATTTTGGATGTTTTAATTCTAAATTTAGACTTCTATTTAGTACTTTATCCCACTTAGCTGTGATATATGGTGTTCGGTTTTCAGGTCACTGATTCTTCGGCACATGGATGATATAAAAAGGGCACGGGAAGGGGCTGGGGATTTAGCTCAGCGGCATAAGCGCCTACCTCGCAAGCAGGCAGTCCTGAGGTTGATTCCCGGTACCAATAAAAAAGAAAAAGACAAAAAAAAAAAAAAGGCACGGGAGTTGCCAGGGGACACTTGTCTAGTTTATGGAGGCCCAAAGCTTGATCCCCAGCACTGTTAAAAAATTAATAGTTAAAAGAATATTTAAAAATTTCAATTTATAGATTAGTACTCAAGGTGGACTCTCACTGTTTTTCAAGATAAGCTACAGTTGGTAATTCTTTGGGCTGGGGATTTAGCTCTGTGGTATAAGCATGCCTGTCTGGAAGTACAAGGTCATGTTTGATCCCTGGTACCAAAAAAAGTAATTTTTTATAGAAATATATAGTATTAAATTCTTAAAAGTAAATTTTGTTTTACTTATTTATTTTTTGTCATTTTGAGACAGGGTGTTTCACTATGCAGTTTAAGCTGGCCTTGAGCTCAACTTCGAAGTCCAGGCTGGCTTCAGACTCACAACTATCCTCCTGCCTCAGCCTCCCAAATGCTGTGATTATAGTTGTGTGCCAACATGCCTGGCTTGTTTTAAATGTTAATTGTACTTTTAGAACTGTTATTTTTCTGAATATAGAAAAAGTGAAGTGAAAGATTACATGGCTGAGGAATTCAGTAACATCTACCCCAAATGTAATAGCTACTTATATTCATATATCATAATGATTATAGTTCTAAAAATAACTATGCCTGCATACTTTTTTTGGTACTGGGAATCGAACTCATGACCTCGTGCTTGCCAGGCCGGCACTGTGTTGCTGAGCTATAGCCCCAGCCCTACATGATACATATATATATATTTTTTTTTTTTTTTTTTTTTTTTTTGTCTTTTTCATTTTTATCGGTACTGGGGATTGAACTCACGACCGCCTGCTTGCAAGGCAGGTGCTTATGCTGCTGAGCTAAATCCCCAACCCCACATCATATATTTTGATTCCTCTTTTTTATCCTATTCCCCTCCCTGCTTCAACCCCTCTTCCCTCCTTATTTATAAATCTTTGTTTACATTTTATCCTGATAGAAAAGTTTTAAAGTACACCATTAATAAGTAGTTATTTTAGTATTTTAACAATTTAGCACTGTTATGTATATAGTAGTAATAGAACAAGTTTAGTTATATAGTAATAATAAATATTTATAAAGTTTATTGTCTCTTTGGCAGGTAGTATACTAGGTATGCTATGTCAGTAGCACCCAATCTTATTAGATCTAGCTGCTCTTTTTATAACTTTTTCTCTTTTTCTTTTTCTTTGTTGTTTTTTGATACTAACAATTGAACCTAGGACCTTGTGCTTGCCAGGCAGGCACCTATGCTGCTGAACTATAATCCCAGCCCCCAACATTTTAAAAAATAATAACAATTTATATATATATATATATATATATATATATATATATTTTTTTTTTTTTTTTTTTTTTTTTTTTGGTCTTTTTCTTTTTTATCGGTACCGGAGATCGAACTCAGAACCACACACTTGCAAGGCAGGCGCTTATGCCGCTGAGCTAAATCCCCAGCCCCAATCACAATTTATATTATCTCTAAGTAAAAACCATAGGTAATATGACCTATCAGTACTCATTTCACAAAAAGCAATATAGAGCTGGGCGTGGTGGTGCACCCCTGTAATCCCAGCACTCTGGTAGGCTGAGGCAGGAGGATCACTGGGAATTCGAGGCCAGCCTGGGCTACATAGTGAGTTCAAGGCTAGCATGAACTGCATAGCGAGACCCGGTCTCAAAAAAACAAAAATAGAGGCTGGAGGCTTAGCTCAATGGCATAAGTGCCTGCCTTGCAAGCAGGCGGTCGTGAGTTCGATCCCTGGTACTGATAAAAATGAAAAAGACCCCCCCCAAAAAATGAAAATAAAACAATATGATGGTACAATGTTTGCCTAACATGCACAATGGAAGAATTCAATCCCTGACATAAAAAAAAGAAGATAACTGCACAGCCCCAGCTTCATTAGAAGTAAGAAGGCTGGTGTTTGCCTCTGCAGTGTGTTGACTCACCATGAGTATAGCAGCTGCTTCCAGAGATCAAGGCTGCCATCGAGGCTTTGTTTGTTTTTGTGATGTGGGTATTAAAACAGGACCTTGCACCTACACTTGTAACACTGAGGCACCTCCCTAGCCCCAGCCACATCCATTTTTTCTTTTTTGAGATAGGATTTCAATGTGAAGTTCAGACTTGAATTTGCAGCAATCCTCCTGCCTCAGCCTCCTGAGTGCTGGGATCACAGCCGTGCACCACCATCCGTGGGCCCAGCCCTATCTTGATGTAGGTATTGTGAGTGCCTCCTTCATTAGGGATAGGATTTTTCTGAAATACCTGATGAAATTCTGAAACATGCCTAAGTTTGTTTTGGATAATTGAAAACTGCAAAATATATTATTTTTATAATCTAAAATGGACACAAGACAGCTCCTTACTGTGGGAGACTGTGCTGTGGTACGTGATTTGTGTCACTGGAACATACCCATTATAAATGTGAGGTGCCCCCACTTTGTGATGATCATGACTTCATAGTTTCCAAAATTCAGTGTTTTCTTCATTGAGGTCACTGTTTACCAGCACTGCAGTGAAGGTTAAGGGGTGACGCGGCGGGACACTTAGGACAAGGTACAGTCGCAGTTTGTAAATTAGGCAACTGAGATGCAAAGAGATGACATTTATTTTTTAGGACCTCACAGGTTGTCGGTGGAGATCTGGGAGTCATGTTCCCATTCAAGCTGTTTGCATTAGAAGCTGTACAGAGGGGAAAAAAAAACTTTAACGACATGCCCAATTCCTTAAACTATGTAAAATGCAGATAGTATAAACCATTTTAGTGTGAAGAGAGAACAAGGAATTTAAGACATAGAAAGTGCAACTGCCAATTTTTGACTAATGAGGAATGATGGCAGATGGCATCAAATCAAGATGCCATTTGACATACAAGACTCGCAGGGTGCGATAGCACAGACCTGCGATTCTACAGACCTTGTGATTCCAGCACTGGAGAGGCAGAGGCAGGAGGATCTCTGTGAATTCAAGGCCAGCCTGCACTACATAGTGAGACCCTGCCTCAAAAACAAAAACAAACAACATAAAAGGAAATGTAAGATTCACCTGGACCTTCTGATTCCCCAGACTGTAGACTATATAAGAAAAAGGCATCTTTCCTTGTGTGTTTATCTAATATATTTTAAAAATAAATTTGGCTTATAAATTTTATATTATAGATACTCTTAGAAAAGGGCATTTATCACAGCAGAAACTTTTCTAGGAAAGTTTTTTTTTAACTAAGATATTTTGTAATTTAATAGACCAGGTGGTTACAGTTGTTCAATTTGGTGGAAAAACAATGCCAGGAACAGATAACTGCCCAGCAGGAACAGTTCCACAACCAGATTCAAGTAAGTTGTCATTTACTGATTTTTAAAAAAATAATTTGTAAGATTTGTAAAAAATAAAAACACAATTCATTTATCAATTTTGTAACCTAAGGAGAAGGCATGGTACTGACAATGGTAACGTGTTTTGAAACAGGGTATTTTCGTGATATGTATAAAAATGTGGTGTGGTAACAAACTTTCTCACCCAAATCTGTAACTTTTTATTCGCAGCGTGTACAGGAGGAGATAAGAAAGTTAATCAAATTACAAATCAGTAATTCTTCGTGGACTTTCTGTGATACTGGTGCTTCCAGCAAACACATATTTTCAGAAAGTCCAATGGGTTTTTTTTCTGAAAACAGTGAAAGAAATGAATGTGTCACTGGTTACCCTGAGTCTAAGGAAGCCGAGATGCAGCGTGGAGGGGCCGCACCACAGCCGGCCTGCAGTGTGGATGGCAGTTCCGTGAGCAGCGGTTACGGTACCTTCTGTGTCGCAGAGCTGAGCCCCCACAGGCCTAGAGACCGGGCAGCGTGCAGGGAGCACCACGCAGGCCTGGCCAGGAGGCAGGGTGCAGGGCCTGGGGCCCAGGCGGGCTCCCCTGGGGAGAGCCCGGGGCACAGCAGTGTCTGGGCCCCGGCTCCTGAAGAGCTTCGCACCTCTTCAGAGGATGATGCTAACGCTTTTCCTGGTGAGCTGGAGCATAATTTTCTTAGTGAAAATAAGATTTCTGAAGTATACGGTGGAAAAACAAATAGGTAAGTAGACTTTGTCCATCATCTGAGCAGGAATCTTACCAGTTTATTATATTTGGAATCTAGTGAACTTGAGCTACAAGTGGACGAGATGCATTAAAACATGTATCACTTTTATCATTAATATCAAAGCCTTCTATTTGTTGTATGTGGAAAATTAAAAGAAAGCATGTTCTATATGGGTGACACCTGACTTTCTTTTTTTTTTTTGTACTGGGGATTGAACTCACGACCTCATGCTTGCCAGGTAGGCGCTTATGCCTTTGAGCTAAATCCCCAGCCCACACCTGACTTTCTTACCAATTGCAGTTATAAACTGTTAAACTGTGAAGGTGGAAGATCTTGCCAGGAAAATACCTTTTATATTTTCTAATCCCTTGGTGAAGAACAGAGTGCAGTTAGGGCTGTATTAATAGTGAAATTTCATCACGTGTGTTTATGTGATTTGGTACCAAAAATTGTAGACAACCATACTTAATCTTGTCTTTTATGTGTAAACAATTTTTATAAACTTAATGACATTTTAATTGACTGAGGGATTTTTAAATTTTTTTATTTTGGGGGTCTTTTTTTTTTTTTTTTTTTTTTTTAATCGGTACCAGGGATTGAACTCACGACTGCCTGCTTGGAAGGCAGGCACATATGCCGCTGAACTAAATCCCCAGCCCCTAATTTTGGGGGTCTTTTGAGAACAGGGTCTCACTAGCCAGTTCAGGCTAACCTTGAACTCATTTTGTAGCCCAGACTGGTCTGGAACTCCCAGTGATCCTCCTGCCTCAGCCTCCCAGAGTGCTGAGATTACAGGCGTACACCACCACATTTGGCTCAGTCAGGGCTTTTTTTTTTAGTAAAGGTAACGTATGGCTGAATGTTTGCAAAATAATATTGTAAACTTTTGTATTTTACCCTAAACTTTTAGTTTTATATCTCTAAAAGGTGTCATCTGCAGTAAAGTATTTAGCTGTTGCAACATAAATCACTTACACTTTTGTAGTTCCTTCCAATAAATGTGCTTTCATAGCACAGATTTGTGTAGTACTTGAAGGGAATCTGGGAGGTGGTTTTGTTCTATTCTGTGGCTACAGAATATGTCTATTAAATATTTTGGGGGACTTTTGGGGATGTGGCGATTAAATTTGGAGTCTCACATATGCTACTCTTAATCTTAGCCAAAGGCCAAGAAGTGACCCCCATATACTAGACAAATGCTTAACCCCTGGGCTACAGCCCTAGGCATGTACTTTGTTAGTTTGTTTGTTTTTTGCCATAGCTGCTTACTAAATTGACCAGCTTGGTCTAGAACTTTAGATCCTTGTCTTAGCCTCCCAACTAGCTAGGATTACAGGCATGTGCCACCACACTCATTCAGACTGTACACATTGTTGATCACTGTTTGTCTTTTTGTTTACTTTGGTTTTGGTAATAAGATTTTGAAAAAAAATTTAGGTGGGTTAAAAAAAAACCCATGGGGGCTGGGGATTTAGCTCAGCGGCATAAGCACCTGCCTTGCAAGCAGGAGGTTGTGAGTTTGATCCCTGGTACCGGAAAAAAGAAAAAAAAAATCCACTATCGGACACTACTATAAAGAACTTGGGCATTTCCCACCCGAGTAGTGGCTCCTGTGGTACCTTTGCCTGTGAAGGACAGCACTTCAGAAAAGTCTGTGGTTGGGCTGGGGATTTAGCTCAGTGGCATAAGCATCTGCCTCGCAAGCACAAGGTTGTGAGTTCAATTCCTGGTACCAAAAAAAAAGTCAAGTCTGTGGTTATCTCTTCTTCAACAGTAAGTCCGTGACAACTTGGGCACAAAAACTGAAGCAGAACCAGTCACAGAGAGTACATGCAGAAGATGGATGTCCCCGGGCTAAGGCAGCTGAGGAGCAGAACAGAAAACCCCCTGCGGAGAAAGTAGGTGATAAGCCATTCTTTTGCTTGCTTTAGCTGCTGAGGTCTGTAGGGTTTGTTTACTATGCACTCATTGACAAAACTTTTTTGCATTGTTAGTTCCTTCATTGACAGGCCTTTCTTTTGGCTCTCAAAGGGGACTATGAATATTGCTTCCTTAGTAGACTGGAAATTAGACCTAATGTTATACACACTACAAAAGGAATCACTCCTGAAGGTCCTATTTCTCTTTGTACTCTAAATGTTAATGGTTAGCCAGAGAGCAATTCATTGAATTGTTTTGAAAAAAACCTTCGGGGTTGGGAGAGGAGCTGGTGTTACAGCACCTGCCTTGCTTGTGTAGAGGCCTGGGGTTTGATCCATGGTAACACAGAAACGAACTAGCAGAAAAACAAAAACCCTTTAGACAGTCTATTAAGTTGTAAGAAGTAGCACTGTAAGTTCAGAGCACATTAAGATACCTTTATAGAAAGTTGAAATTTAGACAATTCTGAATTTATAATCCAAATTGTGATGAATTAAATGCTTCCCTTCTATGGGACCCCTTTGCTCACCTGGAAGTTTCTTGTCTTTGTTTCTTTTTTGAAGCTGTCACAAATAGGATTTTATTTATCACTATTAAAATTCTAGATTTTAAGCAGACTCTTGGACTGGTGGTTCATATCATCAGCTCGCTCACCCTTAGCTCCAGGCCCATCCCCAGTAGCTTTTGCAGGGCTACCGCCTTCTCCGTGAAGCTCCATGAGTTTCCCCAATTCAAACTCCAGCTTCTTCTACGTTTTTACTTTTCTGATAAAGACATCATGAAATGGATAAATAGAAAACAGTGGGGAAACACAAAACAAAATTTAAAAGCATAAATTTTGTTACCTAAATGAGTCCCAATTCAGAGTCTATGAAACAAAAGCAAACTTTTACCTAGACCTCCAAATGATACAGGGGAATGAAACTCCCCACATATTTAAGAGCAGAATGTATTTATTGAGAGAAAGCGAGCTTCTGTCCGAGGGACAGAAGGAGTCCCGAGCAGGTTGTCCTCACCTGGAAGCTTCTTCATTGAAGGCTGCAGCTGCTTGGTTTCAGTGTGTTGGGAGGCCAGGGTCACTGGCCTGACTTAGAGTGCCACGGACCCAGTAGCTTACAGTTCTTTGCTCAGTGGGGCAGACGTTCCTGATAGGCAGTGTTAGCAGCCCCGAGCGGGGACGCTGGTGGCCGTCAGCTCCTGGTGGCAGCCAGAGCCCGCAGCAGCAGACCCAGATCTTCTCCAGTGATCTGAGATCACTGCTCCCGCTCTTCGCTCTTCGCTCCTCTCCCTGTCCTTGTGTTTAGTGGCCTTCAGTGTGAACACCCTGGCTGCCGCCCAGCGCACTGGCTCTGCCCAGTCTGTCCAGACAGGAGCAGAACAGGTGGAAAGAGGCTCCGTTAGCACTTCCAGGGCAGCAGAGAGGGAGCAGCAGGTGGACTGACTGTTGGAGGTGTGGACACTGCTTATGGAGGACATGATGAAGGTTTCTGCGTGTGCGGTGGCAGCCTTTGTGTTCAGTCCTGGGGAGGGGAAGGGCTCCCCTCAGTCCTGACTGGGGAGCGCTGCAGGGGTGCAGCCTTCTAGAGCGGAAGTGTCTGGGATGGGCCCCATGGAGCTCGCTGCAGCCCCACAAGGGTCTCCCAGTGATGCCACGGGTTGTCTGACGCCGCCACTGGCCGGCGTGATGCATTGTGGGCAGCTGCAGAAGGCTGTATGAGAGCGCTCTGGGCGCTGCCCGGCCTCGGCCTGGCCTCGGCCTGCTAGGGGTGGTACACTGAGAATGCAGAAGCAGGTGCCCCCGCCAACCCAATGCCTTTGGAAACTGCCTGTGACCTCCTCGTCCTCAGCGTAGTCTTCCATCACCCTGAGGGGACAGCTAAGTTAGACGGAAGTTAGCAGTGGCCAGAGAGGAAGTTGGCACAGAAGACGAGGCACCAGAACTGCCACTGGAGGCGAATACACAGAGCCACAGGCCGCAGGTGGACGAGAGGGCCAGGGTTCCAGCCTCCCTAGAGATGGACAGCAGCTTGAGGTTACACTGTAGGTAGCACCGCCTGCTCCAGTGGGCCCAGGTGGGTGTCAGACACGTAGGTGGGCGACCAGTACAACCTGACCTTTGCCCAGCCCTTTCTGGGAATGCCTGGCTTCTTTTTGTGTTTGAAGATACAGATAAATTCGGGTCGTGTCACGTGCCCTTACTGTATGCCGCGGTTCCCTATTGGACTGGTTGAAGCTAAGTGATGTGGAGTCCTGTAGGCAGCTATCGTTTGACCCGAAGCTCCCCAAGGTGTGATTCTGCTCTGTAAAGTACCCTAGGACAGAGACCCCCAGCAGCTGCCCGCTTCGGGGCCCCTCCTCCTGTCTCTCTCTCAGTCACCCTTTCCTGCTTCTCTCCTGATCAGTTTTGAGGAAGGGGATGAAAGTGGGTGAAGCCCCCTGAACCACAAGAGCTTTACTGCTTCGAAAGCCTGGTGGTGTTCCGGGGTGGCTCTGTCCTGGAAGGGCCCTGGGTGCTGGGGCCTGTGGAGCCCAGAGAAGCCCTGTGGCACTGAGCAGGTCCTGGTCCCCAGAGCTCGTGTGCCAGCAAGCATGGGCAGCGTGCGTGGTGTGCAGCGGGAAACGCCTGCAGAGCGGGATGAAGCTTGCTGTTGTCACTGGGACAGGCTGCCGTAAAGGGAGGGTGCTCCAGCACATTGCTTCCTTCTGGTTTTGAGGTGGAGACTGAGGCCATCGTGTGTGTGTGTGTGTGTGTGTGTGTGTGTGTGTGTGTGTGTGTATGTGTGTGTGTACATGACTGCTATGCCTGCTGGCACATGCTCAACATGGGCCCCCTCATTGAGCCGTCTTCAAGGCTTTCCCACTTTGGGGCTGTGGTTGTGTACTTGGTGGGGTTTGGTGGTTTTCTCGTCTCCTTTAACAGGATAAAAAGTTGTTTCAATGCCAGAGATCGAACCAAGCCAGGCAGGTGATTGTGATTCAGTCCATACTGATGTGGCCCATGTGTCCCCAAACTTGATGGACACGAGAGCCACCTGAAGAGAATTAAAATGCCCTCACACAGGGCCAGGCCCAGGCGCTGTGACTCCTTGCTGGGGCCCCTAGTGACTGTGGTGTGCAGCATGGTCTATGAATGGCCAGGCGAATCCAAAGAGCTGTGCCTTCCGGCAGCATCTCCCACCTCTGGCGGCCAGCAGAGCAGGGTGGATATGGGATTATTTTGTGTCATCTGCTGGACAACTTTAACATTTCCTTTATTTTTTTAATTTTTAATTTTTTTCAGGTGTCTGGTACATATAATATTGAAGTCATTAATGGAAATCAAATTTTTTTGTTTTGTGTTGTTTTTTGAGACAGGGTCTCACTATGTAGTTTAGGCTAGACTTGAACTCACTGGGTAGCCCCGATCAGTCTTGAGTGATCCTCCTGCCTCAGCCTCCTGAGTGCTTGGGTTACAAGCATGTGGCACTATGGCCAGCTGCAAGTTTCTCTGATATTTCTTTTTTAAATTTACATGCTTTCTATGTACATTTTTAAAAAAATGCTTGGAGTACGTGATTAAATCCTGTAGAGTGGGTACATGTGCATGACACATCTTAGTTCTTTTTACAAGTTCTGAACTTGGAGGGAACTGAATGGAGGTGTGCTTGTTGGTGGATCAGCAGCACCACCCTGAGCTGCATCTCTTAGCTGTAGTTGGAACTTTACTCTTTCCTTGACCCTTTTTTTTTTGAGACAGTTTTCACTATGCAGCTGGCCTTGAACTCACTTTGTAGCCCAGGCTGGCTTCAGACTCCCAGTGATCCTCCTGCCTCAGCCTCTCCCAAGTGCTGGGATGACAGTTATGTGCCACCGCGTCTGGCCACACAGTGGTGTGGGTGAGAGTCACTTAGAAGTCCATCTTGAAAGAGTATATCCTTGTAGCAGAGGGTGTTGCAGAGCCCAAGTCATTTTTGTTTCTCCATTTCCCAGAGTGAAGGGTTTTGCAGGGCTGCTCAGGTGGCTGTTGGCCCAGTTCTTGTGCTGGGCTGGGCCCAGCTCCTGCCCTTTCCCTGTGCTGGGTCTCCCCCGAGGAGCCTCCAGGGTCTGTGAGGTCTGTTGAGGGTGCCTGCCCTGGCTCCTCAGAGCCGGGGACCGAGGCCGGCATGCTTCACGTGGACTTCTGGCTGTGGTTTTCTCCAGTCACCTTTCCCTGGTCTTTTAAGTGTGGTCACATAGTTGAACAGGGAGGAGTTTGAAAAGGAAGGAGAAGGAGCTTGTGAGGTCGGGCATTGACCCCGCCCTGCCTGGGAAGTGTTGCTGCCTCAGTTCTCCTGCTCCTGCAGGAGCTGCATGGGGGGTCGTGAGCAGGTGCAGTTCAGAGCGTTTAGCAGGATGAAAGAGTTGTGCCTTCGTCTTTTAATGCCGAGGATTGAGCCCAGGCTAGGCAAGTGCTCTGGCTCTGAGCCACAGTCCCAGCTTCCCCGCCGCCCTGGGTTAAATTGTCTGGCCTCGAACATGAGATCCTCCTGCCTCCACCTCCAAGTAGCAGGAATTACAGATATGCACTCCATGCCTGGCAGGGATAGAAAGTTCAGTGACGGAGGAAGAAAAGCTTTGAAGAAAACACGCATGTCATGTATTTGTTTGGAAACATGAATTTCTTGTGATAGCTTCACACCTCCTGAGGAGAGAGTCTCTCAGAATTTTTTCAGAATCATTAATAACTAGCATTTTTAGTCTTTTCTGCGACTAACAGCTAGTTGTGTGTGTATAAGAAGTAATCTGCTGTTTAAGATTCATATTTCTGATTTGTGGTTTTCAGAGCTAATTTAATTTACTTATTTGTAATGATAAAAATTAATTTTTAAGGCTTTGAAACATTACTTTTTATACCAAGTGACTTTTTTTGTGTAAATGGGGAACCCAGGGACTTAGAACTGAGCCACATCTCCAGCCCTTTTTAATTGTTTTTAAATTTAAGACAGTCTTACTAAATTGTTCAGTATAACCTCAAAATTTGTAATCCTCCTGCCTCATCTCCCTGACTGCTGGGGTTTTAGGTGTGTGCCACCATGCCCAGCCCAAAGGATTTTGTTTTTCGTCTTTTGTGAGGCAGGGTTTCACTGTATGGTTCAGGCTGAACCACTTTGTAGCCCAGGCTGGCCTGGAACTCATGGTGGTCCTCCTGCCTCAGCCTCCTGAGTGCTGAGATCATAGGCATGTGCCACCATGCTTGCCAAGTGGCCCAAGTGATTTGAATTCCAGGTGCCTCAAATTTCTTTGGAAGTAGACAACAGATTATAAATACATTTTAGTTCTGAACTTGTTAGTAATACCTGCCTTCAGTTTTCTCCTAGCTCCAAAGTGAACCAAAGTAAACCTTGTTTATCAGTTACACAAAGGAAGTTTGAGCTGGTTGCAGAGGTACATACACGTGCAGTGCCAGCTACTTGAGAGCCTGAAGTTAGGGGATCAGAATGAGGCCAGTCTGAACAATGCAGTGAGCCACTGTCTCAAAATGGATAGGGCTGGGCATGGAGCTCCGTGGTGGAGCCCTTGCCTAGCATATTCGAATCCTTGCTTCCATCCCCAGCACTGAAAAAGAAAGAAAAGGGTACCCTTCCCTGTTAACCCCACCACTCTGCAACCCGGAGGAAACCCAGCCCGGGCACTCCTTGCCCCAGGATGACACCTGGCTCACTCTGCAGGGTGTGCCTGCCTCGTGATTCTCAGCTCTCCACCGATTGTTTCCTTTCTTGAATTGCAGTCTGATTTTGCTGCTGCTGGGCATCCTCATGCTTTTTACCTTAGTAAACCAGAAGAAAGTCCAAGTTCTTGGATGTCTGATTCCGGAACAGGTATGGAACTGAAGCTTTTGTTATCCATGTTGTTTGTTGAAACAGTGTCCAGGCTGGCCTCAGACTCACAGTGATTCTCCTGCCTTGGCTTGCTGAGTGCTTGGACTACAGGTGTGCAACTCCACACTCAGCTTAAACTTTTATTTTTGATACTGGGAGTTGAACTCAGGACCTCGTGCTTGCCAGGCAGGAGCTTATGCTACTGAGCTAGAGCCCCAGTTCCCCGCTTAAACCTTTTTTTTTTGGGTACTGGGGATCGAACTCATGACCTCACACTCGCCAGGCAGGCACTTATGTCGCTGAGCTAAATCTCCAGCCCCCCTGTTTATTAAAGAGGTTTTTTTTAAATTCAAATGTTCCCTAGCACTTTGTCTGCGTATCTCACTGGAGGGAGGATGCAGGCATACACAGTACAGCAGGTGGTTCCTGTAAGCATCCCCCGTGCTGTGCTGTTCCTCCGGCCTCCAGAGCCGTGCCTTTTGCCTGGATTGCATGGTCAGTTCTGCCAAGGTAGAGGGCAGGTGTGTGGCTGCAGCCTTTCTCAGTCGCTCCAGATGAGCTGACAAGCTCGATGTGCCCTGTGCTCGGTAGTGAGCTCTCCTGGTATCCTTGGAGTTTTAGCCTAACTCCTTCCTCCTTCCCCGGCGGCTCACGCCCAGCTCATCTGTGTGAATCCACTTTGCCTTGCAGAAATTTCCAAAATCTAGCTGCCACTCCCTACCTCCACTGCCGCCACCAGTAGGGTGCCCCCAGCCATCTCTTGCTTGCTACAGGCTCCTGTGCAGCCTCGCTGCTTCACCTTTGTGCCCTCAGTGTATCCCCTACAGGGTGCCCAAAGGGACCCTTTGAAAAGCCAGGGCGGCTCAGGAGACTGCTGCTCAGAACTCTGCAGTGCCGCATTTCTCGCATTTCTAACAGCTAGCACCTGTGGACCTACTGGCCCAGCAGGCTGGGGCCTCCTTCCCTCTGTCCCCATGCTCTGCTCCTTCCTTCCGGTCTCTGTGTCATCTGCAAGGCCGCCTGTTCTTCTGTAGGGCTTCTGCAGTGGCCGCTTCCTCTGCCTGACGTTACCTCAGTCAGGAGACTCCCTCACATGCACTCCTCTGGCCACTTCCCTTGTAATGGTTACCTCTGAACAGCCTGTGAGACAGTCTAGGCCACCCTCAGTGCTGCCCCATTGAGCTGTGTATTTTGTGTGATTTACTAATTCATGTCTCACTCCTGCCTCCCAACCTGGCACAGTAGATGTTTAATAAATACTTGAAGAATTAAGTTTTTTCTTCATGGTACTGGGAATTGAACCCAGGCCTTTGTGTTGAGCCACATCCGCATCCCTTTTCATATTTTGTTTGGAGATGGTGTTGCTAAGTTGCCCATGGTTGACACAAATGCACAGTCCTGCCTCAGCCTTCCAAGGGCTGGCATTACAGGTGTGTGCCACCATGCCCAGCTCGGGTAAGGCATTTATAGGTCTCTCTCTTTTTTTTCCCCCAATAAAACTTCACCTCACTGTAACCACAGCCAAAACCCAGTTCCTTCCTATTTTTAGCTTTCCTTGGGTAGAGATAAGTTACTATAGAAGCATTTTGTTCTTTCCCTTTCCTTACTGCTTTCCACTCTACATATTTGTGCACATTAGGGCTGACTTACTGGAAGCTGGAAGAGAAGGACATGTATCACTCTTTGCCCAAGACACTGGAGAAATCGCTTGTGTGGTCGTCCTCTGCAGTAAGGTCACCAAGTGAGGTAATTTAGAAGTCTGCTGCATGCACACGTGTGCTATGACGGTCGTCAAGAACTCTGCCCCTCATTGGCGTTTGCCCACTTCTAATGTAGTATGAAAGGTGTGGGCTTTAGGGTCATACACGCTTAATTCCAAATTCTGTTATTTTTAGTATGTAATTTTAGGAAGATTACTTTAAAGTGGAATTTTAAATGCCTAGTTGATGTGTGTGTGCCTGTATGTGTGTACTGGAGATCGAACTCACGACCTTGTACTTGCCAGGTAGGTACTGTGCCGCTGAGTGGTTGTCTCTGGCCCCCAGTTGGTGTTTTGTGGAATTAAATGAAGGCTGTTGTGTGTGCTGCTTTATAAATAGTCTTGGCTGTCACTTCACTGTCTCCTGAACCTGACGTTGGCTTTCCATTCTGCCTCGCTTTGTACTGATGCAGTTGTATCACAATTATGCACAATTTAATTTGTTGTAAAGTCTTTGAATAAGAAATGTAAATACTGGCCCAGGGATTTAGCTCAGCAGCATGAACACTTGCCTGGCAAGTTTGTTAAGTTCGACCCCCAGTACCAAAAAAAAAAAAAAGGAAAAGAAATGTAAATACTTTGCTTATTTCAGAGCAAAAACGTGCGATTGTTTAGTCTGTGCACATTGATGTACCTATTTCACTTCTGTAGTTTGATTATGCAAACTAGTTAGCCTATGAGAGAGTGGATCGGGAAAAGGGGGGATGTAATGGAAGTAACCCTGGGGAACAGGGATGCAAACACTAGAGACAGATGTGGCACGGGGCAGCGTGGTACCTGTAAATGTCTGTGTACCAGATAGTACCCGGAACCACCACCCACAGCTTGAGGAAAGAGAGGGAGACAGATAAACACAGCAGTGCGGCTGTGGAGGCGACTCGTACAGGGGCAGAAAACACTGCATAGCTTTGCGCTTATGGGGCTTGCCACGTCACTGGATCCTGGACATCGGTACGTTAAAACCAATGATTGGATCCATGGTGTTATCAATTTTATGACCTCCCATTTTATGTTCCACCAAACATCTTAGCAATTAGACCAATACAGTGCTTTCTTATCTCTTCAAGTTTATATTTGGTTGTTATGGGAAAAAGTTTTCAGCTTCTTATTTCATTATAAGACTTAACATATAAAGGAAAATGTGAGTGAAGTAAATTTGGCTGAAACTTCTTTACCTATTTATGCTTCTCAGCATAAATAGGTAAACTCAGTGTTGGTGTTGATTTCTTTTATTTTTTTAAGAGTAGAATATATTTATTGAGAGAAAGAAAGCTTCTGTCTGAGAGAGACAGAAGGGATCCCGAGCAGGTTGCCAAGGACTTTGGCTTCTTTTAGGGACTTTTGCAGAGTACAGTCATGGGGTGAGATGGGTTTAAGGTGGGATAACTGGGAACTCACAAGGTTGATGGGCATAAGGTGGGATAGAACTGTGGTTAGCCAATAAGATTAGTAGTCCAGGTAAAATAAAACTATATGAGACAAAGCAACTAAAAACAATGGGCAAACAGCAAGCAATTATCTCGAGTAATTATAAGCAACTGGCAAAGACAAAGCAAAATTTGAAGCATAAAAATTTGTTACCTGAATGAGTCCCAGTCCAGAGTCTATGAAGCAAAAAGCAAGCTCTCACCTCCATCCAGTGATTGTGGTGGAAGTCTCAAATGATAGAGGGGAGTGAAACTCCTGACCTACTGTGTCCGGTATGAGTTCGTGTTCTCTAAAACTGAAGAATGAATTTTAGGAACAACAGGGGTTAAGAGCAGAATATATTTATTGAGAGAAAGAAAGCTTCTGTCTGAGAGAGACAGAAGGGGTCCGCGTGGGTTGCAGTAGTGTTGGTTTCCTTGCTTTCTTACGTATTTTCTTTCACCAAGAGTATTAGTGAGTCAGCGTTTCTCTAAAAAGCTATGTAAGGGCTTGGTGCTGAGTTTTTACCTGGCTTACTAGTTATGTGGAGCTAGGCTGTTTCTGACTACAGGATGGAACATGTTGCCAATCATGGTTAATGAGCCCTTCCGCTAACTGTTGGTCCTCAGAAAGTCCATTGTAGTCTCTAGGATTTTTCTTCAAAACTGTTAGAACTTCCGGGAACAGTTCTTTTGCTTTTGAGATTTGCTTCCAAGCAGGCTGTGACAATTATATCACAGCTGTTACTTGGCTAGAAGCAATTGTAAGATGACGTTAACTGCAAAAGGTATCTTTACTTCAGGGATGCTGAGACAGGTAAAGAAAAGGACATAAAGGGGCTGGGGATTTAGCTCCGCGGCATAAGCTCCTGCCTTGAAAGCAGGCAGTCGTGAGTTCGATCCCTGGTACCGATAAAAAGGAAAAAGACAAAAAAAAAAAAAAAAAGAAAAGGACATAAGCCGTGCAGGTGGTCCCTAAACCTGAGCTGTGCCTTTGGGCTGCAGCTGTTTCCCCAGGCCCCGCAGGCTCCTCTGGGGACGGCCGCAGCCATCCTGCTGTGCCCTGTCCCAAGCTCACGGCTTGCAAAAGAGCTTCAGGTGGCTGTATCTAAACAGTGGGATTGCCAAGCAGGATCATGGGAAATGTAGTATATTTTAAGGGTAGTTTTAATAAATTTGTGTCTTTAATTCATACATCAGAAGTATAATTAATTGTTCTGTCCGTAAGCTAGTTAAAGGGTTTATTAAGAAGTATGAACTCAGTGAGCTGAGTGCGGTCGCATATACCTAGCAGCTCAGCTCCTTGGCAGAATGAGGAGGGAGGGTTGCTTGAGCTCTGAGGTTCAGAAACACACTTGGGCAGCAAAAATCTGTAGTCCTTGTCGATTCGAAATGGGACTAAATTTAAGATTACATGATGACTGAACTTTCAGTGTGACTCTCCCTCAATCTGTGATCCCCTTGGAGACTGTGGCCACAGCTTAAATTGGAGGCCCAGGATTAGCAAACCCTGAAGTAGGTCCCCCTTAAAGTAAATAAAGCCCAAAGTTTTGCTGTTTGGATCTTAGACAATTCTTTGTGACATTTTTATTCTAGCTGTAGAAGTTAGGGTTAAATCCTATTTTATTAATTAATAAAGGAGTTTATTTTCATTGGATAGCTAATACTTTTTCTTGTCTGCTATCTTTCTCTTTTTTTTTTTTTTTTTGGTAGTGGGGATCGAACTTAGGACCTTGCCCTTACCAGGCAGGTGCTTAAGGCCCTGAGCTAAACCCCTGGCCTGTTTGCTAACTCTTTTTTTTTTTTTTTTTTTTTTTTTGTCTTTTTCGTTTTTATCGGTACCAGGGATCGAACTCACGACTACCTGCTTGCAAGGCAGGTGCTTATGCCACTGAGCTAAATCCCCAGCCCCTGTTTGCTAACTCTTAAAAAATGAATGTAACTGTGTAGTAAGGAACTCGGTCCCTTTTTTTTTTTTTTTTTTTTTTTGATACCAGGGATCAAACTCATGACCTCGTGCTTGCCAGGCAGGTACTTTCAACTTATTTAAAATTTTCTTAAAAAAAAAAAATCTAAAAATTTTTTTACAGTGCTGACTTTTTTTTTTGGTACCAGGAATCGAACTCAGGACCTTGCTCTTGCCAGGCCGGCATTGTGCTGCTCAGCTGTGTCCCTGGCCTTATGGTGCTGATCTTGAGATCAGTCAGTTTTCTTAACCCAGATAATACCATTTAAATAATTTTATTTATCTTTGCGCCTAATACTGGTAATGAGATGAAGCTACCACCATTGAAGGTTACTTACCATTTTTTACAAAACGTTTTCCACAAAAGGGAAAACAAGCGGTTACCTGAGAAGAATCTCACTTCTGCTTCCAACCCAAATCATCCATCAGAGGGGAAGTTGTCACCATTCTGCTAATGCAAGCGAGAGAAGCTTCATGACTGTAACTTGGATTGTAAGCTTTTTTCCTAGGAGAACTGAAGTCTTCTCGTTTAAATGCAGCAAAAGAAGCAGGGAACGCGGAAGGACCTCAAGGTTGTCTGTGTTTTTCTAGGTACTGACTCTGGATCCAGCCTTGCACACGAAGCCACATCAGCAGGGTTCAGAAACCCAGCCACATGGCTTTCTGAGCCCTCTTGGTGACAGACTGTCCTTCTCACCAGACTCTGTCCTGGAACCAACTATATCAAGTCACTCTGACATCGACTCCTTTTCACAAGCAAGTAATGTCACTTCTCAGTTGCCCGGGTTCCCAAAACACCCTTCACACACGAAGGCTTCACCCGTGGACTCTTGGAAGACCCGTGCGTTCCAAAACGAAAGCAGGAGCAGTTCCCCGTTCCCTTCAGTGTGTACTCTCACTAGCAATGACGTCTCCGTCAACACTGTAGGTGAAGAAAACACTGTCGCAGCAGCAGCTTCAGCCTCGGTCAGTCAGTCCCAGCTTCCAGGTACAGCCAACAGTGTCCCAGAATGCATTTCATTGACTTCTCTGGAAGATCCTGTGATATTGTCTAAGTATGTATTTCAGTGAATGGCTTGTAATGTTAATAGATTTTCTGTGATGTCTGATTGAATAATGAAAATGATTTTTATTGAAACTCAGTAACATATAAAATCTTAAAGACATGCAGCTTTTCTACGACAGAGCATCTAAACACTTTAAGTTATTTGTGTCTTTTTCACTTTATTGTCAGTTTTTTCTGTCTTCTAGTGCTGGGGATTAAAAACCTCCAGCTTCATGCATGCTAGACAGATACCATCCCACCGGCCTCCATCCCCAGCCCCTTGTGAGGCAAAGATGGGTGCTGACAGAGGCACCCAGAGGCGACAGGGCATTAGAACGTTCTTGTGGGTGGAAGCGGCTGAGCTTGTGAAGTGTCGGCTCTGTTTGCTGGGGGAGCGCAGTGTAGGCAGCCGGGACTTTGCCTGGAGGATGACTGTGCTCTGGGTTTCTCTTTGGGTGGGATGGGGAGATGGGCTTTCTAATGATGTTTCCACTCTCACCAGCAGGATTAGGCAGAACCTGAAGGAAAAGCATGCTCGACACGTAGCAGATCTTCGTGCTTATTATGAATCTGAAATAAATAGTTTGAAACAGAAGCTGGAGGCAAAAGAAACTTCTGCCGTTGAAGAGTTCAAGAAAACCAATGAAATTCTTAGAGATAGGTAGAGTATGACTGTGCTGTCGTCGGTGTTTCTGCACCTTGAACATACCACTTCACAGAAGTATAGTACATTGGGGGCAGAAAACACTGGGAAAGCATGGATTTTGCATTTGAATCTTATAGAGAGGTATTAGCAGGGTAATTGTGAGTGTGTGTACATTCGTGTGTGTGCACATGCAGTATTGGGGATGGAACCCAGGGCATTGCACATGCTAAGCACATGCTACAAAGCTAAATTCCAGCCCCTTGTGAAAATTTTTATTTTGAAATAGTCTTGTGAAGTGGTTCAGGCTCTCCTTGAGCTTTTGAAACTCCGCCTCTGAGTAACTGGCATTGCATAGCATGTGCCGCTGTGCCTGGCCTAAGTGTTTTTAAAGCTTGGAACCAACTCCTGTAACACACTAATAACTGATATGAAGTCATGGGCTTCCTATGGGCAAGGAACTGAAACAAGCAGACTTTGTATGTGTAGAGTCTTCCCCTGCCATTTGTGGGAAGATTAATACTACGGAGTTCCTGGTAACTTAGCCAGGTGTGGTGGGCTGTGCTATAAATCCTGGCAATCTGGGAGGCTGAGGGAGGAGGATCACAAGTTCAAACCCAGCCTGGGCAATTTAGCAACTTAGTGAGACGCCTTCTCAAAAGAAATTAAAAAAAGCTGTGCATGCTGGTGCACACCTGTGCTCCCAGCACTTGGGAGGCTGAGAAAGGAGGATTGCTGTGAGTCGGAGTCTAGTCTGGGCTGCATGGGGAATTCAAGGCCAGCCTGGACTACACTGCAAGATCCTCTCTCAAAAAACTTAAACATAAATGAATGAAATAAATACATAAAATACAGTTTTAAAAAAGGCAGAGAGGAGTATAGGTACTTCCTAGTAGAAACAGGTGGCCTTTTTTATTTTATTTTTTTGTCTTTTTGAGACAGGATTTACCATGCAGTTCAGGCTGGCCATGAGCCACCAGCCCAGGCTGGTCTTGAACTCACAATGATCCTCCTGCCTCAGCCTCCTGAGTACTGAGATTATAGGCGTACGCCACCATGCCTGGCTCAGGGGGCTTTTTGATGTTAAAGACAGGGTCCTGATGGAGCCACCCAGTGAACAATAGCTGGCTGGAACATCTTGCTGTACAGGAAGTGCTAGTACGAACTCAGTAAAGTGCCTGTAGGCAGAGCAGGCAGGAACCTGAGGCCTTAAATCAGTTGCTGTGTTGCAGCAGCGAATGACAGTGCCATCCAGAGGGCAGCAGCCCCCTGCAGCTGAATACATTATTTTCTCCTCTTCATCAAAAGGATTTGGTCAGCCTTACAGGAGAAAACTGTTACAGTTGCAGTCTTTTAGACCTGCAGAAATAATTCCAAGACAAAAACTAGTTGTTTTCAGTGCATACACCCATTTTTTCGCTTTTTTTCTTGAAGCTTAAAATTGGAAATTGAAAATTCCACCGGTGCTGCGAATAGGGCCATCACGTGCATGTTGCAGGCCAGCCGTGATAACAGAGCCTTACGCTACACAGTTGCCACTCTGGGGGCCATGATCTCTGGCATATCACAATCAGTGTGGTAATGAAAACAGTCAAATCCACTTAGCGTATTCATTTACATGTGACTAATTAAATAACCTTGCTTTCAAGAACAGTCTCCAGGCCGAGGTGCATAGCTCAGTGGCAGAATAATTTCCTTGCGTGTGTGAGGCTCTGGATTTGGTCATCAGCACTGCAGACAAAGCAGAACAAATGAAACGAAGCTGTCTTCCCAGCGATTGCTCTCTGAGCTGTGAGGCCAGCAGCGGCGCTGTCCCTGGATCCAAGGGAAGGGGCTGAGAGTGGAGCCCCCCAGTGCCTACTTCAGGTTCAGTCCCAGCCCCGCCAAACCTGACGGATGGCCCCACCGAGAATGCAGTGCTGAACCACCTGGGGACCTCAGCCCCTCACTTCTAAAATGGGACTAGGGGTTGGGGATTTAGCTCAGCGGCATAAGCGCCTGCCTTACAAGCAGGCAGTCGTGAGTTTGGATAAAAAGGGAAAAGACTAAAATAAAATGGGACTGACAGAAATCCTAACTTAGAAATAGTTGAGCATGACTTCATATACAATAGTATCAAACATAACAAAATAGTATATAAAACCATTCAAGAGAATGAAAGTGCTCAACTATTTCAAACAAAGAGACATTATGTAGTCACTGTTTTTTTTTTTTTTTTTTTTGTCTTTTTCTTTTTTATCGGTACCGGGGATCGAACTCACGGCACTGCCTGCTTTACAAGGCAGGCGCTTATTCCACTGAGCTAAATCTGCAGCCCCAGTAGTCACTGTTAATTACTGGTTGTCTTGTGGTGAAATGCTGTGTTGCTTACATTGCTCTGTCTGATCTGTTTTGTTATGTCCTGTTTTGTATTAATCTCTTTAAAATAAAAAAAGAAATCCTAACTTAACTGAGACGGTTATGAGAATAGATATAAAAGTAACAGAGTTGGTATATACAGTGAGTGCTAGATAAAAATGCTTGTATTATTCACAGTACATCACGAAATAGTCAAAATAGTAGCTGGACACCATGTGTTTTGTTATTGTGAAGCTCTGTGATAATTAATTTTACAAAGAAAATTTTTTTCTTTTGTACTAGGGATTGAACTCACAACGTCGTACTTGCTAGGCAAGTGCTTTTGTCACTGAGCTAAATCCCCAGCCCTACAAAGGAAGTGTTTATAAGAATAATACATTGGCTGGGGATTTAGCTCAGTGGCATAAGTGCCTGCCTTGCAAGCAGGCAGTCGTGAGTTCGATCCCTGGTACCGATAAAAAGACAAAAAAAAAAAAAAAAGAATAATACATTATGCCTAATTTGATAATAAATAAGTCTCCCTAATGCAGCTTCTAGTCTCAGCATTGTAAGTTTGGATGTTTTGCATTCATCCAGTAATCATAATATGTACAAGGAAATTTTTTTCCCACAAGTAAGATCAAGCTATTTTGTGCGAGTTTCTCTATTTTGCTTTTTAAATGTTTAATTTTTTTTTTTTTTTTTTGTTCTTTTCCCTTTTTATCGGAACCGGGGGTCGAACTCACGACTGCCTGCTTGCAAGGCAGGCGCTTATGCCGCTGAGCTAAATCCCCAGCCCAGTTTGTTTGTATTTTTGAGACAGGGTTTTGCTATGTAGTCCAGGCTGACCTTGAACTTACTATATATAGCCCAGGCTTGCCCCAAACTCCTGGTAATCCTTTTGCCTCAGCCTCCTGAGTGCTGGGATTATAGGCATACACCACTATTCCTGGCCTTTTAAAAATGTTTATGTATGTATGTATGTATGTATGTATTGGTACTGGGGCTTGAACTCAAGACCTGGTGCTTGGCAGGCAGGCACTTAGACAGCTGAGCTAAATCCCAGGCTCCCAAAATTTTATTTTATTTGTTTTGGTACCGGGGATCGAACTCAACCATGTGCTTGCAAGGCAGGCACTTATGCCACTGAGCTAAATCCCTAGCCCAAAATTTTAATTTTTAACTTCAATACAGCTTACCATTTTTAAGAGTGTAGTTCAGTGGCTTAAGTATAATTCATGTTGTTGGGTGGCCATCACTCCTGCTATGTCCAGAATTATTTTCATTTTGCAAAACTGAAATTCTCTATTCGCTGAACATAACTTTTTGTTACCCTTTTCCCCTGGCAGCCACTGTTGTACTGTCACTGTAATTTTTTTCTCTTTTGAGACAGTCTTTCTATGTAGTGCAGGCTGGCCTTGAACTCATGGTGTTCCTCCTGCCTCAGCCTCCAAGTGCTGGATTACAGGCATGCACCACCACTCCTAGTCTGTCTCTGTAAATTTGACTGCTAATATAAGTAGAATCATACAGTATTTATCCTTCTGTAACTGACGTATCTAACTCAGTGTTAGTACATATGAGGATTACAAGATTAGATCTAATACGTATTTTTTTATCTGTTGAAGGACATTTATGTTGCTTCCACCTTTCTCATCTGTTGTGCAGAGTGCTACTGTAAATATGGCCATTTAAATATCTGTTCATAGTATGCTTTTTTCCCACTAATTTTATTTTTTAATTATTATTATTTGGTGCCAGGGATTGAACCAGGGCTTCACACATACTAAGCATATGCTTTGCCTCTGCACTTCACTTCCAGCCCAATTTAATATTTTTTAGGGGTCTTTTCATGCCATTAGTTTAGCCTGTTATTTTCTTCAGATACTAGAATATCATATAGTTCTTTGGTGTGTATTTTACTAAAATGGCAGCTCGGTTTAACTAACACTGGAGATTAGTTGTGTATTACATATTGGTAGATCAGTTAGATTTTTGAAATACTAATGTTTTTAAAAATTCTTTTGGGTATTTTTATGTAATACTTTTTTTTTTTTCTTTTTCTTTTTTAGTGGTACCAGGGATCGAACTCTAGACTACACACTTGCAAGGCAGGCACTTATGCTGCGGAGCTAAATCCCCAGCCCCATATGTAATACTTTACGATAAATTATTTTACTTTCTAATTAAAAGTCTATTTATGTATTTTAGGTGTAGCCAGCTAGACAATGCTTTGATTGAAGCTACTAGCCATGTGAGGACCTTGGAAAACAAGAATAACTTACTGGAAATAGAAGTGGTGAGTTCTTTCTCTTTTTCTGGCTTTTTATTCTGGTGATTTAATGATAAAAATCTTTTTTATCAACTGAATTTGAGGGATTCACTTTATGATAGCATTTTCTTAAGGCTGCCTTACTATGTAGTTTGTATTGTCATTATCGCTGGCTTCATATGATACTATAAGTTTTTATCCTTTGAAATATTTTGTTTACTTTTTAATATAACTTGCATACTATAAAACTCATCCTTTCAAAGTATATAATTTAATATTTTAGTAAATTGAGTAACTATTACCACTGTCAATTATAGAACATTTTCCTCAGTCACAAAAGAATTCCAACTGAGTGTGGAATTCCATAGATTGCATGCCTGTGATCCTAGCTACGTGTAAGCTGAGTCAGACAACTTAGTGAGACCCTGTCTCAAAATAAAATTTTAAGAAGAACTGAGTATATGTATTTGATGCTTTTTTTTTTGGTTATCTTTGCCTCCCCCTAAAGTATAAACTTTATGAAGTAAGGAGTTATTAACTTTGTTAATCCCAACGTGTTTTATTTTCTTTTGTTTTGAGATGGGGGTCTTGCTGTGTTTTGCAGCCTTGTCCTAAACTTCTGAGCTCAAGTGACCCTCCTGCCTCAGGCTCACATATGGCTAAGACTGCTGGCATGCCACGTTGCCCAGCTTCAATTTTAAATTTGTGGCACCCAAGTGCCTGACACTTTGTGGGTATTTTAGAGATAATTGTTGAACAGATTTTAACATCTCAGATACATTTTGAATTTTCTGTTTCTACAGTGAGAATAGGGTAAGAAATGTTTCCTCTCCAAATATGAACGTTGGGTAATGAATTCTAGCTTTACTTTCAGGATAATTTCTTTTGAGGCTGTATTTATTTTTTTATTTTTTTCTCATAAGGTGACCCATAAGCACTGTTAGCTTAGTGAGTCCTAGAATCATTGAGCCTCCTAGTTTTTTCTACCATAATTTCAAGGAGTTATTCTGTAGAATACTTCTTTCTAAACGCTCCGTCCAAGGGTAAACTGAAGCATTGTGTGTTTATTTCTATCTGTGTGCTTTCTTTTGGAATGGGAATGCCCATAATTAATTATGACATCTGTTTTTTTTTTTTTTTTCATTTCAAATACCTTATCTTTGTCTTTATTTTGTAGAATGATTTGAGAGAACGCTTCAGTGCAGCCAGCAGTACCTCCAAAATTTTACAGGAACGAATTGAGGAAATGAGAACAAGCAATAAAGAAAAAGACAGTACCATCATTCGACTAAAATCTAGACTGCAAGATTTAGAAGAAGCATTTGAGAACGCTTACAAACTCTCAGATGATAAAGAAGCTAGGCTAAAACAAGAAAGCAAAATGTTTCAAGATGTAGGTAACAAATAATAGGAGCTTGGTGTGACTCTGTGCTCTGTTGCTGTGATGATTCTTTCCAGGTTTACCTTGGCCTTAGGTGCCTTGGCTGTAGCTGCAGATGCGCCCTCTGGATGAGGCTGCTGGGGCTCAGTTTGCAGCTAGAGTCCGAACCTCCGAAGGCTGACCTTGGTCTGTCCTTTTTTGTCTCTAGCAGTTTACTTTTTGAGCTATCAAGGGATCTATCTGTGTGTCTGACACAGTAAAATGCTATGAACCAGGTTTAGAGCAGGTTTGATTCAGTCATTCACTTTGATTTAATTTCACTTAAAATTTGGATGAATAAGGGACTGGGGATTTAGCTCAGTGGCGTAAGCGTCTGCCTTGCAAGCAGGCAGTCGTGAGTTTGATCCCTGGTACCGATAAAAAGGAAAAAGACAAAAAAAAAAACACCAAAAAACAAAACAAAAAAAAAATTTGGATGAATATGACATTAATGTTGAATTATAGGGTACAAGTTATATATTTTTTCCTAAGTTAGTCTTTTGATACTGTTTATGATAGGACATAAATAATACCAAATTATACAGTCTTGGCATTGTTTTGGTTTTTGAGATAAGGTCTTGCTATATATGTAGTTCAGGCTGGCCTTGAATTCACTGTGTAGTCCAGGTTGGCCTCAAATTCAAGGTGATCCTACTGCTTCAGCCTCCCAAGTGTGGGAATATGGATGTGCAGCACCTGACTAGTCTTGACATTTTCTACCGGGCAGTTTTAGATGTATTTCCTATCCTTTTAGTTTTTAATGTTTATTTTCATAAATATAATTCATGTAAATGGTTATTCAAACCTTAAAAGCAGGGCTATGTCAGGGGCGTGAGACAGCTCGTGTTCTTTTGTTGCTGTGGTTAGTTCCAGTCTTTGTCCTCTGACTCCCTTGCAGTGTGTCCTGTTTCATCTACTCCCTGAAGATGTTGAAGGCCTCGCCTCTGCTCTCTGTGTGCTGACATTTCCTAATGATGTGTCCCAGTGCTTTCTGTACTATTTTGCTGGCCACCTGAGGGATATTTCACTCTGAAGACTTTTTTTCCTTGTCATTTTTGTTTTTAGATATTAGGGATTGAACCCAGGGCTTTTTCACTGAGCTATATCTTTTATCCTTTTTGTTTTTTATTTTGAGACAAGATCTTGCTAAATTGTTCAGAGATTGGCTTTGAACTTGGAATTCTCCTGCCTCTGCCTCCCAGAGTTCTGGGATTGGAGGCTATCATTAATGTTTTATATGTTCTTAAACTGTGTATATGAATTATGTCATGTTGGACCCATTTTTTTCCTCTCAATCTTGTTTCTGAGATGTGCTATATAGCAACATTTAGCTTTTATCTTGGTTTCATTTAAGTGTACTTGAAATCAGATGATGGCGGATGAAAATTTTATGTCCCCCACATGTCATTTGGCTGAGCGTAGAGCGCTGGCTGGTACGTGTTTCCTTTAGATTCATGATGACTTCTTTCCAGTTTTCTATCAGATGATTTGAGTCTCTTCCTTCCCTGCCCAGTCCTCACGGCTTTTGTGTTTTTTCCCCCTTCGTTTCCCACCTTAAGTTTCTAGCTTACAGAAATCTTACAAGAATAATACAATGAAAACTATTCTTGGGCTGGGGATGTAGCTCAGAGGTACAAGAACCTGCTTGGCAAACACAAGGCCTGAGTTTGATTCCTGGTACCCCCTTCCCCCCAAAAAAAGGAAAAAAGAAAACTATGCTTAGATTTACCAGTTGAGTGGGGATTTAGCTCAGCCGCATAAGCGCCTGCCTGGTAAGCGCAGGGTGATGAGTTTAATCCCTGGTACAAAAAAAAGGTTTACCAGTTGTGACTATTTTACTAGCTTTTTCTTTTTCTTTTTCTTTTCTTTTCTCATTGCACATATTTTTAACACAGATTTTCACAGAATGTTAAGAACAGTTTTCCTTATACTTTACAGAAGGCCTTGACACGTGGACTTTTTATTAGTACTCATGCCTTAGTCACCAAAGCTAACTCTTAAATACAGTAGTTACATTGCAGTTTGTTTACAATTTTAAAGAGCTAGTGGCAAAAATCAGGGGAGGAACGAGTGTGTGAGTCTGTTTGATAGAGTCTGAGAGCCAGTGGGTGGAATGCAGTGGCATTGCCCCGAGGGAGGTGCGGGTTTGGAGGGGACCGGCTCTACCCCAGCCGTGCCACCACTCTGGGATTTCCGGGGCTGTGCTGCCTCCCTCCATAACAGCCCTTCTGTTACTGTAAAGACAGCCGGTGGCTGCGTTGATGCCTGCACTGCGCTTTCTAGCTTCTGGGTAGTACCTTCTCCTGGACTGGTTGGTTCTGGCAAGGTTGCTTCCATCCAAGTTTAGGTCCAAGCTCCCTGAGCTTCCATTTCCAGGGAGAGCTCCTCCCTGGGGAACTGGACCAGTGCAGACAGGACCAGGGGCTGCAGCAGTGGACATGGCTTCTCTAGCTCCGCCTCATTCCTCTGGGTGGCTCGGGTTCCACATCCCTGGCTTCCTCCCCAGCCCCAGCACCCCCTGGCCTGCGACCCTGCAGCAGCATGAGCAGCACCTCACTCTCTGGCTTTATAGACCCGACACACCCCCCCCCCCCCCGCTTGGATGCTGGGATCCTGCATGCCACTGCCCTGCCGCCTGCTTGCTGGGCTGTCTGAGTACATAGGAGCACTGATTTACTGCATCTCCCTCAATGGCTGGTTCCTGAGAACATGAGCTCAGGGCAGTTTAATCCTCAGAAAGTCTCACCTTGATAAAGTACCAATACCTAACACAGTCTGTATTCATGTTACCTCCGTCGTCTAAATAAGGTTCTTACAGTTATTTTGTTGTTTTGCTTTTTAACCTAGAGTTGAATCAAGGACTACATGCTGCACTTAATGATCATGTTTCTTTCTTTCTACTACTTTTTCTTTTCAATTCTAAGGTTGAACCCAGGGCCTTCCCCTTAAGCTACATCCCCAGTGCCTTTTTACTTTGTGTCTTGAGATAGAGTCTTACTAAATAGAGTCTTGCTAAATTGCCCAGGCTGAAATGGAATTGGATTTTCTTGCCTCAATCTCCGGAGTGCTGGGATTATTGGCCTGTACCACCATGACTACCTTTGAATAAGGATCTTTTCATCTCTCCTTGTGGAAGTTTTCTAGCATTTTTTTATTCTTGGTATTCTGAAATTTTGTGCTTTGATTGGAGGCACAAACACCCTTACCATGTGCATTAATGTCCTGCAGTTCTTTTTTTTTGTTTTGTTTTGTTTTTATTGAGACGGGGTCTCGCTATGCAGTACAGGCTGGCCTTAAGCTCACTTTGTAGCCCAGGCTGTCTCAAACGGTCTGCGATCCTCCCACCTCAGCCTCCGGAGTACTGGGATACAGGCGCCATGCCTGGCTCAATGTCCTGCAGTTCTACAATATCTGTTTTTTTGTTTTTGTTTTTTTTTTTTGTCTTTTCCGTTTTTATCGGTACCAGGGATCGAACTCACGACTGCCTGCTTGCAAGGCAGGCGCTTATGCCGCTGAGCTAAATCCCCAGCCCCCAGTTCTACAATATCTGTTAATGTTACTTGTTTTTTTTTCTTGTCTTTTTGACAGAAAAAAGTACAGTTGGGCTGGGGATTTAACTCAGCGCATAAGTGCCTGCCTTGCAAGCAGGCAGTGGTGAGTTCGATCCCTGGTACTGATAAAAAGGAAAAAGGCAAAAAAAAAAAAAAAAAAGTACAGTTGAGGCTGGCCTTGAGCTCACTTTGTAGCCCAGGCTGGTCTTGAACTGGCAATTATCCTCCTGCCTCAGCCAAGTGCTGGGATTACAGGCGTGAGCCACCATGTCCAGCTTAATATTACCTCTTTTTTAAACTTCCTGTCTCTATTTTCTCTGTACTCTTTTTGGAACTTTTTGCCAACAGATATTGTATTATGTGGGTTGATTTGCCAAGACTTTCAGTTTTCATTTTGGCCTGTTTGTTCTGTTTGTTTTTTGATACAGAGTCTCACTGTGCATTTCAGGCTGGTCTTGAACTGGCTTTGTAGTCCAGATTAGCCTAGAACTCACTGCAATCCTCCTGCCTCAGCTTTCTCAATGGTGAAATTACAGATGTGCGCCCCTGCACCTGGCAGCCTGCTTGTTCTTTATCTTCTGGTCTAAATGTTAAATTTATTTCTTCTTTCATGTTAGTCATTTTTAGTTTCTAAGATCTCTTTTTTCTGATTTCTTGCTTTTCACGTTCTTAGTTTATGAATTTGAGGTATTAATCATGGTTTCCTTCAGTGATTTATCTAGTATTATTTTGTCTTTTTGAGACAGGCTGTTACTCAGGGTGGTTTGAATTCATGATCCTCCTGCTTGAGCTTCCCAGAGTTCTGGGGTGACAGTTGTACACCACTATGTCTGGCTCTATTTGCTTTTCTTTTTCTTTTTTCTTATGATATCAGGAATTGAACTTAGGGCCTTGAGCTTGCCAGGCAAATGCCACACTGCTGAGCTACATCCCTGGCCCTGTGTTTGCTTTTCTTTCTTTCTTTTTTTTTTTAAATTTTATTTAAAAGGAAAAAGAGAAAAAACAGAACAAAACAAAACAGTGTAAGAGTGCAAGTAATACAGAACTACAAAAAAAAAAAAAAAAAACCAGTAAGAAATCACCAATTAATAGATTATACATTATCATCTTAGAGATAGTTGTTGAAGTCACAAGATCAAAGCATACAAAGTGGACATTTAAACAGTGAAACTGCAAACAGTTGTGTTCAATGATCCATTCAAAAACATTAATATGGTCATCTATTTAACACACCTAAACACACTTGCTATTGTATCCTTTGGAGCACTTTTTTTTTTTTCCTCTATTACAACAAAATTTACACATCTTGGGTTTTATTACTTCCATAGTTCTTATTACTTTTTTTTTTGGCAGAGAATAAAATCAAATATGACAAAATAAAGCTGTCAATCAAAACCAAGGATAGACATAGCACATGATGTAAAAACAGAGTACAAGGTTATCAACAATGGTTACCATAATGCCTCTTGCTTCCTTAAGAAGAATTGTCTATCTCATTAGGTATTATAAAGTTGAACAAAAAGTAGAGAACAAGACCAATAAAACCTAAACATTGTAAACATTACAGGACTTCAAAAGAGGATAATAGTAAAACCAGAATGGGCATCATAGTGAATCTTATTGCCTTCAAAGTAGTTGCCTATACCCTCAAACTTGATATTATCATACAGAACAGAACAGAGTGTAAATCAGTCAAAACAAGATAGTGGGAGTATTACAGGACTTCAAATCAAGTTAATAGGAAATCAAAAACGTTACTATAATATATCCTGCTAATTTTTTTGATTTTTTCCCCTTAATTAAAAAAAATAATAAAAAAATAATTAAATAATTTTATTTAATGCATAAGGGAGAGATTGAGATAAGAGGACATAACAACATAACAATACAGGTTAAAGCATGATAGTTTCAGCAACCTAGTGCTTCACCACCAAATAACACGACTTAATAGTAGTTACCATAGTGTCTTTTTCCTTGAAATATTTGAATATAACTTCGTATACTAGATCATCAAACATATCAAGATAGTGTAAAACCATTCAAGTGGATGAAAGCATTGTAGGGTATTTAGAACCAGCTAACAGAAAACGAACAGTAGTTTCTATATTATCTCTTTGCCTATAACAGTTTTTGTTTATACTATCACATATAATAAAATCCAGCAAGATACACTCTGTTTGCTTTTCTAAATGATCTTTTATTGAAATATCTGTTATGGGTATTACTTTTGTTTTCTCTTTGACTTTCTCATAGCTAATGAAGGATCATAGTAGGATCTTCAGATAAAGAGGAGAAAATCATGATAAATCTGCCTTTTAACTAGACATTTCAACATACGTATTTTTTAGGTAAATTCCTTAACTATATTATAACTAATTGTTTATATTGCATTATTATGCATTATATTATGTGATGTAGTAGATATTATATAGTATATTGCAGCTAACGTAGCAAAACAGTATGTAGCAGTTCGGGTTAGGTGTGGTGTATACACCTGTAATTGCCAGCACTCTGGAGGCTGAATTAGGAGGGTCACTAGATTCGGTAGTGAGTTCAAGGTCAGCCTGAGGTACATTAGCGAGATCCTCTCAAAAAACCAAAACAGAACAAAACAAAAAATCCCCAACAAAACAATATATAATAATTCAAAAAAGGACAGTGGAAATAAATTTTAGTCAGATAAACTACTTCAAGGGAATTGAATGATACTACTTTTTACTTTTGAAGTAATTTTAATGCCTGGCATGGTGGCACATGTCTGTAATCCCAGTACTTGGGAGGCTGAGGCAAGAAGATTTCTGTGAGCTCTGAGGCCAGCCTGGGCTACCTAGTGAGTTTAAGGCCAGGCTGGACTACACAGTAAGACCCTGTCTCACCAACAAAACAAAACAAAAAAGTTGCAAGAATAGTGTTAGGAATCATCATACTGTGTTAGCATCAGTTGTGCTGTTAGCCTTTCTTTCTCATGACACTGGCAGTTTCGAGGGTGTGGGCTGTTAGTTTTGAGGCTCACCTTGTCTGTCATAATGTTTAATTCTGTGGTGCAATGTTTTTCTTTGTAGCTCTTGGGAGAGTATGAGTCTCTGGGGAAAGAGCACGGACAAGTGAAGGTAACAGCCGTGGTTCCTGCCTGGGTTTTACGTGGGGACAGAAGCACAGGCCTGGGGTGAAGAGAGCGGACCCTCTCTCCTCCCGGCTCCTCCTCCTCCACCCCTCACTCTTTTAAACTGGACTGCTGGTTCCTCGTCATCTTGATTCCTTCTTTTCAAATCTCTGCCCTATTTACCTCATAAGTGAGATTAGCTCATTCATTGAGTAAGCAATACTGAATGATTATTGCATTTAAGATGGATTAAGATTAAATTGTTTAAAAGTGTAAGAACTTATACAGATGCAACTAATTATTTAGTACTGCTTAAAAATAAGCTCTTAGTTTCAAAGCCTTGGGCTTTTTGGGGACCATATAAGCTTATTAAGTTTGATTTCTTAATAAGTGGTCTGCTTGGAGACTGCGGGTCTGAACTGATGGAAGCCTGTGAAGACGCTGCTGTAGGAGCTCCTTGCACGTCTTTCAGCCGGCACGTGGGCTCCGTGGCCGGCCGTGGGAGCCGGCGGAAGGCTGCCCAGCTGGACTGCCAGAGGCTCTGGGGTTCAGGAGCAGAGCACACTGGTCTCAGAGCTATTTCTTCTGTCCTTCTGCTGAGCTGTTAATCAGATTTGTGCTAAAAATCTAACCAGATTGTTCTGACAAGCAAAGCAGAACAGGCCTCAACATCTCACGACCTGCAGCAGGGGGCTCCTACAGCAGGGCCCTGTCGTTCCACCCTGCGTCTTTCCTCTTGCTATCTCTCCTAGTCCTGGGCTGTCCGGTACTTGCTGAGTATCTGTTTAATTTGGAACAACTGGTTTGGCCTTAGGTTAGTGTTGTGTTATGCCTTCCTTTTTTTGAGATAGGGTCTCACTGTGTAGTTCAGGCTGCCTTGAACTCATGGTGACCCCCTTGCCTCAGCCTCCTGATTGCTGGGATTACAGGCATGGGCCACCATGTCGGGCTAAGTTACGCATTTGAATTAAGGGGATAGACAGTATGTATCTTGAGTTACCTGAATTTTCTCTTTCTTTTCATAGGATGCACTAAACATAACCGAAAACAAACTGCTTGATGCCCATACTCAGATTTCTGACTTGAAAAGGTAAAATTGTCTCACTAATAAGGAAATACTGCTTTTTAAAAAAAGTGTGTGTATTGAAGGTGATAAAAAGAAGTTTTGCTTTAGAATTTAAAGCAGTGTGACATCTAATTTTATCCTAATCTTCCCCTGGCATGGATATACATTTGATTTGCGCCAAAGGAGGTTTTTTATTAAAGTTGTATGGTGCTGGAGGTAAACCCAGGGGCCTGTGCATTCCAGGCAAGCAGTCTGTTACTTCCTCCCCCTCACACCTCAGGCCCTGAACTGGTAAGTGAGTAGACTGCCTTGGAGGTGCATATTTCCCAGCAGAGATACTTGCTCAGCATAGATAAAATCTGAACAATATGTCATCACTGTAAAGAATTTTAAGAAGTAGCCTACACCAGGCGTGGTGGCTCACGCTGTAATTCCAGCACTGTGAGTTCTAGGCCAGCCTGGCCTAAACAGTAAGGAACTATCAAAAACAAAACAAGAAGTAACCTTTTTCAGTCAGTTGTTTTCATGCTTCAAAAAGAAGACAGAGCGGCATAGGTATGATTGGCTGGTAGGGCACAAGCTTAGTGCGTGCCAGGCCCTGGGTCCCCCCGCACTGGGCTAAGGAGGAGGTGGGGGGCACAGTGTTCTTCATACCAGAGTTTGCTACAGATTTGGCTTGGAATCTGTATAGTTATCCTGATTTGTTTAATTTGGCAGGAACAAAGTCATAAATATTCTGTTGCAAATGATCAGAAACACCTACATTGAGAGTGTGTTCTTCTTGTATTTTTATTTGGATATGAGTAATCCCCTGACTTAGAATTTTATTGTAGTTAGAAGAAGAGAGGCGCTGTCTGGCTTTCTCACCTGCTTTTCCTGCAGTTCATTCATTCTAGCAATAGCCTTCTCTACCAGGGTGCCTGTGTAGGTAGCGTTCAAGTACAGACAGGAAGATGCAGATGCACGGGTCACAAGAACAGAGGGAGGCAGGGGGTCCTGGTAGCAGTGAATTGGTCAAGGTCCTTATCCTTTACCTGAGATTCGAAATAGGCTTTCATCCCGACATGGCACAAGTGAGGCAAGCGCCGAAAGGTGCAGGCGCCTGGGTGTGTTAGCCACTGCTTCTTTTCAGAGGAAGAGAGTTCTTTTTAACAGCTTCATTTTGGAAGTTAAACTTTTTTCTGTTTTGTGAAATTGTTATTTATGCTTTGCATGCATGAATACCAGGTACGTCACATTTAAACAGGTCAGAATACAGTTTATTTGGTATTTTACTAAGTTTGTACTCAGTATTTTTTTTAGCATGTTTTTGATTTGTTGTCAAAGTTACATAACTTTTTTACTTGGCTATATTAATGCTATTTATTTATTTATTTATTTATTTTATTTTATTTTCGGTACTGGGGTTCGAATTTACAACCTTGAGTTTGCTAGGCAGGATCTTGTGCCACTGAGCTGAATCTCCATTCATTATTTCATTTTCTAAACACACTGTGTAGAACCTAAGGTATTTGTTTTCCTGTTTATTTTCCCTGATTTTGCTTAGCTATTAAAAGTTTGGAAGTGATAATTTACTATGAAAAAGATTTTATAGATGGGCTGGGGATTTAGCCCAGCGGCATAAGCACCTGCCTTGCAAGTAGGCGGTCTTGAGTTTGATCCCCGGTACCGATTTAAAAAAAAAAAAAAGAAAGAAAGTAAAAAAGATTTTATAGAGAGGCAACTTGTACTGTACCTTTTCTAGGAGATACTGTTGTTTCATGCTGGGGCTAGGGGCACATGCCTGTAATCCCAGCATTTGGGAGGCTGAGACAGGAAGATTGCCGAGAGTTTGAGGCTAGCCTGGGCTAAATAGTGAGTTCAGGTTCAGCCTGAACTGAAACTGTGTCTCAAAAAATCCCAAAGAATAAAAATAATTAAATAAATGATTTTAGTTGCACTGTATTTAAAATTTGTTGAAGTGTATTAATTTATCATATTGCTTTTGAATTAGAACAATTTCAAAACTTGAAGCTCAAGTGAAGCAAGTGGAACATGAAAATATGTTAAGTCTGCGTCATAATTCTAGCACTCACGTGAGACCCTCGTGTGCCAAGTAAGTTTCACTTACTCTCTTAACACTAGAAGAGGGGCTGGGGATTTAGCTCAGCAGCATAAGTACCTGCCTTGCAAGCAGGCGGTCGTGAGTTCGATCCCCGGTACCGATAAAAAGAAAAAGAAAAAAAAAAAAAACACTAGAAGATAGGTGTGTGCTTGTATTAGCATTATTTTTCTTTTATTTTTTATACAGGAGCTCACTGTGTAGTCTAAGCTGGTCTTGCCCTCACTATGTGACACAGGCTGGCCTTGAACTCTTAGCAGTTCTCTTGCCTCAGTCATGCCTGGCTGGTACATGCTTCCATTACAAAGAGAAGCTTTTCTGTTTAAACCATTAGGAATTCAAGGTTAAGGGGCTGGGGATTTAGCTCAGCGGCATAAGCACCTGCCTCGAAAGCAAGCAGTTGTGAGTTCGATCTCTGATACCGATAAAAACGAAAAAGAAAAAAAAAAAAAAAAAGGAATTCAAGGTTAAGTGTCCTTACAGAACTTAGATGTGTATAAAAAGTACTACTGTGCCTGGGGAGGTAGTACATTGCTGTAATTCTAGCTACTTGGGAGGCTGAGGCAGGAGGATTACAAATTTGGGGCCAGTCTACATAATTTACTGAGACCCTGAGTCAGAATAAAAAACAAAAGGGCTGCAGCTCAGTGGTAGAGCGCTTTGCTAGCACACATTAAGCCCTAAGTTCAGTCCTTGTACTGACAAAAAAATTGCCAGTGAAGCCACAGAGGGATTTGATAAATGAAGAGGGCAGAGTCGGGTTGTGAATAAGGAAATTTTGTTTTGGTGCTGGGGATCAAACTCAGGACCCCGCATTTGCCAAGCAGGCACTTAAACTGCTGAGCTAAACCCCCGGCCCTGTGAATAAGGAAATTTTGACTCTGCCTGGCTGTGGGACATTAGACAAGCTCATTTACTGTTTTTTTAGGAGCTCAGATTTATTATCTCTAAAAACAAGGAGGATGGGCCAGAATATCTCAAAAGGTCTTTTAGTACTGAAATTCTAGACATTCTCTTCCTGCGTTAAGGGGAAGACCTTTGACGATAGACCTGTGTTTTAGCTTTGCTGTGGTCTGAGTTTGTTGTTGTTTTGTTTGTGTTGTGTCCATGTGTGCGTGTGTGTGCGTGTGCACACGTGTGTGTGCACACGTATATGTATGTGTGTGGGCTGCTAGGGTGACCCCAGGGCCGGTGCGTAATAAGCAGGAGCTCTTTCCCTTCACTGCTGCACTATATCCCTGGCCCTCAGCATTATTTGGGTCCATCTACAGAGTGGTTTTTGTTTTAGAACTGCTTACTACCCATCATTTTGTTATAAAGGATATCAGTAAGTATATCATAACTTCATAATGTTCACATTTATTACAAAACACTTAGTGTCTTGTGTTCTGTGATTTTTTTTTTTTTGAGACAGGTTTTGCTATGCAGTTTAGGCGGTCCTTGACCTCAAGGCAATCCTCCTGCCTCAGCCGCCTGACTCTTGAGTGCTGAGATTACAGGCGTGTGCCACTATGCCTGGATAGAAAGCAATTATTTTTAATTTATCATTTCTTACCAAAGTTGTAATTATCAAGAGAGATACTTTATCTAGCTCTTCATTAATTAATCTTGGTAGAGCATAGTGAATTCTTTTATTAAAACAAAAAATTCGGTGAGTAACTGATATTGACTTTTCAGGAACTGGGTGTGGTGGTGCACACCTGTGATCTCAGCACTTGGGAGGCTGAGGCAGTAGGGTGACTGCGAGTTCCAGACTAGCCTGGGCTATGTGGCAAGTTCAAGGCCAGTGTGAGATACATAGTGAGACCTTGTCTCAAAAAAAAAAAAAAAAAGATTATTTGAGAGATAATAGAGAGTGCCAAAGTTGGGGGCCAGAGAAGGCTTTTTCTGGGGGTGACAGGTAAACAGAAGAGTGAAGTGTGGCACACTGGAGCAGACGCTGTGGAGGGCTGAGGGACAGGCATGGTCTGCATAGAAGCCAGCATGTTGGGAGGACCTGAGGGAGGCCTCTGTGGCCTGGACATTGCCCCAAGAGGTGAAGTGACCCTGGTGAAATTGTAGCTTGATCATACATGACTTTCTAGGTCCCAGTCAGGAACTTGGACTTTTTGAGTCTGTTAAGGATCCTTTGGAGGTCTTCTTATAGTAAAACAATATGACTTAGGATGTGCATTTTCTTTGTTTCTTTTCCTTTTTTTTTTTTTTTTTTTTTTTTGTCCTTTGAGACAAGGTCTTCCTGTGTAGTTCAGGTTGGTCTTGAGCTCACTTTGTAGCCCAGGCTGGTCTCAAAGTTGGGACGATCCTCCTGCTTCAGCCTCCAAAGTACTAGGATTACAGGCATGTGCCACCCACCCGCTGCACTTTCAATGTTTCTACAGTGAGGAAAGGATGGAAAGAGCACAGCAGAAGGAAGAAGACTAGTGAGGCCCTTGCAGTGCTGGGAGGGTATTAACCAGGGTAACTGTGGGGCAGTCCTGTGGCAGATTCTGGAGGGAGAGTCCCCAGAGCGTGGCTGGCCAGGTGAGAAGGGAGGGTGGAATTGCTCTTGCTTTCTGTCTTGGACTTCTACAGGTGATATTCTAAAGGGAAGAGATCAGAATTTCCAATGTGATTTTTTTTTTTTTTTTCTTTTTGAGACGGGGTCTCCTATGCAGTTCAGGCTGGCCTTGGGCTCACTTTGTAGCCCAGGCTGGTCTTGAACTCGCAATGATCCTCCTGCCTCAGCCTCCCGAGTGCTGGGATTGTAGAAGTGTGCCACCACACCTGGCATTGAGAATATTTTTAAGATTCTTATGAATTCTAAATGGAAATCAAATGAGCAATTAGAAACTTAAGTTTGGGGCTCAGAAATAACGTCTTAGGCCACAGTTACAGATTTTAGAACCCTCTCACAACTGTGGTAGAAACTGAGGGTATGTGGTGAGAGTGAGCTCACCCACCACTGGCTGCCCCTTTGTGCCCAGCCTTTTAAAAAATGTGTTTTATTTGAGGCAGGGTTTCTAAGTTGTTAAATTGTTTAGCTGGGCTTGAACTTGGGATCTTTCTGCCTCAGCCTCTCAGAATGCTGGGATTGCAGGCCTGTGCTACCATGTCCAGCTAAGGAGAGCCCTGTTTTGAAGTTTAGTAGAGGAGTTGGTAAAGGAGCCTGTTGTTAGAAAAGTTGTTAGAAAACTGGACAGAGAACACAGGTTCGCAGTCGTGGGTGCTGTGTGCTGCCCAGAGGTGGAGGGCTGAGGACTAACAGCGGGCTCTGCAGGCTGATGGCTCGCAGCAGCTGGGGAGGGGGCTTGGGGGGCAAGGGGTGTGGTGCTGAAAGATGGGGTGTCCCTGTGTGTGATGTGTGTACCACATGCTATCAGGAAGTACAGCTGGGGTTGGCAAATCCAGCCTACACAGCCTGTTGTAAGCTCTGTGAGTTTCAACAATTTGAAGTGCTTAAAAAAAGAATAGCATTTTACAACAGGGAGATGGCAACAGATTCAAAACGTCAGAGTTTATAAGTAAAATTTACTGAAACACTAACAATCTTATTCATTCATGTGTTGTCTGTGGCAGCTTTTAAATCACAGCAGCCAAGCTGAGAAGTTGAGACAGACACTTTCAAACCCATGAAACTTAAAAATATTTTCTGTCTGGTCCTTTATGGAAAAAATTTCCAGTTCTGGACCTAGCCTATCAACATGGATTCATCTCGACAGCAAGCTGTGGGCAAGCTGTAAGGGTGCTCAAACCATCGTCCCAGCAGCACTCTGGGAGGCTGAGGCAGGAGGACCATGAGTTCGAGTCCAGCCTGCACAACTCGGTGACTGAGACACTGCCTTAAAAAAAAAAGGCGGGAAGAACTGCTTCCCCAAAATCCAAATTGATTCACAGGAGAAACCCAATCATAGAAGGAAGAGAGGAGGTTGTCAGATGGTCACCCTGCTAGGAGGGCATCCACTGCAGAGGTCGATAATGATCTGCACAGCTGGGTGGCTTTTTCCCCAGCCAGGTTCCACTGGGCGAGTGGAGACAGGAAGTGAAGTCACCGTGGCCCGGCAGGCTCAGGTGGGGGGAAGGGAGTCCTGAGTGTGAGCTCAGAGCAAAGAGAGGAAGACTGTGGAGCTGGTGACTGGGAAGGGACTGGCTGGGGCTCCTGTGCTGCTGGAGCTACACGCAGAATTGGGGCCTGGAGTGTGGGTGTCTGGAGGGTGCGTCTTTTGTGGTGATGACAGGCCCAGCGGTATCCTCAGAGGGCACAGGGGAGCAGTGGAGGCTTAGGGTGCTGGGCAGAAATCAGGCACGGCTCCTAATGGCATTAGGCGTGGGGGAGACGAGATGAGCAGAACTCGGAATCTAGCGCAGGGCCCATTGTTCATGGGGACTTGGGACCCTTGGGCCAGCAGGGTTTACCTGAATACGTGGGGGACCCAGTAGACTAGAACCATGCTGCTCATGGCCATTCATGACCCTGCAAGGGTCTCTCTGACTCTCTGAGACACTGTGGCTCTCAGTGTCCCTGGCCACTGTTGAGGTCTCCAGTAGCAGCACATGACCTGCACTGCGCTGGCCGGTGCAGATAGAGCGCATTTCTGGGTTTGCAGAAAGTTCTATGAATGGTGCTGGCTGAAGGAACAGGGTCTGTAGGAAAAAGCCTGGAGGGCGCTGGGGGACAGCTGCTGGCTGGGAAGAGCTGTGAATACCAGCTCTGGTTTCTTTGTTTCTGTTACTGTTTTTTTGGAAGTAAGGTCTCACTATGTAGCTCAGGCTGGCCTTGAACTTGCAGCAGTCCTCCTGCCTCAGCCTCACAAGTGCTGGGATTACAATCCTGTGCTACCACATCTGGCAAGCGCTAGAAACTTGACAGCAATTTGGAAATATTCAGAAGCAATAGAAACCAATAAATGGCTCAGTTCAGTCTTAAAACTGTAAAGTAGAATTCATGTATCCAACATGTAGATTACTGCCTCTGATTTTTGAGTCACCATGTGAATATGTAAATACTACCTGAAAGTAGGTCCAAATTTGAGCACAAGACTGGAATGATTTTTCATTCCAACAGCCCGCTAGCAACCTCGGACGTCAGCAGGCGGAAGTGGCTGATCCCGGGCGCACAGTACTCCATCTTCACCGGCCAGCCGCTGGCCACCAGCGATGGGAAGGTGGAGGAGCCTCGGAAGGGGACTCCAGGTCCTGGGTAAGATGGCCACTGAGGGGCCTGGCTCGAGCGCTCTGCTTTCTTAGTGGTTCGGGTGCCTTGAGTGTTCAGAAAGATAGGGAAAACTCACTCTTTTCTGTTTCATTTTGTGTTTTGCAGTGCTGAGGATAAAACCATGGTCTTGAGTGTGCTAGGCGGGCTCCCTACCGCAGAGCCACGCCCCATCCCAGAGCTGTCTCTTTGGTTCTTTTTTTTTTTTTTTTTTGGTACTGGGGATCGAACTAACAACTTTGTGCTTGCCAGGCAGGTGCTTATGCCACTGAGCTAAATCTCTGGCTCCTCTTTGGTTCTTTAATGTCTTTATTTTGAGAGAGTTTTAAAATTTTGTTTTGTTTTGCTTTATGGTGCCAGAATCAAACGTGGGGCCTTTGCACTGAGGTATGTCCTCAACTTTTTTAAAAATGTATTTTCTTTTGAAATGGGGTCTTGCTAAGTTGCCTTGACTGGATTTGAACTGTTGATCCTGTTGCTTCAGCCTCCTAGAGTGCTGGGATTACAGGCATTTGTTGCTGTGCCCAGTCCAGGATGTTCTAGTTTAGTTTGAGACACAGGTTTTGGATCTTATACTTAGGTGGGCTCTCAGAGCATCCTCACCCATCCTCAGGCACACAGTGTGGCTCACGGGGCGACACCATGATCGTGTCCCAAGGATACTTGAGGCCCCATGATGAGCTCAGCCCTCTGCTCCAGGGTGCCATACAAATACAGTATTTCTGGCTGGGTGGGATGGCACATGCCTGTAATCCTAGCACTTGAGAGGCTGAAACAGGAGGATCACCAGGAGTTTGAGCCAGCCTGAACTATGTAGCAAGACCTTGTCTCAAAAAACCAAAATGAACAAACAAAAGACAAAAAACCAACAAATTGAAATGCGCTAGGATGTTAAAAGGACTGGGAAGCACTGGTTTCCTATCTATGAGTTCAGCTTTAATTATTTGCATTTCAAGCACGCATAGTCATTGTGGAGTATTAATTGTCAACGCTCCTGTTCGTTCCCTAACAATCCCTGTAAACTGTGCCTTTGCTGGTGTGCTGTGGCAAACCCAGGGGCTGGGCGGCTCGGACAGCACTTTACTTGAAGGGCAAGGCCAGATCACTGTGGCAGCACTGCGGGTCTTACCACGGACTCTCTCCCCAGGTGTCTCCATGTGTCTTCCATGTGGCAGAGCGTGCTGATGGTTTTTATTCTGTTTTTCTTTCTTTTTTTTTTTTTTTTTGCTGTACTGGGCATGAAACTCAAGGGCACTTTATCACTGAGCTATGTCCCAGCTACACTTTTTTTTATTTCATTTTTTAAATTTTGAAACAAGATCTTGCCAAGCGGCCAAGGCCAGCCTTGGATTTGTATTCTTCCTACCTCAGCCTTCCAGGTAGCTGAGATGACAGGTGTCTGTCACTGAGCCTGGCTTTCTTTTCTTTCTTTCTTTTTTTTTTTCTTTTTCTTTTTTTTTTTTTTTTTTTTTGTCTTTTTCCTTTTTATCGGTACCAGGGATTGAACTCACGACTGCCTGCTTGCAAGGCAGGTGCTTATGCTGCTGAGCTAAATCCCCAGCCCTAAGCTAAATCCCCAGCCCCTTTCTTTTCTTATAAAGACATTAACTCTGTGATGGGGACTTCACTCTAATGACCCTGTTCTTCCCTGCTGGCTCCCTATGCCCCACCTTGGAATTCCCTGGCCTGAGATTAGGGCTTTTGTTTCTCCTTGGCAGGCAGAACCTGTGCAGGGAGCATCACTGACAATGCCAATTGTTATTTAAGGTGCCATTCTCCTCTGGAGAAGGATTTTTCCCCTGGAAGTTCACTGACAAGCTTAATAATAAATAAACAAACAGAGACTCCAGACACCCCGATCATGAAAGCTTTAAAAGAACTTGATGAAGAAAGAATATTTAAAAATTGGGGGACACAGACAGAGGAAGCGAATACCTCAAGTAGTAAGTGTTCCCTTTATCCTTTCCTTTGTATAGATAGAGGAATGTTCTTTCCTCCCCATTTCTATTTCCTCTTGAAAATTCAATTTCTCAGGTAGTGCGGTGCAGTTTAATTTGTGATACTGCTGCTCCAGCCCATTTCATAGATAACTGAATCCCCTGCTTAATAACTTATCACAGTCCTGGTGCAGTGTGTACCTTTTATACAAAACAAACTGCATATTACATCGATTATTAAAAAGCCTTCTGTGGCATTCTTAAGGATATTTGAAAAGTGCTTACCTCTGTTTGTCCTTCTCGTGACAGACCTCTGCTGCTGGTAAAGTGAGGTGTTAACATTTCCTGTGCTGCTGCCCTTTCAGGTTCTCGAGCGTCTGTAGAGAGAGTTAGAGGCATTACGAGCTTCACGGGCCCGCTTCCCATCTGCTCCTTGCCTCTTTTTTGCTCTCTGCCCTGCCTGTGTGCTGAGGCTGTCAGGCCTGTCCTCGCATCTCTGGGGCTACAGCTACATGACAGAGTCTCTTAGTAAATAGATTAGTAACCTGCTCCCTAAAATAACTGACAAATCGCCTTCCATGCTTCGAATGTAAACAGGAAGCCAGTGTGAATTCATTATAAACACCCAGGGTTACCTCTTTTTCTTCATCAAGCATGTTTATCTTCATAATGTGCATTTGCAAGTGATAATGACAATCTGAATGGCAAGAAGAAATGCTTTGAGCCAGGTGTGGTGGTACATGCTCTGCAACCCCAGCACTCTGGGAAGCTGAAGCAGGAGGATCATGAGTCCACACCCAGTTTTGACAATTTAGCAAGAACTTATCAAAAGAAAAAAAGGCTGGACTCGAGGCTCAGTATGAAGGCCCCAGGCTCAACACCCAGTGCCACCAAAAGAAAATAGAAGGGCTTTGAGCAGAACCTTGAGTGGTGTGACATCTAATAAAGGTAGGCGACTGAAGTCACGTTTGTGTTTATTTTTGTTTTGTTTTGTTTGTATTTGCCTGTTACAGAATTAGTGAATCCTCGGCAGACTGAATCTTCAGTCAACCCGAGTCGTACCCCAGAGAAGTGGGCCCAGCAGAGACAGAAGAGGCAGAATTCTGCTGCCCAGAGATCGTCGTCTTTGCCACCTTCGAATCGCAAGTCCTGTGTTCCAAGTAAGAGCCGGCTGCCTGGGCATCTGCAGAGCGGGGTGCAGCGGTGCCCAGTGCACTCTCCTTTTCTCCCAGCCTTGGGGACGCACCCTTGAGCCAGGCCCTTGAACACACTCAGTTTCCTTGTTCACTCAGGAAAACTGTCTGATTGCACCACTGCTGCAGACAGAAGAAATCTCCGCTAATTAAAGTTAGAAGTTTTTATGTGTCTGGTAAATTGTGTGCAGGTAAAACCACCTCCACGTTTTTGAGACAGCAGCCAGCTACTGATGACACATTAATTCACACAGCTGGCACTGGTCTGAGAAGAGAGGAAAGACACTTCTGCCCACGTCCCCCCAGTCCTCAGCCTCGGTCGCCTTTTCACTCAGCCGAGTGTGGGTTTGCTTTAAAGCTCAAGCTTCCAGTTTCTGTGTCTTCACTGTCCTCTTTCCCTGCAGGCTCGGAGATGCCTTTTTAAAAATTAATGTATTGGGGTTGGGGATTTAGCTCAGTGGCATAAGCGCCTGCCTTGCAAGCAGACAGTCTTGAGTTCGATCCCTGGTACTGATAAAAACGAAAAAGACAAAAAAAAAAAAAAAATTTAATGTATTTTCTGAGAGAGGGTTTCACTGTGTAGCCCAGCCTGGCCTCAAACTCCTGGTGATCCTGCCCTCAGCCTCCCACATGCTGGGATTACAGGCACGCACCGCTGCACTTGGCATTTTCATTTATTTTACCTTCTCGGAGTGTCTGTCTCTGCTGTGGTGCCCGAGTGTTCATGAGTGCGCACTGGTGCTTCCGTCTTACTTCCACTCCTGAAATCCTGAAAAATGTGTTTTCCGTCAGTGTTGAAACTAGTCCAGTACACTGCACCACCAGCAGGGTTACCTCTGGTTTTACAGTGAAATTATGTTACTTTTAAAATGAGGGGAACCCGGGGTGGTGGCCCACACGTTTCATCCCAGCACTGGGGAGGCTGAGGCAGGAGGGTCACTGCAAGTTTGAGGCCAGCCTAGGCTACAAATGAATTCAAAGCTAGCCTGAACTGCATAGTGAAACCCTGTTTGAGAAAACATAAAGTAATTTAAAAGGGTAAAATGAGAAGGAAAGTTTTCTACTGTAAAACTTCTGCTAGCACAATATACGATGTATAAAGGAAAAGAATATTTGCTCTTTGTTTTCTTCTATAGCAAAAAGAGAGATTATGTTAACACCTGTGACCATGGCTTACAGTCCAAAGCGATCCCCGAAAGAAAATTTGTCTCCAGGATTTAGTCATCTACTTAGCAAAAATGAAAGCAGTCCAATTCGGTAAGTTCTCTAAAATTGCAGACTATGATACCTGTTACTGATTTTTAAATTAGCCCGTGGTCCTACTGCATAATGATTGTATTCTTTATGGGGGACTGGTACCTGCACACAACACATCTGAATTCCATTTTTGTTCCCTTCCTCTCCTGTATAAAAAAATGTTGATTTCTGCCTATAGCTCTCCCTGATTTTTCAGCTTATCAGTGAGAATTCTGAATATAGTTATTTACATGAGTATCATATGAAAACCAAGGCATCGAGGTACATGAGAAGTTTTTAACAGAAACTCGCACTACTGGGTTTAAACACTGCCCCAGTGCCTCCCCTGCTTTTGGATGGAGGGTGACGGCTCTGTGTCTTCCTGTAAAGGCTCAGGGTCTCGGGAGACTGGAGTCACTCAAGCGGACAGTGGGCTGCACACCTGTGGCTGTGGCACTGGGAGGCTTCGCTGGCTCCTGAGAAAACGGTCTGCTGGGACAGGGGCAGTGGCACTGTGGGCTAAGGGCCTTGCTCCTGCTCCTGGACCTGGTCCGTCAGACTCGGGGGAGCTCACACTTCAGTTTCTTCTTGCAAAACTGGCCAGTACCTGCCCCGCATCTTAAAGACCGAATGGCTGTGTGGGCAATTGGGTTTACATCTCTGGCGTGTGATTGCTGTGTCAGTTTCTGTTAGAAAATAGACAGTACATGTCATCTTAGAAAGTCACGTGAGCAGCCTTCTTTTAAGAAATAAGTAAATGTGAGCTGGGTGGACACGAGCTTGTTGCACTAGTGAAGGTCGGGAAAATCAGCGCTTTCTTCTCACAAGTAACTTGCTTCATTCAATAGATTTGATATGCTTTTGGATGATCTAGATACTGTCCCTGTGTCTGCATTGCAACAGCCCAGCCCAAGAAAGCAGCTCCAGTTTCTTCCTCTGGCTGACCCAGAAGGTATTTCTCCCTGAAAGTTCTTAATTTCTTTTTTTGAGACAGTGTCTCATTATGTAGTTCAGGCTGGCCTTGAACTCACTATGCCAAACGCTATTCTCCTGCCTCAGCTTCCTGAGTGCTGCAATTGCAGGTGCTTGCCACCATCCCTGCCTAGTATAGTCATTCATTTTATTGAGATTCTGGTGTCCTTTTAGGGTGCTAGATATTATCTTGGAATGTTCTGTGCTTAAGTCTTTTCCTCCAGGGACCGTTGAAAGTAAGCATTCATACTGCCTCGCCTATGCTGCTGTAGTTAGGCTCACGGGGCACTTGGGAAGCTGAGGTGCAGGCAGGGTTAGTGTCAGGTCACCAGGGCGAGGCTCTTCCGCTTTCCCTTTCCTTTGAAGCTCTGTAATTATAAGCAACTTTGGCTTTGGGTAATTTTTTTTTCCTCATTTATATCTTAAATTTGGAGTAAAGTTGAAGGTAATGTATGTGGAATCACCTGGCTTGGTCCCAAAATGGTAACCGTGTAGTGTTGTGTATTCTACTATATGTAGTGAGTTTGGTCTTTCAAAGTTTTCTTTTCTTTGGTTTATTTGCTTGAAGTTGAATTACATTCACTCAAACTTTGCTTAAGGTCAGTTTGAGAAGTTATGAAAGCTTTTAGAATTCCTTGGAGAAAAAGCACTGAGTAAATATAATCACTTATTACATCTCTGTTACTTTTGGGTGCCATGCAGTAGCCATTTCCAGAAACTGAAGATGGGGAGCATATTTAATATGTACATGTATGTATGTTTGCATGTGGTCCCCTGGAGAGTTGATAAGAAATGTAAGACATTTCTTTCCTTTCTGACAGAAGAAAGTATTTTAGAAAAGGCCATCGACAGCTGTGCTAGTCATGGCTCTGGCCCCGTGCCCTGGCCGAATGGAGGGAAGCCAATTTCTGCGCGAGCAGCCCTGGAGAAGAGTAAATCGGTCAGCCCTGAGCAGGGCAAGCCTGCTTCAGGAACACCACAGGGTCATGATTTTGAATATACAGCAAAAATTAGGACCCTAGCTGAAACAGAGCGATTTTTTGATGAGCTTACCAAAGAAAAAGACCAGGTAAAAGAAACAGAAATTTTCAGATCTTTCTGGACTTCTGCTTGTGCTTAATGAGTAGTCAGAGGGAGCTGTTGAGTCAAACCTGGCCTGTGACGTTCGCTGTCATTGCCAGCAGATGGCAGATGGCAGACGGCAGAGGGAGCTCCGTGACGCCAGGATAGGCAAGAAAACACTGAGCTGAAATCTTTCCTTTTCAACCGCTGTGGTAACCCTCCTTGCTGGCAGTTGGCATTCTTTTGTTTTTATTTAAATTTCTTTGCATGTGTTAACAGATCGAGGCAGCCCTAAGCCGAATGCCGTCTCCTGGAGGAAGAGTCACCCTGCAGATGAGACTGAACCAGGTGACATGTCATAGCTTGAGTCAATGTGAGGGGCTCAGTGCTAGTCAGCACTCCGCTTACCCAGGGGAGCCAGGAAGTCACCCGAACTGCCTGCGGCCTCCGCCTTTGTGGGAGGCTTTGGTGGTTGTAGTTATTTCATAACTAACTGTGTGCCGCCTTTCAGGGCTAAAACTGATTTTACCTTTGGACTTCAAGAAAGTGGAGTTCATCGTAGCTTGGGAGATACGGCAGTATGTTTTTCTTTCCAGTTTCTTCTGCAGTGCTGAGGGATCAAACCAGGGCTTCATTCATATATATATATATATATATATACTAGGCGAGTGCTCCACCATTGAGCAGCAGCCCTAGTCTGCAGTGTACCTTTGAATGCACTGTAGATTGTTATGTTTGTGTTTTGAGACAAGATCTTGCTATGCAGTTCAGGCCGGCCTTGAACTCAGTGTGTAGTTCAGGCTGGCGTAGAAATCACAGCGATCCTCGTTCCTCAGTCTCCAAAGTGGGATTACCTGCATGCAGTGCCACACCCAGCCAGATTGTACACAGTTAAAGTCCTGCTCTTCTGTTGTGTTTCAGTCATTTGACAACCCCTGGCCCCGTCATCTGTTTAGGAAGCATGTGAAACACTGAACTTTGCAATGGGAGTGGCTGTAGAGCTAGACATAGATGTGATTCCATCACTGAGCAGGAGGTGGTGCAGGTGATATGGCCCATGTGCATTTCTTTGGTTGCTTTTCAAAGACAGCTTAAATTCATGATGCCACAGGACATTTAAAATTCCCATGTAACCAGGAATGGTGGCATACATCTGTAATCCCAGCATAGGGAGACTAAGGCAGGAAGATCATAGTGAGTTCAAGGTTGGCCTGGATGAACAATGAGACCTTATCTCAAAAAAAGCAAAAACCGGAGCTGGGGATTTAGCTCAGCAGCATAAGTGCCTGCCTTGCAAGCAGGCAGTCGTGAGTTCGATCCCTGGTACCAATAACAAGGAAAAAGACAAAAAAAAAAAAAAAAAAAGCAAAGCAAAACCTTTTCTAGTAATGTTTGAAACTTAACAGCAAGTATGAGTCTCTCACAGCTTTTGAGCACCTTAATTTCAGTGAAAGTTCATTTTCATGCTGATCTGTGATATCAAAAAGAAAGATACCACACACACAGGTAGCCCAGGGCTCTGTCTAGTGTGTGTACTGTGCCCCAGTCTTTTTACCACTTCTGCTATGGAAATTACTATATGATTTGCAAGATTTAACACATGAAAATCTTCAGATAGTTTTTAGGAAAACTTGTGATACTCTGCTTCTAAGTTTGAAATATGTAAAATATACTTTTATATAATGAACATTGTAAGTTTTTCCTGGCTCTTAAAAATAAGACTTGAAGGGCAGTAGATCTGTTTGTGGGTCGCAGGTGTGGAGGAGCTGAGGGAGCTCATAGGTGCCTCACAAGCAGCTCACACTGGGCCAGCAGGAACTGCAAGTGTCCATGCCTCTACCAAGGAAGAATAGAACACACTTCAAGAAATGTGCCACATTGAAACAACTCTCAGAGCGTAGGAAATCTCATGCCATCTATAGCAGATGGAACCGAGATGGTTGCAGACTTTCTGGAGTGCAGTTTGTCGTGTGTTCAGAGCCTCACACTTGCATTTCTTTGAACCTAGCACTCTGGGAATGAATTGTAAGGCAGTACTCATAGACTTGAAAGAGATATGTTTAAGAAATTTATTACAGCCTTACTTACTGTATCCAGAATTAGAAACAACCTAAATTTGTACTAAAAGATTCCTGGTTGAACATGTGAAGGATGCTGTGCATTAATTTAAAAGAACTGTTTCACTGGGCATGGTGACACACATGGCTGTAATCCCAGCACTCTGGAGGCTGAGGCTTGAGGATTGTTGCAAGTTTGAGACCAGCCTGGGCTACAAAGTGAGCCCCAAGGCCAACTTGAACTGCATAGGGAGATTTTGTCTTAGAAAGACAGAAACAAAACAAAACAAAACAAAACAAAACACCAAAAAACTATTTCATAACGTAGCAAGAAAATTCAGTTGAACAATATGTTGAAATACTAGCTTGATTCATTTGACCGTTTTTACTTTTCTTTTTTAAAGAGGGTACGTATATATGCAAAAAGTAGAAAAGGGAAAGAACTGTGACTATTTCCTTTTGCTCATCTGTCTTCTAAATAGCTGTACTAATCAAGTACTTTTTTTTTTTGGAAACAGAGTCTCACTGAGTAGTTCAGACTGGCCTCAAACTCATGGCCATCTCCTTCCTCAGACTCTTGAGTGCTAAGATTATGGGTATGAGCCACCACACCAGCATAAACATATAATTTTTTTGTTAAAGATAAGTTTGTTTTATTTTTGTCTCTAAATTGTTTTTTTTTTTTTTTTTTTTTTGGTACCAGAGATCAAACTCATGACCTTGCACTTACCAGGCAAGCACTTGAGCCACCGAGCTAAATCCCCAACCCGTTGTTTTATTTTAGTATATCATTGGAGATAATACTGATACAAGTATTTAAAATTATATGTATGTATACTGTGCTTTGTGTGTGTGTGTGTGTGTGTGTGTGTGTGTCTTGCTGTGTAGTTCAGGCTGGCCTTGAGCTCACTTTGTAGCCCAGGTTGGTCTTGAACTGGGAACAATCCTCCTGCCTTAGCCTCCCAAGTGCTGAGATTACAGATGTGCACCACCATGCCCAGCTAAATTTTATATATACTACCAAAAAAATGTCTACATGCTTCAGTATTTCACTGTATTAATAAATGTCTAGTGAAATGTGTAAAGCACTTGCTTGGTTACTCTTAAATTGCTCTCAGTTTATCCAAGTCAAAGAATTGTCTCTGTCCTGGCAGGGGATGTAGCTCAGCGGCACAGTACCTGCCTGGGAAGCACAGGTCCTGAGTTTGATTCCCAGTATCAAAGAACAAAGACAAAGAACAAAAAAAATTATTATCTCCTTTCATTTGGTTGTACTGCTGTTTCTAGAATCTCCCATATACTGAGATACTGAGAGTATTTTAAAGCATAGCATTCATTTTGAGGGGTTGAGGAGCTGATTCACATTGTTCAGTTTAAAATAATGTGACTTGTTTAGAAAACAAAATTATAAAAGTTTACACTTTTATGAAAAGAAAGGCCAGTTTGGTGATATTTGCGGAAGTGATGAACTTGGAGATTTCTCATACTTTCCCATTCTTTTCACCTAGGAAGCCCTGGAAGATCGTTTGGAAAGGATCAATCGGGAACTGGGTTCAGTCCGCATGACACTAAAGAAGTTTCATGTGCTGCGCACCTCTGCAAATCTTTGAGATTTGCAGCCATTAAATTTGGAACATTTTTGTTTGCACTGATGTGTAATTATGCACTCAGAAAACGCAGTCTATTTTGTACTGTTTATAAGTCTGGAGACAGTAGTTTTACAATCATGCTTTTCTTACACTTGCTATTTTATACTTCAAATGACCACATATTTTTAAGATATTTTTGTTATGCTCAGGAACCTACTGTATATTTTACTATTTAAAAAGCATTATTTTAAAATAACATATGTCCTTACTTTATATCAAGCATAAGGAAATATAAACAGGGAAGGCAGCTTGTTTCTAAACAAATAGTGTTACTCTTTTACAGTAAACTTTGCACACTGGTTTTATAAACTTGTTCTACACTGTAAATATAATTAATTTTTAAAAAGTAAGTGCTAACGGCTTCCATAAGAGAAACTAAGAATGCTGTATATGGGAAGCATAGCACACAGTGGATCTCAGTTGTGTGATGTTTTGGAAAACTGGCAGTGCAGGCAAGTACCGCAGCATAAGCTGTGATGCTAATGTGCGGGATGGTGGAGTTTGAGGCCAGCCTGGGCTATACAGTGAGACTCTGTCTCAAAAATAAAATGCATTTCCTATTTGAAATGGAAGTCTTAGAGTGAGTATCAAAATAGTTATACTGGAGTATTGAAAAGCTTTGAAAACTATATCAACGTAACTGTTTTTCTAAAACTTCATAAGGAAAGAAAAAAGTAAAGGAGAGAAATGTAACTAATTTTATCTTAACTTGTAGAATTAAGCCATTGGGGAGCTGTGGCTTTCAGCCCATTGTTGTAAATGAATTTGTATCTCACCCTAGACAAGCAGTGGGCGAATGCATGGGTCTTTGATGAAATGCAGGCCGCACCCAGAGCCTCTCTGGTTTCCTTAAAGCACATGGCTTCAGTGCCAATTGAAGTTGTCAGCCAGTCATTTTCACCTGCACTTACTTCCTCCACTCCTGCCAAAAAGGAAAATAAATACTTATGTGGTTGATGCTCTAAGAACCCTCGGTTCAGGTCCGGAACTATCTGCTCTGCCAGTTTGTGGACAGGGCCAGTGTCTAGATGAGAGCCCGGTGCCGCTTCTGGGTCTTGGTGGAGGGCTACAGCATGGGCTTCTACAGCGCAGCCTGGCTCTGTGGGGCTGGAGGCATTGCTGTACCCCGGAGCACAGTGGTTCCTGTGGGAACGGCCACCCCACTTCGCCTTCCACGTTTTGGTGGCCAGTGTGAACCCAGTGCCCACACCCTTAAGCTTGGCGTGTGCTCTAGATAGACTCCACCTTGACTCTCAAAATTCATTCCCACTGACAATGCTCTTTGAGATTTTTTTCCTTCTGTTGCTTTTAGTAATAGTTCTAGGAAACCAAGTCTGCCCAGCTATTCCGTTAGGGTGTGAAGATTGCCTTTGAGGAGGGTCTCAGATGACCTTTGAGCATCTGTCACCAAAGCTTTGCCTGGCTGATCTCCAGGCCTGAGGCCTAGGGCCCCACTCCCTTCTCGTGTCTGGGGCTTCCATTGTGGGGGAGGGGAGAGACCTGGAACAGAACAACTGAACCCCCGTGCTCATCTGCAACCAGGTGAGGAGCCAGCTAATCCAAATTACTTATCAACAATCAAGTTCTTCATTCTTGAGTTTTTTTCCCCTAGCCTCTTTTTAAAATATCTCCTACTTACGGTGAAGAAAAAGTTCATTTTAACCAAGCTGTGCACAGCTTGTGTCTAGGCCAAGTAAAGGGGTGGACTTTGCAGGTGATGGTCCTTTCTTTCCAGTGTACTGGTGCGTGTCAGGCTGTGCCATTGTTCTCCACTTTCTGGTAAAGTTGGCTCCATTCTTACGAATAAGAAAGTTGCCATTTCAGAAGAGATGATAGTTTTATTTTGCCAAGGAATTATCTTCTTAGAAGCCTATAATTGGCTTATTCCAAAAAAGGCAGTAAGCTCCATCAAAACATCTTCCGTGCCTCTCAGAAAGCATATGCTTTGATTTTTCCAAGTAATAGGTTGAAGCTATCACTTTCTTAATTAAAAAAAATTTTAAGTCCTTCCTAGTTGTGAAGAAGGAAACCAAGGAACATGCCTGCAAGTGGTCTTCCCCCCGTAATGCTTACCTCTCAAATGAGAAACGGCCAGCCTCCAAAGCGGGGAAGGCGGCCGTCTGCCTGAAGAGCATCTGGTGCCCAGGGAGGTAAACCTGTCTGCTGGAGCTGTGCTCAGTTAGTAAACGTCCCCGGTGAATCCTCCACTTGTGGGAAGTGCCTTTTACAATACAGATGGAAAGTGAACTCTCCTGTTGTCTTCCTGTGCTCCCTGCTCCCCGTGATGAACCTTTATAGTCACTGCTGGGTAGGGCTGAGGGTGGGGAGACAGGAGACTTGGAGCAAACAGACCTGGGTCACAGCCCAGGCAGATCTGCCTTCCTCCTCTGGGAGTGAGAAGACCAAGCCATAGGGAGAGATTCCTATCATTCCTTTCATTACCGACAGGAGATGATTATGGCCAGCAGCCTTGTGTAATAGTGCATTTTTGATTCATTACGTGTTAAGTGGTTTTTGAGATGGTGATTTCTTTTAAAAATAGAAAAGGATTGTGTCCCAAGCAGTTGACCTAAAAACCACCTTGGGTTGGCAGTTCTGTCATGTAGCCTAAGATATTCTCTCTACTCTGCGTAAAATCATAGATTTTCTTGGAGTTTAAGAGTTTTTTTTTAATGTGAGGTTGTTTTTTTTTTTTTTTAATGACCAAAATTTTAAAAGTAGGGCCGGGGATTTAGCTCAGAGGCATAAGCCTGCCTGGCAAAGCACATAGTCCTGAGTTCGATCCCCAGTACCAAAACAAAACAAAACCCAAAATTTAAAAAGTAGGTAAACTGTCAACTATAAGTTTGGAAAACACGTTGATCTTAAAGTTGGTGATTTGGGAGTTGATACAGACTACTACTAAAAGCTGTTTGCCAGTATAGTTAAAAACAATCTTTCCTTCATGTGTTCCATAAGTAGAGCTCTCATGATTCCTGTGCCCACCCCTGAGCCCTAGAAGACTCACATAGAGATTGATAACCAACCTGAGAGCTGTCCCCTTTTTAACCCAGAAAAGAGAGGCGCTTTGCTGAATGCTATTTAAATTCTGAATCCTGGGGCTGAGGATTTAGCTCAGTGGCGCATAAGCACCTGCCTTGCAAGCAGGCAGTTGTGAGTTCGATCCCCAGTACCCGTAAAAACGAAAAAGAAAAAAAAAAAAAAAAAAAATTCTGAACCCTGCAACAGTGTATGTAGTAAAATTAGACTTTGCCATTTTAAGTTTTAGAGCAGTTTTAATAAAAATTTTAGTTTCCACTTGTGCTGCAAGTCTTTTAAGAACCCTTAAAAAATAAATCTGCACCTGGAGCCCTTCAGGAATCGCAAAGGTAAATCATACTTAGGGCCTGAATGAGTCATGTAGAGTTACGAGATTTGTAGCTCTGGGTAATTTGGTTATATTGCACAGAATATGCCAGAAGTAATTTCCTGCCCTGCCAAGAGCTCTGTGATTTGATAATACATTAAACTACACCAGTATTCTCTTTCTGTTTGGTTTGTGCTGTATTTCCCCAGGGTCCTCAGTTATATGAGGAATCAAGCCGTACATCTGTATTTGCTAGCCATTATCATGTCATCTCTGGCCTACAGATTTCAAAGATGATTTTGTTTTATTCATATTAATTCAGTCTAACCATGACCAGTAATGTGAAAGAACTGCTTTCTACAGTGTTGCTGATGGTTAGACAAAGACCAGTGCCCTTGCAGTTTTTAATGTAGTCAAATATTGGAGTGACGCCACTGTAAGCTCCAGGAGCGGAAGGGCCATTTCATCATCTTCATTCTCACTTCTAGGCGCTCAATAAATCTTTGTGGATACCAACCATGTCATGGGCCTAGCGTATTCATTTGTCCCACTCAATGGTGAGATCTAGTTTTTAGTGGTGAGTCCTAGGGATGTGTAAGTCCTTGGACTTCACAGTGGATTGCATAGTCACCAAAATACTACAGTGGTGTTTATCCAGGAGCGTGGTTCTGGCCAGCTTCACAGGGCAGACAGTTGTGGATTCTCCAGAAATCCAAAGGGGCCTCAGGACACCACCTGGCAGAGGGAAGGGGTCCAGGGGGAGAAGCTGATGAATAAGCCCCCTTGCTGCCCCCTGCAGGTGTTATGGTCATGCTATGGTGGCTTCTCTGGGCCATGGAGTCTGAACATCAAAGGTAACTCAAGAAGGTAAGCAGCAGGGCTGGGGATTTAGCTCAGCAGCATAAGCACCTGCCTTGCAAGCAGGGAGTCGTGAGTTTGATCCCTGGTATTGATAAAAACGAAAAAGACAAAAAAAAAAAAAAAAAAAATGAGCAGCCTATGCTGTTCTCTCCCTGGCTTTATCTGAAACACATCCCAGACCACTAATTTTACTTCGCATTTTCCCTGAGGAGGACTTCTGTGTCTTTCAGCCTTATAAGGTGCTACTTGTGATGGGTCAACCATCCCTAAGCGTTAGGTGTGCCCTTTTTAGTTCCAGGACTTCACGTTTTGGCAAAGAGGCCTGTCGTTGTTTAAACAGTTTTCTTTCACATCTCACCAAGTACCCTCTTGTTCCTTTAATCTGCCAACTGGAGAGTCTTATCGGGAACATCAGGATGCAGCTATTTCTGGGCCCTACCTGCTCCTCTCCAAGGTGGGGACCAGAGCCTGGCGCATCCTCTGGCGGTCGATTGCTACTCCCTCAGCCGATGTCCAGCAGGTGCCCTGCTCCCTCGGGCCCTCGCGCGCTGCGTGTGTGGAGAAAGAACCCCAGGGTCCCCACTTCTCCAGGTCTCTGGTCTGTGGCCACTGCGGGGTCCAGCGTTGGGATCTGGGCTTCAGCTCTCTTCCTTCAGCCTGGCGCCCCGTACCAAGGGAACTTAGCTCTTCCCGGTCACCGAGACCCCGCCGTCCCCTCCCCAGGTGCACCTGGCATTCAGGGGTCACCCGCAAGTCCTTGGTCCGCGAGGCTGTGGGCGTGGGGGCGCGGGGCAGGGGCGGGGCGCACAGCCCGCGGGCACCCGGCGGCGCGGGTCCTTCCGGCCGCGACTCCACCGCCCCCCCTCCCCCGCCGCGTCCCCGCCGCTCCCCGCGCGGCCTGAGGAGGCGCCGCCCGCCCGCCGCCGCCGCCGCCGCCCCGAGTGAGGGAATGCGAGCCGGGCCGGCGCGCGCGGGCCGCTGAGCGCGGGGCAGAGCTGTCCAGCGGCCCGGCCCGGCTCCCCGCCCGCGCCCGCCGCGCCGAGCGCCGCACGTGGCCGCCGCCGGAGCATGCCCGCCGCCCCGCCGCTCGCCCGGGCCCAGCAGGCGGCGGGGGCGCGCGGGGCCGCGGGGCGCAGCCGGCCGGGCCCGGGCCGCGGCGTGAGGAGGAGGCGGCCGCCGCCGAGCCCAGCGCGAGAGAGCGAGCGGAGCGGTGAGTGTGGGCGGCGGCGGCGGGCGGGCCGGGGCAGGGACGGAGAGACCGGGAGGGCGGCCGGCCCGAGAGCCCAGGCCGGGCGTCCCGGAGTGCGCGGCGCCCTGAGGGCCCCGAGGCCCAGCCTCACACCCCGCCCGGGAGCTAGAGGACCCGGTGTGGGGACACAGTTGGGGCAGACTGTGGCATGCGGGACTGCGGCCCGGGGGGCGGCCCGAGGCGCCACCCTGGCCTCCGAATTCATTCGTGTCCGATTGCCGACTTGTGAAATTCGTGGTCCGCTGCGGGGTGGTGGAGGACGCCCCCACCCCCATCCAGGGACAAGTGTCGCTGCGGTCGGTCTGGGGCGTGGGCTGGGTGGGCAGGTGTCGGGGCGACCCCCACTCAGGAAAGCGCGGGAAGGGCTTGTGTTTGCGAATGGGGGTGGCGAGGGGGCCCAAGGGTGGGCTGCGGCCCCTAAGTCTCCAGCAACTTTCCCTTCTCCCGCCCTGCACCCTTTCCAGCCAGTGGGGGGGGTGGGGTGGGGTGGGGCGTGAGAGGTCGGGGAGAAGGAAACTTTAGTGTCCCCTCCCCCAGGGTATAGGAATCGGTCCCCTCCATTCTAAATGGAGATGCCAGTAAACAGTGCGTGCACCACGGAGACCTTTCCAAGGCAAGTCCTCTAGCTTTGTCCTGCGGGAAAATCCTGGCTGACGAGTCCTGTGTGGAAACCCTGGATTTCTCATCCTGATCTCTTCCTTATCTCTGAAATCCTGGGCCTGCCTCCTCCATCCAGATTCTGGGTTCTTCAAAGGAGACCTCAGTGAACATCTATCTTTCTCCACTGCCAGTAATCTCCTCTGCCCCCACCCGAGAGTCACCAGAGCTTACAGGGTGTCCCTCCCCCCTACCTTCTGGGAGGAAAGTCACAAATGTTCCCCCTTCTTTGGAATCATCACTGATGCCCAACCTGGACTCCTGTCTCAGCTTTGCGCCCCTGCTTGAGTTGTTATCTGTGTGGCTCTTATCACCGTCTGTGGTATTTTATAGTTACTTTTGTGCCTGGTTTATCTCCCCTGCTGGATTGTGAGCTCCTGGCTTGGAGATTGAATCATCTCGGAGGCCCCAGCCTAGATCAGTGTCTGCATGGCGCAGAAGCCCTGCTGAGGCTTGTTCCTGGGACCCTCCTTTTTTGGTTTTGGTTTTGGTTATGTTTCTTTCTGTTAAAGGGTCTGTATTTTGTGCTGCCCAGGCCTCAGCCACTGCAGAGAAACACGGTGAGTTAGGAAGTGCCATTCCTTTTGGCAGTGACTTGCCAAATGACTAGGACAGTGCAGCCTCTGCTCTGAGTTGGCCAGGCCCTGCCTGTAGATTGGGCCCCCAGTGATGTGTGTGGAACAGATCGTTCTCTCTTCTGACCTCCTCCGGCTGCTGATGCTTTGGAAAACCAGGGTAGAGAATGGGACTCTGGGAACCAAGAGGGCTGGGTTCCATGCCTGGCTTTGCACTAACTTGTGCTGTGCGAGCTTAATCAAGTCACTTGGTATTTTTTGCTTTTGTTTTTGTTGGTGCTAGCTTGCCCCTGTAGGGGTAGGGTTCAGTCTTACAGTGCTCTTGCCTCAGTCCACCAGAGTGCTGGAATTAGGGGATTCCTTGGTATTGATTGCTCCTATGGAATTTGCAAGAAAGTTCCTCTGTCTAGGGGACCTGGATCCTAGTTGCCATACACCCCTCCCTGGCCTTGCCATTCCTCACACTCAGCTCCAGCCCTCCAGCCTTCTCAGAGGCTTTCAAGGCATGGGACTGTGTGCCTTGTCTTCTCTGGGGACCCAGTTTATTTTCTCTGGTGGAGTCGGTCTCCTCGACTTTGTGTCACCTTGATTTGATTCACCACCACGAATAGTGCATCTGCCCCCATGTGCCTCTGAGCGAGGCTGAGCTCCAAGGCCTCTTACATGGTGGACACCTAGGAAGTGAGAGGGCTGGCCCGGATGACCCCCATGGGCACATGGCCATGTTGTCCTAACTAGCCCATCCGGATAAGGAGAACCAACTAGGTTTGTAGACGAGGCAGTTATAGAATATATGTGATTAGTTTTAAGATTTGAAGAGCACACGTCTAGTGCTTCAAGGTCACTGCTATGCTGCTTTAGGAAAAGATGCTCAGAGCCCTGTGCTCCTGGTGTGAGAGGATCGTGATCGCGCTGTACTCTGGTGTCTTTTGTCAGAGGCAGGACTGGCTGCTGTTTATGACCAGCTGGCCATTCCAGAGTGAGCTATCAGGTGCACATAACGGGCTTCTCAGCTTTGCTTGGATGAGATTTGTTCCTTTGCAGACAGCCACTAAAAGGGGCCCCTGGCCACAGACACAGCTTCTCCATGGGTCATTTGGTGGATGTTTGTTAAGTGTTTCTTGGGTATCTTGGGAAGTTGTCAGTTGGCAAGTCTTCGCATTTGCTGTGAAACCATAATCTAAGGTATTGCTCCCTTTGCTAAGCTTCTTACAGTGCTTTGTAACAAACATTTCTTTTAGAGTTTAAGGCCAAGCAAACTTTTCTTCCCTGGGAAACTAGGTTCCCTTTTCCTTTGCTAACGAGAAAGACAGTGGGGAAGAAAGACAGGTGTTGTCTGCATGCCCAGCACCGCACAGTGAGTGCACAGGCCTGCAGTACTACCTGAGGATGGTAGTTGGTAGTTTTCCCACTTTCCCCAAGAGACACAGGTAGGACAGCTGAATTGCCTGGGATCTGTCTGGATTTGTTCCCATTCCTCTCTGACTCTCTGCATCCCACATTTTCCAAATGATTGTGATTTCCTTCTTTGCCTTGGCTTCCAGGATGCTTAGCATACAATGTGATGTTTACCCCAGGTGGCAACCACGTTTACTTCCCCCATGGGTCTGTATTTCTGTTTACTGTTTCCCCGTGTGTATGTTTATGTGTAAAATTTATCTATATATATACATTTTTGGTAGCAGAATTGAACTCAGACCTTAGGCTTGCCAGGCAGGTGCTGTACTGCTGAGCTACATCCCAGCCCTGTATTTTTATAAATTGTCACAAATTTTCTGGTATGCAATGGACAGATAATTAATCAGAGGGTTAATAGTGTTCACCAGATGCTTGTGTCCATTCACAGTGGGATTAGGCAGAGGCTTCTCAGGTAACCCAGGGCATGTGTGTTAATTGTTGCTTAAAGGCAGAGTTCAGGGGCAGACGCCCTTTCTGAGTAAGGTAGTCAGGGCTACCTTCCTGGAAGACTGGGATTTGAGATCAGCCACATCAGTCACACAATCATACATGTGCTAGATTTAGACGCAGAATCCGGAGATCAAAAGAGCCTCTCTGGAGTGGGCTTTTTCATGGGAGTGGAGAGGGTCATTTCTGGGCTTGAAAAAGGGAGGCTGGTGAAGCCTTTTTCAAATCTTCTGCAGCCTTGATAGAGGGTCTGAGAACTTTTGGGAACTGTG